TCACGAAGAAGGCGAGCCTGACCACAAGTCGCACGTCCTGTTCTGGAGCGCGAAGGAGAAGGTGCTTGTCCCCGGCAACTAAACACAGGAGGATGGATTGCACGACGACAGGGTCGATGGGTAATGTAGGCGCCGAGCTCCGGAGGTGAGAAAGGAAGGCAGGAAAGAAGGTTGGTGTGCCTGCGACGAGGTTATTGGCGTCAATGAGATCCATTAGGGCCCGATCGGGTGCACTGCCTGCATCAGGCAGATGAGCCAAATTTCAGGCAAATGCCTGATCCGAGCAGATCAGGCATTTGCCTGCCGTCAGGCAGATTAGAATAGGTGCTCGGTAGAAACGCCTAGATGTAGTCTGATGTCACGCTCCTAATTGAGACGTTTTCACGCTCTATGACGGACACGACAACCGCGCCTCCTGTTGAGACTCCCGTCCCTCCCCCACCTCCACCATCCAACAACGCGCCTCCCAAACGAAAGTCCGGAAAGCGCAGAGCGGAGGAGGGCCTCGTTGCGGACAAGTGTGTGTGGGGCCCTACCTGTGATGCAGCGCTCGTCGAAACCCTGAAAAAACACATCAAGACTCATAGATCTGGCGCGGGATGGAAGCCCGTCGTGTGGCCTATGGTTGCTGAGGCCGTCAACAGGACCTGGAGGTGCGAAGACGAGTATGTACTTATGTGACTATATGTGACCTAGCGCGTCAGGCAGTCGGGAGGATGTCCGAAGGGCTCCGATCAGCTTCGGTCTGCCTCGGAGAGGTCGTCAGGCAGATCAGATTGGCATCTGCCTGATGCAAGCAGTGCACCCGATCGGGCCCTTAGGGTATGATCGACGCATTTGCACAGCGTCTGCTGGTAGAAGGAGCCAATGTGTGACGGGTGGCTGTACAAGCCGCCATCAGCGGCTGTGTAATTCAACTTTGTCCCAGCCGCTCACATTGCCCAATAAGCCTCCAAGGCCCCAGTTTTGGCGAACCATGTCCGTCCGTCGATATAAATGACTCATGGTCAGCTGTGTCTCAACCCCGTATGGTCGATCATTGCCCGTGATTCTACTAGCATGGCATCACCCGCCACAGATGAGAAGCTACTTCGTCGTTGGCCAACTACTGCGGAGGATATTCGCGGCGGTGACAGCCGCCTTGAACTTGCGACATGTATAATCGACACGAAAGGCGCCACTCAAGGGACTTGTTGCTACCATCTGTCAGGTTGGACTGGGAGCGGCGGCTTGGCTCTACCGTGCATTATGCTTGTGGCTGGTTTTGAACGCCGATGGACAGCCCAGCTGACGTGCAGATGGTGGACATCCTTCCGCATCATCCAAAACTGATCTCAGCGCCGCAGAGCAGCATGCAGGAAGATCTGCGTGCGATTACCACGGACAGGCATGTGGAGGCTCACTCAGCACTCACTTTGTGGTGAAACTTGACCAGTCTCTTGCTCAATTGCCTACTTGATCTGTAGGTCGGAGTGCAATTCAATCTCGCTTCGAGTATGTGTTCGGGACGGCGCGCCCAACGTGTGTGCGGGAGTCGGAATATATAAACCCCAGAGCTTGATTATCTTGATCATTGTCGCACAACACGATGTGCCAGCGAGATCAAGATAGAAAGGCAGTGCGGGCAACATGTAGGACCGGGTTCCGGCGCTCAGAGGGCGGCGATCTCTCAAATTGCACACACAGAAGCGCTAGCAGCCACATTGGCCCTTGCAACCGGAGTGATTGATGAGAAAAATAGATGGAGGTTAACAGGATCGACACGAGGCCAGCAGTTCGTCAGCGAATGCAGAGCAAGGCTAGCCTAGCCACACACGGGTCAGCAGAAATTGGGGACGTCCATAGGTCCGATCCAGAGGTGCCCGATTTAGCCAATTGAACACCTCTCATTTTCCCTCGGTTCGATTCGCACTGAGATCCAGCAGCCTGTGTTTCTTGGGTCGATTCAGAGACATAACCGACTGAAGCTCGTTGCGACGCTCCAGTGTCTGCCTGCCCGTCGGTGTGGTAAAACCTGCCATCGAGGGAGAAGGGATCGTCTCACAGGGTTCACCGTGCCGGGCCTAGTGTGAATGGAATTGTATTGTATTGTATGGGGTGGATCCATGTAGTTAATTATGTAGGCTAGTGCTAGTCGTCTGCTGTATCACCCCTGAGTCGCAAGATACGGTTTATGCGATGGGCACGACTGGGAGAGCTTCACGGCTTTGGGCTGAAGAAGCCCACCCTCACGCTGGATGTCCCACGGACAGGCAGCCCCAACGACCCACACACGACGGCACTAACGAAAGAGAACTGTGCGCAATTCAGCCGACCGTCCACCCTTTGGGCTCCCAGTATCCGCATCAGGATCGGCCCTTTCGGGGGTATGTGGCGACCGCCAGAGCCTCGAGTTCGTTCGTTACTCAAGTGCGTCACGGGACATCCCGAGCCTGACTTGATTAGATGTGATTTTCATCGTAACAGCATCCGTATTACGGACCGTGCCTATCCGTGCACGCCAAATGAAAGAGCCTGATGATCCATGGAAACTTCAGCTATCACATTTACATACATACGGCTTGGCCGCACACGCTTCACACCCCCCTCTCCCCCCGCGACTGTCTTGACGACTCCGAGCGCGGGATCTGGCAGGCCAACTACGTTCATGATCAATGAGCAACGTAGTCCAGTTCTCGGTCGACGATTCTAGCCCCACCATCTCTTACTTTCCCTTCGGCGACACCTTGACTGGTTCCCCGGATCTCACTGCTGGCTGGAATCCTTCCAGAGGAGGTGATTTGGGGCTTTCAGATCTCGCTTCCGGTGCGGGTTCGGGGAAGAGTCTGCATGTGACGAGTCTCGACGGAGCGGCGTTCCAGGTTTCGTGGAAAGGTACGTGCTCGGCTTGGCTCTCGCTCTCGTTTCATGCTCATCACGGACGCCCTGCCGTCACAAGGCACTGGCATCACACTTTATGGAAACGCCACACATTCGACGTACACTATCGCGGTCGACGGGAGCACTCTGGATGCATCCTCCTCCGCCGACCTCGCCAACGGCGTCCTCGCAAGCATCGGCCACCTTCCGGACCTCGAGCACACACTCAGGCTGGTGGTGCACGCGCAGGACACGACCGCGATCGTCGAATTTGATCGCGCAGAGATCTCGGCACCCGTGTCCCCCGCGAACATCTCGACGTGAGACTTTTCCGTTGGCGCGCAGCGCGCGCGTGATACGGCGATCTGATCATCTTTATTGCGAAGCTCGAGCCTGTCTGACCAGTTTCTGGACGACACGACCGATTTCGCGTTCCACGGGCAATGGTCCTTTGCGAATGGCTCCCACGAGTCATCACCGCGGGAGACAGTGTTTCGATTGGCTTCAAGGGAACGACTTGGTGCTCACCGGCTCGACATCGCCTCTTGCGGGACGGTGCGTGTTGCTGACTGACCGCGTGTGCGCGAAGCTCATGAACGTCTGCAGATACTCTGTGACGTTGGATGGCAATTTAACCACCTCCTACTCTGCTCAGTCCTCGTTGACTGACGGGAACTCTATTCTATATTACGCGTCGGGACTGGATGCCACTGTTGCGCATAATGTGCAAGTTGTGAACACGCAAGGTTCGGCACTGGTGCTGCAGGCTCATGGAGCGCAGGTGTTCGGGATCTCTGGCAGGTGTGTGCTCAGTTTCTGTCCTCGTCGCTCATCCTGATTCGCGGCTAGTGGGACTGAGACCAACAGCTCCTCGCCGGTGATGGTCCTGTCAACCAAGGCAGAATCCGATTTATCCAGTGGGACTATCGCTGCTCTCGTGCTAGCCGGAATCCTGCTCTTTTTTATCATCACCCTTACAGCGCTCTATTTTATGATATATCGCCCTATGCGTCGGCGACAGACACAAGCCAAGGCTGTTCCTGACCAGGAAACCGCCAGCGTCTCGTCCTCGATATCACACGACCCGGTTTTCTCAAGAAGTCTTTCTCGTACGAAGATGAATCGATCATCGAGGCGGGGCCGTCTAGGCGGAGTGGATTTCTAAGGTGGAAGGAGGACGTCGAGGGCGGGTTGGGCAGCTTGGGGCGGGGTGCCCTGGGGATTGTGTTCCGGCACTCCGATTCGTCGGGATCGAGACGCCCGTCGGCAGCTGGAACGCTCTCGTCTCGCGGCCGAGAATCTTCGTCCGAAGGCCCCAAAAGCACGGCATCTTCGGGCCATGCCAGCAAGGGGAAGGGACGTGAGACCGGCAAATGGAGTTGGGGCAGGGAGAAACCGCTTCCAGCGCGATCGCTCGTACAGCTCCCGCCAGACCCTGCACGGGAATCCCATCTAGCTCCGTCGGGGATATCCTCGCTCTCGTACTTGACGGGTCCTATCTCGCCCATTCCAGCAGTCGTTCCGCCAGACTACCGCGCGTCATTGCCCCTCGCAGTGCCGCAACCGCCGTCACCACCGGCCGCATCCCCCGGACTCGACGACCGAGGGAGCGTCCGACAGGTCGACGCGGATGACCACCAGAGTGTTCTGGGCGACGGCACTGCGCGAATTGCCCTGCGGAGCCTGAGTCCACGGACCAGCGAGACCCTGGACGCTGTCGCTACCGCCGCCAAACCACGCAAGAAGAGGCGCAGGAAGGACAGCGACGGCCTCGCAGCGGACACTCCCACGGTCGCCCTGCGGACGACCAGTCCCTTCCACGTCGACTTTGACGGGGGTGACGAACGTCGGAAATCGAACCAGTCGCGTGTGCGCTTTTTTTCGAAACAGAAGGGGGACTCGTCCAGCGAGAGCCAGGGCCGCACGCGAAACAAGGGCCGCCGCCGCCTGCACGCGCTCGAGGCGTCGTTCCTCGACTTCGCCAGCTCGTCGGACGGGTCGACGATGACGCGCTCGATCGACCGTTCGTCCTCGTCGTTTTCCGCCGGCCCTGCGTCGCACTGGAGCATCGGCGGTGCATCGAGCAGCATGCTCCCGACCGCCCCGCCGCAGACGCAGACGCAGACGCAGACGCAGGGGCTGACTTCGCGATGGAGCGCGACGACGGCCGCGCCGAGCACCGAGGCGGCCGGCGCAACCGCCGATTCATCCGCCGACTCGTTTCCGTTCCCCGTGTCGATGCCGGGGTCGCCCGAGGGGCAGCGTCTGAGCAGCCTCAACGCGCACCCGTATGGCTTGGGCAGCGACGATGTGACGTCGCTGGCGGACAGCCTTCCCGTGTCCATTTCTGAGATCTGCTTCAGGCCCGGGCATGCCAGCAGCAGTGTTGGACACCCGCCGTTGCCTGAGGCACCGCAGCCCCCGGGCTCGTCGTTCATTGTGCAGCGGGTCCTGGGGGCGTCGTTCCTGCCCAGCGCAAGCTCGGCGCCTACTCGGATATAGCCGCCACCCTCCTTGTTTCTATGATCATCCTGGGACTGAGTATTGTACTGCTAGGACTTTATTGTGTACGACTAGTGTACGGAAAGGACGCATCAGTCATATGTTGATACCATCAACCGCACCTGATGGGCAGGCACACTTCAGAGCGGCCCCTGCGTGTCTCGTCGCAGTCCAAAGCTGACAAATCTCCTCAAGTCAGAGAAGACTTGTCGCTGGTCCCCGCCGCCCCCTCTTTCCGAGATAGTCGTATTCCCGGTCGAGGGTCCACTCGGTCCCGGCGACGAGAACAGCCCGGTGCTGTCTGGGTTTGGGATCACGCCGCTGAGAGGGAGAGACACTCTGCTGGCCCCCGGGCTGGCCATGTTGCTCGCAAGCTGACCCACCGGATCCATGTCCAGCGCGGACAGGAAAGACGTGCTGTCGAGATCGTCGTGGGTGCTCGTGATCGTCAGGAACGAGTCCAGCAGATTGTTCTGCTCGGCTTTGGGGGTCCCTTTCAGGTCGAGGATCTTTTGGAAGTTGGAAAACGAGGCATCTTTGACGAGGAGGGTGTAGCTCAGGATGAAGCCTTCTGGAGGATCCTACATCCAGTCAGCAAACTACACTCGTCGAGTCGGCGAAAGAATTACCACTGGCGTAACAATCACTTTCAGCAGAGTTTCCAGCTGATCCGTGCTTTTGGTCACGCTCTTAGTATATCTGTAGACCATGAGTGTTTGCTCTGTGATACTGCGCCACCACGCACGTCGTTGTCACACTATCACCTGGGAGTTTGAGTAAACACGCCTTGACCGGTTTTAGATCGATCATGAGCTGGAAACATACGTCAGTGAGCCATAGAGGTTAGAGGTGGATGTCTCACCTGCTCGGCTCCAATCTCTCTCAGCGGTCGACTTCGAACCAAAGCATTTGTAAACTTGGCCAGAATCAAGCTGCGAAAGTGTCAGAATGCTAACAGGAGCTCATCAGGACACAAGGCCAACAACAGACCTGCAGGCTTTATCCAGGTAGTTCCTCAGATACTTCTTCTGCTCGATGAGTGGCCTGACACAGTCGGTCACTTGCTCGATCGCGCTCGTCAGGTCGGCCACGTAAGCTGACTGGCTGGCGACCTGCTGCAGATTTGACCAGGGAGACCGCGTCATGGCGGCGAGCGCCGGCTCGCAGGCTATCTCCAGCTCCCGCAGTTGCACGACGATGGCAGCTGAGATAACACTACAGTACGTTAAGCCGTGATACAGCACGACGCACGGCACGCATCACTACTGACCTCAGAAATTGATCGCGTTCTTTTGGAACGATATCTTCTCCTTGAAATCCGTGTTAATTTGCCGCTGGATCTTCTCCTCGAGCTCCAGCGCGGTGGTCTGACAGTAGTCCGCCGTGTTGATGATCAGCGCCGACTGTCTCAGTTCATTCGGCTCGTAGCGCGATTCCGTCGACTGCCGCGGTTGCTGTGGGTAAGACGGCCGTTTGAGCCCCGCAGTCAGAACCTCCTCTGAGAAACGATCAGCTTCAGTTGGGCCTGCGCGTCCAGACCTACCGGCGTAGATTCGCAGCCACTTGCGGTGCAGGTTGCAGAGGTCGAAGAGCGGTTTTCCGGTCGACAGCTTGGCGCATTGTTCCAGGCTCTGGCCGTAGAAGTAGAACAGCTCGGTCGAGGAAGGCAGCACGACCATAGGTGATTCGCTCTTGCTTTCGTGATCGACTGATCCGGGATCGGTTTCCAGCGATGGGCGTGGGGAGCGACCCAGTCTCCCTCTCCTGTGAGGTGCAAGCATGTCTGACAGTGCTCTGCAGACCATCCTCAGTTCACGCGATACTACTGACGTGCTACTAACCTGTCCTGAGCGTCGACAAACACTCCCATGTGCGGCTCAAAAGCCGATGTCATCGTCTTGGGTGGCGCCGAGTGGCTCTGAGCTGTCGCCTTAAGGATGTCTGGGAACTGGATAGTGTCAGAAGGACAGCACGTCTCACATCATTTTACCTACCGGGGTGGACCATTTCTTTGCCATGGACAGCTCAAAGTCGGCGGTAAGTTGTAAATTGTCCAGGAGGGTTTTGACAGATAACGCGGTGCCCATTTTGGACAACAACCCAGTGAGATCCTCGCTGCGAATAGCCGTCGTCGTGAGCAACCTGTCTCTGTCCCGATGAAGAACGTACCGCGTGACCTCTGCGAAGCGGGAGAGAAGGAACCAGCCGACTTTCCACTCGGCTGGGAAGACGCGTCCCTGTTCAGCCTCGTGTGTTTGCAGGCAGCGCCGGAACCAAGCAAACCGCCGCGAGATGTTGTCCAGCTGCCCCGCCTCGTCTGCGGTGCGGAAGATCCTCCGGTACTCCTTCAGCTCGATGGAGACGTAGCGTTCGATGGTCTGCGCTCGGACATCTGGACCGAGGACGTCGACCACCTGGCAGGCGTCCGCGATGAGGGATGGTTTCACGGGTCTCGCGGGATCCTGGAGGTAGCTGGAGCGAAATCAGCTTCAGATTGTTCTGAGCAACAGGGTGACTTACAAATCGTCAAAGTCTTTGTCGAGAGCGGCGCGTATCTCGCCCTGCATTTCTTGTATCCGTGTCCAAACCTGGGATATCCGTTTGATCGAGGTGTATTGCTTGAACGAAGCTGAGATTTGCTTGACTGCCTGCGAAACGTCAGCTACAGTGCATGTGGTTTCAGAGAGCATAAGCCCACAGCAAGGGACTGCGCGACATCCGCGTACTTGCGCTCCTTGATGTAGTCCTCCAATTGTGTTAACGCATTTACTGGCCCGTACGTCAACCCAAGCGAAGGCCTGAATGAAGTCTGCGAGAGCTCACCAAGCATCTGCAGCCGCTTCAGCGTCGTCATACTCAGAATCAAGTTCCTCTTCGCCAGGTCGAGCACTTGGATGTCTTGCGTGATGTTCCGCACGACGGCCTCCGACTCGGTCGCCTTTTCGCGTATAGTAGCCATTTTCCCGAACAATTCCTGGCCACAGGTCGTCGGAATTCAGCTCGAAACCCGAGGTGGGGCACCGTACATACCGAGATCATCTCCTGTATGAGATGCATCCGTGCGGGGTCCTGGTTCTTCTTCAGCTCCGCCTGCAGACTGTCGATCTCGCGTTGCAATTCCAGCTGCGTATCCGCCAGCCGGGTCTGCACAGCCGCGATGTTCGCCAGGGACGCCTCTGGACCGACCGACCGTGCGCGTCAAATCCTTCGTTTGCAGCAGTTGCGGCGCGAATGCGTACCGTCGGGAAAGAAATCATTCAGGAGCGGGACGGGGTTGAAGTCGTTCGAAAGCGTGTCGAGGGGGTCGTTCGCTGAGCTCGGTTCAAGTTCTAGGACGCGCTGAATCGCGAGAACCACTTCATGTGGCAATTCGTCGTGGTGCATTGATGAGTGGTCAGACCGGGCCGGACGGAACAGATCATGATATCGTCATTCTCGGCAACTTGCTAGTACACTACTTACTGTACTCTCATCTAGACAAGCCGCCAACAGTAGACAATTACTGTGACTCAACCATGAGGGCTCTCGAGTGAACCCTGCGCCTGAACGCACCCATTTCAGCCTCAGGCCACACGGAGACCGGAAACCCAGCGCTGGAGCTGCTTATATAAGCGCGTGGGCGCGCCACGCGGCCCCGCGCAGCTTATCGCTGTGCGCAGCCTGCTCAGGGTTGAAAAGAACTACGTTTTCACCACTATTTAGCGGGGGCGCCGACAACAACCCCCGCAGTTTCTTCCCAACGCGCACCATGCCGCTACAAAAAGGCGGAATGCCGCGCCTATTCGCGCTAGTGCTGACCCTCGGCCTCACCGCCTTTCTACTCTCGTGCAAAACCCGTCAGCAGCCACCATCTCACGCCCGATCGACCAAGCGCCCCGTCCCCGCCCAATGTGCGGCGATTCTCGCGTCACAGTCTCCCGCGGCGAGCTACCCCGCGCACCGGCAGCAGTCCGACCGGTACGTGCGCGGCACGCGGCCTGTGCTGCTCCGGAACGCGACGCTATGGACGGGGCGGGACGAGGGGCGCGAGGTCGTGCGCGGCGCGAGCGTTCTGCTCGACCGCGGGCTCGTCGTCGCGGTGCTGGCAGAGATCCCCGACGCCGCGCGCCTGGCGGAGACGTGGGGCCTGCCTGCGGGGCTGCTGGATGTGGTGGACGTGCACGGGAAGTGGGTCACGCCGGGGATGGTCGACGCGCACTCGCATCTGGGGGTGCGGAGCGCGCCGCAGCTCGTTGGTGTGTATCTCGTCGCCGCGCGCGCGGATGCGGTGCATTCCTCTGACTGTCCTGCTCTTTCTTAGGCGCGTCGGACACCAATTCGGTCAAGGCCCCGATCCTTCCCTGGCTGCGGAGCGTGGATGGCCTCAACACCCACGACGATGCGTATCGCCTGACCATGTCGGGTGGTGTGACGACGGTGCAGGTTCTCCCTGGCAGTGCCAACAATATCGGTCCGTCTGGGGTTAAATTTATTGAAAAGAGACAGACATTGAATGAATGGGCAGGCGGCCAGGCGTTCCTCATGAAACTGCGACCGACGGCGGAACGATCCACATCGTCCATGCTGCTCGAGCCTCCCGCAAACCTGCACATCAACGACACCAACCTCGACAGCCGGCCGAGATGGCGCCACATGAAGTGCGAGACAAACTCCAATTCTAACAAGGCACAGAATTCGTGCTGACGCCGCCTATTCAGGCATGCCTGCGGCGAAAATCCCATGCGACTGTACTCGCAAACGCGTATGGATGCCAGCTGGAACTTCCGGCAAGCGTACAACGAGGCCCGCAAGATCCGCGATGCACAAGACGCGTTTTGCGCCGCGGCCGAACAGGGATTGTGGGATGGAGAGACCGCGTTCCCTGAGAGTCTGCAGTGGGAATCACTGGTCGATGTTCTGAGAGGTCTCGTCAAGGTGGGCCTCAATGTGTGTGTGCGCTCCGGATCTTTGTCTTAACCTGCGGTTCAGATCTCGACCCACTGCTATGAAGTTCGTCGATTCCAACACAATTACATGTGATGCAGATAGTGACTGCGATTTTCCAGCCGGTGGACTTGGACTCTCTGATCCGCGTCCGTGTTCCTCTCTGTCCTTCCTCCTGTTCATTTTTTCATCCAAGTAACAGCTATCCAACGAATTCAAGTTCCCAATCGCGTCCATTCATCACTCGACTGGCACCTATCTGGTCCCCGACCTGCTCAAGAAGGCCTGGGGAGGGCCTCCAACGATCGCTGTCTTTGCATCGGACTACAGGTGGGGAGAGCAGTCCTTTCTTCTCACCAGGACACACTCAAAGCCTGTCACAGACCCAAGCGCGAAACATACCGGACCTCCGAGTTTGGCGCGCGGATTTTGGCGGACAACAATCTGACGGTGGTCATCAAAGTTCGTCGCACCCGTTTCGTCTGCTGCTCCCGTTTATAGTACCCTTGCTCGCAGTCCGACCACTTTGTGACAGACTCGCGGTTCCTGATGTTCGAGGCGCAGCAAGCGTACTACTTTGGACTCAGCGGCGCGCTCACCCTATCCGCTGTGACGACGAAAGCCGCCGCTTCTCTGGGAGTGGAATGGCGCGTAGGAACAATAGCAGAAGGCGTGTCGCCACGCACTGCACCCTTGATTGAGTGCTTACCAGCGGCCAGGATACGATGCCGATATCGTTGTCTGGGACTCGCATCCCTTGGTGCTCGGTGCGATTCCAGAACAGGTCTACATCGACGGCATCCCGCAGATCGACACGCCGTTCCTGTCGCCCAAGTCCGAGGCTCTGCAGCAGGCGCCCAAGACGCCGAACTGGGACAAGGAGACGGCCGAGACGCTCGCGTCCGACGGGCTTCCGCCGCTCGAGGGTCGGCTGACCAGCGGCCCGGTCAAATTCATCGGCGTGAAAAGCCTGTGGAGGAAGGACGCGAACGGCACCTGGGCTGAGCACGTCGCCGGTGACGAATCCAGCTTCAGCGTGATCGTAGAGGACGGTAAGGTAGTGTCACAGTGCAGTTCGGCCTGCGCGCTCGATGCCGAGACCGTCGTCGACCTGGAAGGCGGGTCGCTCGCGCCCGGGCTGACCTCCTTCGGGTCGTATCTCGGGTTGAGCGAGATAGAATTAGAGCCCTCGACGATGGACGGGTGGGTGTTCGATGAGCTGTCGCCTGACGCGCCGCCCCCGCGTGTCCTGGGCCACGCCGTCGTCCGCGCCGTCGATGGGCTGCAGTTCGGCGGCCGCCACGCTCTGTGCGTATCAGCTGTCTCACTCGCTCGACGGCCGCTAACATGACGCCGCCAGACTCGCCTACCGGGCCGGCGTGACGATGGGCATCACCGCGCCCATGGGCGACTTCACGCGCGGCCTCGGGGTCGCATTCGACTTGGGAGCCGGCAACGCCGTCGACGCCGGGGCCGTCGTGCAGGCGGAGACGGCGCTGCACGTCGAGGTGACGCTGTCGTCGGGCCTCAGCGTCAGCACGCAGATCGCCGCCCTGCGCCGCTCCCTGCGCCGCGGCGACGGGCCGTGGGCCCGGGTTAGGCAGGTGAGCTTTGGGTCTCGGTTTCAGTTTCGTTTTCGGCCGCGCTGACCGTGCTCAACAGGGTGAGATCCCGCTGGTGGTCGTCGTGCACAGCGCGGATGTGATGGCGACGCTGCTGGATCTCAAGCGCGAGATCGAAGAGCGCACGGGGCGCGTCCTGCGCATGACGTTCGCCGGGGCGCTCGAGGCGCACCTGCTCGCTAAAGAGATCGCGCAGGCCGGGGTCAGTGTCGTCATCGCCCCGGGGAAACCGTTCCCAGCCATGTTCGAGATGCGCAGGAGGTGAGGACCAGGGTTTTCATTGCACGCACCTCCCACCGCTGACCCCGACCACGAAGCATCCCCGGCCCTCCGCTCACGCAGGACTCGTCGTTCACCATCCTGCTCAAGCACGGCGTGAACGTCGGGATCGGCATCGAGCAGGTGTACCTCGCGCGCAGCGCCCGGTTTGACATGTCCATGACGCAGGTGAACTCCGCCGGGGTCATCGATCGCGCGACAGCGCTTGCGATGGCGTCAACCAACGTCGACCGCGCGCTCGGCTTGGAAGCGGAGAGGCGCACGGAGGAGCTCGTTGCGTACCGCGGCGGCGGGCTGTTCGACATGGCGAGCAAGGTCGTCGCTGTCGTTTCCGAGCGGCGGGGGGCGGTGGTGCAGTTCTAGCTCATGTCGTCCCGCACGGACATGCACGCGTTGTCCATATTATTTTATTAGTATACGTACTCGAGTACACCACGTCAGTAGTAGTGAGGGGTGGGGGTATGAGTGATCGGATTCCCGGCGTAGTCCCAGCCGTAATTAGGCGTGTACCTGTGAGTGTGCAAGAGTCTGAGCGAGCCAGTCGACCAGATCAATCGGGCGGACGCACGTGTAAGGCACGGACGGCAGCGTCTCGTCGTGCACCATCGACATCTGTTCCAGGAACCACACACTAGTATCCGGTCTGGAGTCCCGAGTCTGGAAGAAATCGGACGACGACGCAGCGCACCCGAGATCCGGCGGCACCCACGCCGTGCCACCATTCACATCCTCCTCCCCACCACCACCCCTGCTGCCGCTGCCGCTGCCGCGCGCCCCGGCTTCGAACTGGTCGCTCGCGAAATTGACATACGGCGCGAATGCTGATGACGCGTAGTACGGGTCCGTTATCCGGAACGGCGCATAGATCGGATTCGAATCGCCCTCGACGCCGTCGTCCGTGAAAAACCGCGCCCATTCCGCGATCGTCTGCAAAACGTGAGCACTCCTTCAGACGACAGAACCAGCAACGCGCGTACGGCAGGATCGGCGCGCTGGTGGTCTTGCTGGGGCACAGCCCTGTTCGGGCTGGCGTGAATCATTTCGCCTGCGTGGATCAGTCTGTTCAGCATGTCGCTAGGAGAGAGAGAATGATCAATGGGGAGCGCGGGCTGAAACAGAGATGAGATTACGCGAGTCGGCCAGCCACCAGGAATCTAGGCGCGTGGAGTCAGCCCGGATCAGCGGGCGAAAGACAACATGGGTGCAGCAGACAGACTGACCGGTCCTCCGATATCCACATGAGAGCCAGGCACGCCCGGGCGGCCTCCAAGTCCCGGGCGGCATTCGACTCCATCCCAGTCGCTTTGTATCGCCACGAGTTGAGCATGAGCACGATACCACACGTAAACAGCACGGGCTGCAGCACACCCCGTCTCAGCGCGCAGTCAGGCCGAGGGACAGCCATCCGGTGCTCACCATGAAATGAAGATGGAATGGAATCTTGCGCCTGTCCATCGCTGTAATCACGCGCAGGCACGAACGGGCGGCGTTGGAGCAGATGCTCGCGGACGGCAGCGCGTTGGCATCTGGCGGCTTCGACGGCCCTGGAATGAATGGTCGGTGGGCGCAGATCTGCACGCTGTAAAACACTGCCGTCTCGTGAGACGACGACCGGGGAGATAGACTTATCACCGACTCGTGTACAACAGGGCAGACTGCCGGAAATGTACCGGATTCGGGCGATCGGGATCCCACTTGACTGTGTGCGATGAAATGAGTAAGTGTTCCTTCCGTCAGCCGAAAACACTCACGATGTTCAGGGACTGTGGACATCCACCCGTTGAGATAAGAGTCGAATGTGGCCAGCACTTTCGCGTCCGACGACGGCAATGGCAAGCCATACAGCTTTTTTGGTGCACGAGCAGCGTACTAGCAAAGTATATGCATGTCTGAACAAAAAAAGCTTACGAAGGAACGCACGATCGTCGTTGTGACAGTCGCCTGGATGTCCATGAGCTTGATTAGATGGGAAAAATACCTCATGCGTGATGGCTCGTTCTCCGGCTGCTTGAACTGGTCGGGGCCAGGCGCGGCCCAGTATTCGTCGTCGCATTCGATCGGCAGTTCCTGGTCGAAACTAGAGACACATCAGTCAATTGGAGCGACGATCGTGGAGCACTTACTCGGCCGAGAGCAACGAGATGGGTCGTCCTGTGACCGTTCCTGAGAGCCATTCGATACATGATAGCATCCTGCGATGTTGGTCAGTGACAATCTGATATGAACCCGAGAGAACAGGCCCCATACCAGAAAACTCGCTTCCAGCTTTCATTCTCAGCGGTGGGACCTGCTTGGGACGATCGTCGATGCGCTCCGACCTGCTCAGGCGCGAGTCAGGCCTAGAAAGCAGAGACACTGTCACGGGTACGCACATCGAGAGCCCTCCGGATCCCGAATCCGATCTGCGTCCAGGTCCCCGCAGACGGCGTGATGACGAAGAGAAACAGAGACGACAGCACGATCGCCTGGAGCTCATACAGATCGGGCTTGAACACCAGATGCTTCGTGATCACGTGGACCTGCAATGCTCAGATCGACATCGCCCTCCTCCAGATCCACACAGGCCACGCCACGCACCTGACAGTGCCACCGCCAGCCTGCAGACTGAAAGTCCGTGCCGCCCTCCAGATTCACGCGGCAGTCGTGGGAGTGCCGCGCGCCGAGGCTGCACACGAGCATCAGCGTCGCGCCCCATTTGTGGTTGTGCCGGTGCAGCCCCGCGGCGAGATGCTCGCGGAACGTCGGCTCGTGAAGCAGCGGCCAGTACGGATTCACGTGCTCGAAGAACAGATCGACCAGGGACACGAGCAGATCCGCGTCCGGGTACGCGTATTCTGGCGGTGGGTTGGCTTGCTCTGTGGGCTGGCTCCACTATTTCGATGTCGGTCCGGATCAGGTTGGTGGTGATGGTGGTGGTGCAAGACGGCCGAGACGTACCGGCGCTGGAGTCCAGAACTCGTTTCTCTTATGCGGCAGGAGTGAGACCTGCACCCCCGGCTTGATCATGCCCGTGCGCCCCGTCGTGAAATCGAGCGCCGTCTGGAGCAGTTGGATGCTGCTGCACACGCACACACGCACACAAAGAGAGAGAGAGAGAATCGTCAGCACACCCTTGCTCTCCTCCATGGGCGTACCGGTTGACCTGGATTTCCCGAAATGCCGATGTCGTTCCGGATGCATAGTCAGCTTTTGCAGCGTGCCTGTGAGATCGTGGGTGTCGTCGTTTCTAGGGAGCGCTTCTTCATTGAGAAGATTCAGAGGCGAGACGTCGATGTTTTTCTCCATGTGCTCGGCGAAATTGATCCCGGGGAGGAGCTAGGGCCGGAGCATCAGAACGAAAAACAACGAGCAGCCTGTCGGGGATACACCCGCTCCACACCTTCTGCAGCAGTTTCTCCATCTTCTCGGCGCGGTTCTCCAGCGCCTCGACGTAGCTGGTTCAGATGTGTTAATGTATGCATGATGAAGTCCAGTCGTGTTTCACCCATTCGACGAAGACAGGGCCTGAATTCGCTCAAAAAGACGCAACTTAGAAAGCTTACAGAAGCGCCACACACCTTCACATAGTCCTTGTGCGTGCAATCCAGATCGTGCTGCGTGCAGTACGTGCACCGAGCACCCGGCCTGAGCTCGCTGTCGCCTGGATGTCACCGCTTTTCACCAACGGCCCTAGCGCAGGGCAGCCACGTACATCGTACTGCAATGGGGTGAGCGAGCGATGCGCGGGTCGGTCGGTCGGTCGGTCGATCGTACGACACCGATCACGGAATGGGCACGAGACACGCACTCTTTCTCCGGCGGCACGAGTCGCAGGCGTTCTGCGCGCGCCGTGGTTTCGCCTTCGACGCCGGCCGCGAGCGCTGGGGAGGCGTGCTGCGCTGGGAAAGCATGACCGCAGAGGTAGCGGACTGAGCCGTAGCAGTGGCATATGTGCCGGGCCGCGCGGCCGCAAGTGCTTCGAATGTCTTCGCATTTGTAATGACAACACCATAAGTCACATCACGGGATTGACCGCATCGCGCGTGACTGGCGGACGACCCACTTTTGCTGCGCTTTCGCGACGACCCTGCCTCCGGATTCATGTACCTCTTTGTCATCGACGCTGGATCTTTGCATGGAGATGTTCTCCCTGTAAGCGTGATCTGAGAATCTCACTTAGCCAATTCCCATTCAAGCAAGGCCAGCCATAACAGAGACATAAGCATGCACAGTCGAAATATGGATTGGTACGACGAACACCCACTCTGCAGTGACTTACATAAGCACGGAGTAAAGCTCGAGCTCGTTACCCGAGATCATCTCAGAAGTACGACGGGTAGGGCGGAACGTACGGAGGATCCACGGCAGACTCCACGGCTCGAATATGGCAGAGAGAAACTAGGACAATGCGGGCTACTACGGACACCCGGCCCCGATGAACCCCGCTGTAATATGTGTCCGCTGAAGTCGCGTCATGTAACTCAATACGCCGGACTCAGATGCAAAACATCACGGAAAAGGCAAGGATGCGTGCTACTGCGGCCTGTCCCGCGGTGGACACGCCCTGATCTGACAGATGGTAATAAGCTGTACCGGAGTAGACTTTTAAGGAACTCTCGCCAAGTAGGCGTTGTGTCAACAAGAATCGAGATTCAGCAGCAGCCAGATGCCCGCTCCAAGCCGGTGCATGGGATCAGGTCAGTTCTGCGGTCTCGAGGACGATGGTGGAGTCGGTCAGTCTTCTCTGGGAGGATGCTGGACAGTCCAGATGCGTAAAATAATCGTAATGTAATGGCACTGCCAAGTGACAGAGATGCTAGAGACATACAGTGTGATTAAGAGTCTGCTGGGACAGTCGCAGAGCCGGCTCTGGCTTTGTGATAATGCGCCATCGGGTCAGGCGATGACTCGAGGTAAGGAGGCGGGGCCTCGACGAATTGGGATGCCCTGGGGCCGGCCGCAGAGAAAAACCACATCGGGTCCGATGGATCTTTCGGCTGCGGCAGCGGGGGCAGCGGAGGTAGCGGAGGAGCGCCCATAGGTGATCCTGGCGGCACGGGCAGTGAGCGCTGGCTGTACTGGGATCCACGCCGAGATGTCCGCCCTGCAACTGATGGCGTAATGGGTGTCGACGGCTCTGATGGGGGAAGCGGCAACTGCCGTAATCGCATGGACTGCGAGCGCACCAGAGTCCGCGACGGCGTCGCCGGCGAGGGCTCCGATGGACCTGGCGGTGCCGGGGGCATGGCGAGGAACAAGGGCTCCGAAGGCCGCCGGCCGTACAGAGCGGCGAGCGGCTCACGTGGCGGCGTCGACTGGGATCTGTGCGGTGCACGGCCTTTCAGTGGCGTCGGAAGCTGCCGGCTCGCCCGAGAGGTCGGGGCATCAATCGGCGTCGGAGCCTCACGCGACGACGAAGACCGCGAGGTTGACGTCGATTCGTTCGCAAAATGAGTGGGTATCCGGGGAACAGGCGGCGGTGCATCAGGCTTCCGGTAATCCTGTCGGGGGGTAAAGATCGTGTCGGTCTGGTTCGGCGGTGTTTGAGGCAGCACGGGCGATGCCATCGCGCTGTCTCGTTGCCGAGCCCAAGTGTCATCGTCCGAGTCATCGTCGTCTGCAGCCCATGTCGACGTGTCCGGGTTCGGCGAGATGGACGGAAACAGGGGGTCTCCATAGATGATTTTCGCCATCTGCTTCGAGCTCGTCGGCACCGGCGCAGATAGGTCGGGCGTAGATGCATTCCGCGGAGAGGGATATCGTTTGGGAAAGATGGGCTCGCCGTAGAACACCTTGCGCCACTGCGAGGTCGACACCGGCGCTGAGAGGGGTGCCTGCTCGGCGAGCAGGTCGGACGATGATGTCCCGGCTGGCGACGCTTCTGCTCCGGGTCCCTGATACTTCTGCACCAGCATCCAGTCCTGGACATCCGTGACCAGAAGAAGCGCCGTCAAAATCAGGTGGTCGATCAGCAGAATCGACACGCCCTGGTGCATGGGCACCGGCCGAGCGTCGTATCTGTCGTGCAGCGTCTCGAAGATCCTGAGACGCGGGGGGACGCCCTCGAATGCTGGGTGGAGCGTCGCAATGGGGCCTTTGACGCTTGACGTCGTGCACTGTCCCGAGGATCAGAGTCCCCGGAAATGGAGCAGAAACGAGCTCCAACGCACCCAATAGGCATTCCCCATGCGCTTCCATTTCATGCTCCCACCGAAATCGGGTATGGTGAATTTCGACGGTGCACTGCGGCAATCAGTGAGCATGGAGAGGGGGGCCAACGTGATGTGGCGCAGCGACGCACCTCAGCATGGTACCCGGTTTCAGAATCGCATCACCACTCTGCCAACGTCCATCAGACAACTGCACCAACACACCCAACGTCGCCCGCGTCTTGTCCTTGGTCGGTATCTGTCTCGGCCACTTGATTTCCGCCGTCTTATTCAGCCCGTCCCAGGGATCCGAGCGCAGTATGCTTGTCGACGTCCCCGAGGTGCGAATCACATACAGCGGATTCTGCGATACATCGTCCTTGACGGTGGAGTCAAGAAAAGAGACGGAGGAGAGCTTGAGAGTGACGCGGGGGGTCTTATTGTGAGCGACTTCCTCGAAGATTTCTGTTCTTCGCAGGTACGGGACGACAGAGGAAAACACGGAGACACGCGGTGTTCGAGGTGGGTCCGCGAGACGTGTCGTGGACTTGCGCTCGGAAAACGGCGACGAGGACCGGGACATGGACGTCAAGGGGAAAGGACAGAAACCAGGATGTGTACATCACACATTCGACGGCGGGGAGACGGCATATGGGACACCGGAGATAACCATGCATGATGAGACTTGCATCTGGTTCTTCGAATCTGATCAACCTCATCACAATGCCCTCCGTTTCAGGCTTAGAGTGCCTTGCTAGTTCCAGATACAAAGTATAAAGCGAGGAGAGGCGCTAAAAAGCAGGCGGTGCAGATAAGTTTGTGGTACCCATAATTCGCAGCTGGCATCAGGACTAGAAAGAGAGTGAGAATCATACATGGTCGTAATGAGGCTGACAGGTGTATTCCCAGTGCGAAACCAATCAGGTGACCGTCACTTTTTGCCTCCAACCACGACCACTGCTTACAACTATGTCTAGTTCTGCCACCGATCCCAAAGCTCCTGCGTGGGTCCCCGCCTCTGTCTTTCTTTCATACCTGTTGACGCGTCGCATATAGTACTGCCACCTCGACAACCAACGCGTCTGGTGCCTCTCCTGCCGCCGACAAAGGCAAGGGCAAGGTCATAGCCGACGACGCGATGGAAGAGGACGACGACGAAGATGACGACGACGACGACGATGATGACGATGATGAGGAAGAGGACAGTGAAGAAGAAGAGGTATGGTCGACCTATTCGACGCGTTCGACGCGCTCTGACGCGTCGCGTTCCCTCTTTGTGTTCTACAGGATGAGTCTCTCGCAGAGATCGACCCCTCCGTCATCCAGCCGCGTCGCACGCGTGGAATGAAAGTCGATTACACCAGCGCCGAAGCCCTTGCCAAAGGTCGGTATCTCCATCACTGTGACATCGCGTTCTCTGACGTGTCACGCAGCTGGGATGACTGCTCAGGAAGCTGCGGGGGATGAGGACGAGGACGAGGACATGAAGATGAAAGACTAAGCTCGAAAACGCATGCGTGCCTGACTGAAATCACTACACCGCGAAAACTTGCTCGTGCCTGCCATTTCTTGTTCTTTCGCTGTACTTCGCAGCGTGTTTGTAATCCAGAGACCTCTTTGTATCCGCTTGCCGAGGCTTCTGCCTTTGAACTGAGCTCGGAGCGCACTCGCACGCCTTCGGGGACGATGCCTATGCCGTCTCCTCCATCCCTGCAGCGATCTCGTCCCACATGAGTACATGCGCACGAGCTGCGCGTCGACGTCATGGTTGAATCACACTGCGTCTGAAGCCAGCAACAGCCGGTTGATCTTCTGACTGGATTGTCGAATACTTACCTCTCCGACACTCTGGTCATACTAGCGTGTGTCTTCCAGGATGCTTCTTCTACGTCTGGCTTCTTTGACCTCCTCCCGATCAGACGCTTGCGCCATTGCATCCGGCGCACTCCGACCGGTATTTGCTGACAAGCATCCACCGAAACCGTGTCGATGGCCACATCTCCGCTAGGTCTACGTCCATGTTGTCTCCATCAGCATATATCCACATGTCACGGTGGGACTGCTTAATGAAATGGGTGGCGTGGTTGCCGTCCACAACGCCTCCACGGGGCCGCCATCGTCATCGTGCCGCAAGTATTGCTTCTTCTGGCTTCTGGGATCAAGGAACTGATATCAGTGGAACTGTAACATGATATCTGTGCTCGTGCCAAGATGGCCATGCCGATCGTCGAACATAGAATTTAATATCTGGGTCTTTCCGAACATCTCAGGAATGAATGGGAGCGAGTCGCCGGAGAGTCTAGGCCCTTGACGTGCGGAATGGAGGAGTTCTGCAACTGCAAACTAGTTCTCGATGCGGAACAGCTATGCACGGCAACTGTGCTCAGATCCTCTCTGATCAAAGTAGTCTTCGAAATCGCAAACTCGGGAGGTGATACTCTAGATAAAAGTCTTGTCCGTGCAACGGTCCGCATCAGAAAAGAAACCTAGACTTAGTCTTCGCCGACTTTGGATGCATTTCATCCTCCAACGCAGCGAGCATCTGTCTTGTCGGTGACATGGATCCCTGCGACGCCTTTGGGCAACCTTCCTTCTTCCGGAACCTGCGTTCTTCCTCCATAACCGATTGGACCGCCAGCAGCATGACCGGCGACAGTGCGAGTGATTCCGAAACTGTGCGCGTGGGCTTCTGTCGCTCGGGTTTGCAGGCTTGTATGTCTTTGTGCGCGGATTTGTGTGGGTGCAGAATGTTATGCATCGTAGCATGGATGCGAGACACGAGTGGTGAACCGTGCCGTGAGGTGGGCGAGTCAGATGGAAATGACGCCTCGGTCGACCGTACAGTAGTGGGCAATCCTCGACCCAACTGCTTGTGCTGTTCAGCTTTGGTCGCGACGCTCTTCTCTTCTGATACAGGAAGAAAGTGAGATTGGATCGGAGAAGCAGACGTGAGAGAATGCAAGTCAAGTCCAAGATCTGTACGTTCGGACGAAAATGTCGTCTTGTTTCCACTCGCAGATAGAGTGTCCGCCTGGAACATGGGAAGGCGCTCAGGAAGTTCCATGATGGGTGATGGTGTCAGGGTTAACACGTTCGTCGCGCACAGGAGCGAGGGTTTCGTGGACGAGGGTGGGATCCTGGATGCCTGCGTACTTCCGTCAGTACGGTCCCGAGACGGAGAAGACGAGAAGCACCATTGTATCTTTGACCGAAGGACCGGCAATATCACCCTCGACTGGAGCCAGAGTACTTTGCTGAGAGACAGGGCGGACGACGGTTAATCCAAGCCCTACACCGGCCTCCTGACGGAATATGTCGATGGAACGAATCTCAGTCTCTTCCTGGAGTGCAAGTCAGATATTCGAGATCGGTGAGAGGAGATGCAGAGCATACAGAGTGAGAGAGCACCTCCGAGATTGATGCACATGTCCCATCAGAAAAGTCCCTCCTTTTACTCAACTGTTTGATTGAGTCCGAATCGCCCCGACGGTTGCTTGACACATGAGGGAAGGCACCGAGAACAGGAGTCGTGGTCCAATTCTCATCCACGGAAACAACGAGATCAGAATAGGACACACTGGTCGTTGAGATGTTGCATCGTGTCATAGGACTGGAGAGACCGAGGTCGGATTCGAGTTCTAGACAGGCAGGCGAGGAAAGATTCATTTTTTCTACGGAGACTTCATCGGAGCGATAAGGCTCTGTAGAAAGCAGGATCGTAGGAGCGTCGGGAGACAGTATCATTGACTCGAATCGAGCGGACAGCGTCGTTGGAGATGGGGAGGAGCGCATGATGGGGATCGTGATAGAGAGGTGAGAGGACAAAGACGCTTGTGAGGAACCGCATTATGAGTTCCAGAGGTCTCACTGTTCCGCTCGTCAGTCTGGTTTCACTTGGGACTGGGGAGCCAATTTGATAACATCAAGAAGAGGATGAGTTTGCAAGGAGTCCAAAGGAGATATTCACGATGCCTTGAAATTACTTGTTGTTGCTCGCTTGTGCTTGGATGAAGCAGCATAGCTTGGATGGGACTAGGACAGGAAGGTGGGCCAATTCACCTCAGCAAGAGGTGGCTGTGCCCAGTTAATCAAGTGATCAATCCCGTTATCGATAAGTTTCACACATCATGCGACGAAGCTTTCTCCAACGTCTTGGGTAAGTAAGATTTGCAATGAGTGCTGCTATATAGCCTGCAGGTAATGGAGATGAGCGCATGATAGAACAGAGCTTCTCACGGACCGCTCCGCAGTGCTTTCAACCCGGTCGGGTGCAAAAGATTACGACTGTCAGATCTCAGAGGAGGACGGTACTTCGGTCCGGTCCCCGAGCCGGAAAAATCTAAACCCTCCAAGCCCTTCACTATCCACACTCAACACCGCTGTTTCCCTGATCAAAACATCCCCAACGATGGCGGTATTTATCGTAGTAATGGTGTGTCTCGGTCCTAGCTCGATCCCGACTGCCCGCTGATGAGTTGGATGCAGGGAGTCTCCGGAACCGGCAAGTCCACACTTGGCGCCGCACTGGGGGATGTGCTGGGCATGCCGTACATCGACGGGGACGACCTACACCCTCGGAGCAATGTCGAGAAGATGTCGGCGGGACATCCTCTGACCGACGAGGATCGGGCTCCGTGGCTGAAGATCATCCGGGAGACCGGCGAGCGTGTTGCGGGTGAGCAGGAGGCGAAACATAACGCAAGAAAGGCCATCGAGGAGGCCAGGGGAGCGGAAGAGCCAAATGGGGACGCGAAGGAGGCAGAAACCGTACCAGGAGTTGTGATCGCGTGCTCGGCGCTGAAGCGCAAATACCGTGATCTTTTGCGCGGACTTTCCCAGCCAACAATCACGGAGGGCGTGAAGACATTTTTCGTTTTCATTGAAGGAAGTCGCGATGTGCTTGTAGACCGAATGGCGAAACGAACGGGACATTTCATGAAGGTTGGCATGTTAGACAGTCAGTTGGCCACACTGGAACATCCGGGGAGCGAGGACGGCGTGGTGGTTGTTTCTGTAGAAGATCCGACGTCAGCGCAAGTGAAACAGTGTGTTGAGCAGCTGAAGGCATTATTCTAGGATTGTACTAAGCGTAGAGAGCTGAAATACTGTATGTAGCAACTATGATCATGGCCTATCGAAACAAGGCCCAACAACTTGAACGCGTCCATCATGTCCTCACTCTTCCGTTTGCCATCTCTTGCACTTGACGATGAGGACTTCAACTTCCAATCGAACGCGACCCACGTCCTCCCGGAATGGACGCCTCAGTTCTTTATTCGCCCCATGCTTGACAAGCCGCAGAATCCCATCATAGACACACTCAACAATCAAAGCAAACGCGCTCCTTCGACTCTACAGCGCTTTACACTACCTACGGAGCTCGCGTCTCTCACGCTCGACCATTTAGCTCCACCGTTGATACGTCCGTCGCTGCCGGCATTGGATGAAGATCTTCTGTGGACCAAAGCTTTGGCGGCTAGCCCATCCGGAGTATGTCGAGTCGATCTTCGTATCCAGAGAACTCTCTTATGGCCCATAGGAAGTCGTTTCATGGGACTCTTTGACAAAAGACCATAAACCAGAGTCCTCGACCGGATTCATATCTGAGCAAGACCCATTCGTGTTTGCTGCTGCTCGATATTAGTACGTGGTCCTGTGGAGCTCGCGCGGCCGCTCTGATCGTGAACTAGTGTGCAGCCATATTTACAGGATCCTAATACCATAATCAAATACGTCCAGCAATACGAATTGCTCTCCGCCCTGAAAATGACGGTGCTGGGTCTTGCTTCTCCGCTACATGTGTGGGATGAAACCTCGGAGACTTTCGTGACTCTGAGGGGGGAGCATGGAGAGCAAACGATTCTTGTACTGGACGACAAAGACGAGATGGCTAGCTCGAGGTGATTATCCGTCGCATCTTCTACGAAACATATTCATTGCTTTCAGTTACATATCCCGGTTTCTTGCGATCGGCACGCTCATGCGTCGTTTGGAGAACTTTGTTGTCGGGCTGAGGTCGAGGTCAGTTGCTTGCTGTCGATGTCATTGCCGGCCTGGGTTAATGCTCCCAGGTTCTCGAAAGAGGGACCAACGATACACGCCTTCATGCATACGTTGACCACCGTGCTCGTCTTTCTACGAGAATCACTCTCGCAACTTCCATCGGACGCCAGTGCAAGACTGGCGCTGGTCTCGATCTGGAGTCGTTACGAGCTCTACGAACGATTGTTGAACGCCCTGGCTGACTTGTGCGGCCGAGTGTGTGGAAAACCCTTGCAGTTCCTGTTTATTGAAGGCTAACTGGAAGACAGAGTGTGAAGACGCCTTCCTCCAAGTTCACGTTCCCCGATCCCGATCCGATTAGTCTCCTTTCCCTAATCTATGATCGCCTCGAACACCATCTGAACCATCAATCGTCCAGAACAGTGACTGCGCTCATGGCCTTCCTTCTCTCTCGAACTTCGCGAGAATATCTCGACTATCTAGCCCGCTCTGTTGGGCTCGGGCCCATGATCGTCAAAAATAACCGTGTGGTGGGAGAACAGAATGACCAGTACACACTCGATGCCGAGGACGACATGGACAACGAAGACCGGGTTGACTGGGAAAACGTTGGTGACGAAAGCTTTCCGACTTTCTTCCCCGCACAGTTGGCCAGCATACTGCCTGCCGCGCAGAAGTCACTCGTCTTGCTCCGGGCAGCTGAACCGGATCATCCATTGCTGAGTATTAGACCAACTGCGCCCGTCGTTCAGTGGCTCTGGGCCTGGACGGACATCGAAGATATCTGGAACGGCCAATGGAAAGACCTGTCAGCCGGCACGTCTGCAGAGGCTCTTCCTGCTCAAGACGACTCGCCTGTCACGGGCCTGGCTGCCCAATTTCGAGTGTTCGATCTCGAACCGGGAGCTCACCTGCTCAAATCACACGACTCCGCGGTATCTGTCGCAGATTTACAGGCATTCATGGCCACGTTCCCTGAGAATCTCCCGCCAATCACTCCGACATTGGGACATCTGACGGTGCTCGTTTTCGAGCCTCTGATGAAACATGCCTCCGCGCTTTCTGGGGCCCTGTTGACCCACTTCCTCATTCCTACGGCTTCGGTGCAGATACATTCACAAGTTGAACTGCTCTCAGCGTACCTGCTCTTGGGGAAACCGGCGTTCCGATCACGGGTGTCGGCTGCGCTGTTTTCGGATGCAGAGGGTCGGGAACCTGGAGAGCTTGGCCCGGTCTCTGTCCGTGGCATCGGCCGAAACCGAGCTGAAGCTCCGGTGCAGTCCAAATGGCCCGTGGGGCTGTCGTTTTCGTTGTTGGAGCGACAAGTCTGGCCACCTGTGGGCGCCGATCTGAGCTTTTTCTTGCGAACAGTCATCGTCGATTCGTTCGAAGCGTCCGTGCAGGACACGCCCCAGCCATTCTGGATCGAGGCTGAGCGGAGGCTGGGCTTCGCTATCCGGGATCTGCCGGTTGTTCCTGGGCACGATCAATGGATGAATCCGATGGGTGAGGCCTCCATCTATGTTGTATGGTGGGCATTTGACTGAAAGATACCAGCGATCGAAGCCCTTGACTTTTTGTACATGGACTACAAGGCGCCGCATCCGATGGATATCGTGATCAACCAGGATGTTCTGTCCAAGTACCAGCGCATGTTCACTTATCTGCTACGGATCATTCGAGGTATGGTCCCCAGTCTCTTCACAGACGGTCAATGATGACCTCCGTCTCTCTAGTGGAGCATGCCATCGCAGCCGTGTTTCGTATGACCCGCCTCCCTGCGCGTCCAATTTTCCAGACCCTGGTCAAGCCACACAGAGTGCTTCTCCACTTTCGATTCATCGCACACAAGTTCGTCAGCTGCATATCCGCCTACGTGTTCGATACCGCTATCCGCGGGAACTTGGATCCCTTCCTCGCCCGGCTGTCCCCGGACTACCCCCAAGCCAAGCGCGGGTTCGGCGACGTCTTCGCGCTGGCGCGCATGCACTCGTCTCTGCTAGACGACGTGCTGAGTGCGTGTCTGCTGCGCTCGGCCCAGCGGATGGCCGGCGACCTCCTGCGGCAGGCTCTGCAGCTGGTTCTAGACTTTGCGGTGCTCGTCGGGGAGCGCTGTACCGGACGATTGGAGGAATACCAGGCCGAGCCTGAGTTGATCGCTTTGGCCAATGCGTTCCGCAGCAAAGTCAATGCGTTGGTGTGTCTCCCTCCTTCTCTGTAATTGCACAACGAGTGGGGCTGATACATGCGTCAGATCCAGGCCCTGAAAATGCTAGCTGAGAAGGGTTCTGGTACGAAGGACGGTGGCCCCACGGGCGGCCTCGAAGCAATTCCACATCTGCTCGAGCTGCTTTCCGAATGGTGGACAATTAGCGATGACCCTGCTTGAGCCTAGTTTGCCTTCCCGAGCTCTTTCTTGTGCATATTGGCCTCGGGTTCTGTCCGGGCCATTATCTGTCGCTCGTCAGGAGTATTATCATCCACGGCCCCGAGCTGGCCTGTAACTGGATGGCCATCGAGCAGCACGGATACTTGCCGATTGCCTGCTACAGTGATCCCACTTCATCCGAATCCGATGCTATTGGATCTCGAGGCTTCAGGCTTCGTGACGGTCGCCTAGAAATATTCGAGCGTTGTGAGCAGATGTTGAATGAACTTCATGTTACACCGTCCGTCTCGCGAACCTCTGAACACACACTGAGACTCAAGCCCACTTTTAATCACCATGAGCCCAGCCGAGGCCCGCATATGTCGATAACTCCCGAGAGGCATCCTTTGCGAAGTAAGCTGCGGTTTATCTCCACCTCACAACCTGCTCACATCCGTGAAGCGAAATTCGATGTACTATGCATGGCCTCGAATCATCAACATCGTGATGTTCGGGACGAGTGAGAGCCACCGCAGCTTTTGGACTGCTTGGTACGGTCTCGAAAGGGTCGTCCCAACTGCGAGGGAATTCTGCAGCTCTTCTGTCTACCTGATAAGATTGGGTTTACCTTTTTGATAAGATCGAATACATTACGTGAACAATCATTTCTGTCACGTGTGTTCAAGTACTTGACTCGGAACGCACCAGCAGACCGCCTCTTCTACAGGCTGGCTTCATTCTGATACTTTCCCTCCCTCATGAATTGACGCAGCTTGGAAGACTGCATGTAATCCCATTTCCACAATGACTGGCCCGGAAACTGCATGCCAAGATTGATGGGAAAGACGTCACTGGTGCATGCACGCGTCGCTTAACTGTGGATCCCCAGAAACCTCCGTCATACCCAGCCGGGATGTATAAAGACCGGATGCGCAGAACGGTGCTGCCCACACTTCGAACCTTTACGCCTCCATAATGACCTTGACGATCTTCCTTCTTTTCTTTCTCACATCCTACGTCCGGGTCGTCGTCGCGCATCCCATGGCGACACCCATACCCATAGACGACTCGGCCTCAGGCACCCCCGTCCACGCGCGCGCAGTGACGAGCACGTCGAAAGCGGGGATCGCGGGCGGTGGGGACGCAGCGACCGACATGACGCAGTTCCAGTCCACGGGCAAGGTTTCGTGGTACTACACCTGGGGCCTGTACTCGGTCAACACCTCCCTCGAGTTCGTGCCCATGTTATGGGGCGACCGCAATAGCGATGTGTCCGACTGGACGGACGCGTCGTCGGGGATCAACGCGACCATTCAGCAGCGCAAGCCCACCGCTATCCTCGGCTTCAACGAGTGAGTGGCCGAGCGCGACGTGAGGCTTGGGGGACGCGACACTGATGGGTCGCACAACAGGCCTCAAGAGAAGGGCCAGTCGAACTTGACACCACAACAAGGCGCGCAGCTCTGGCAGCAGTACATCCAGCCTTTGAAAGGGCAGGGTCTGCGGCTGGGCAGTCCTGCGCCGTCCAGCGCGCCGTCTGGCAAGACGTGGATCCAGGACTTCCTGACAGCCTGCGCGGGCGGCTGCAGCGTCGATTTCATCGCCCTCCGTCAGTCTGCCATCTCCCTCTCCACGATTCTACGGACACTGACCATCGCGTGCGCGGAACAGACTACTACGACGTGAACGCGACGGCGTTCATGGAGTACCTGACCGACTTCCACAACACATTCCAGCTGCCGATCTGGGTGACGGAGTGGTCGTGCCAGAACTACAACAACGGGCCGCAGTGCTCGTCCGACCAGATCGTGCAGTTCCTCAACCAGACGCAGTCGTTCATGGACCAGACGGACTGGGTCGAGCGCTACTCGTGGTTCGGCATCCTCCGCGATCTGCAGGGCGTCAACACCGGTGACGCGATGATGTCCAAGGACGGCCAGATCAACTCCCTCGGCAAGCAGTACATCGGCGCGGAGGCGCCCCAGACAAGTGGCGGGACGACCGCGGGCTTGCCATCGCTGCCGACGAGTGCTGGTTTGTTGGAGAGGGCGCTGTCGACCTGGTGGATTCTGCTGTCCTTCTCCGCAGCAGCTTGGTTGTCGATCTAAGCACGGACGATGTTTGATATACCCCCCATGGACAATAGATATGCCCTGTATTGTACTTTTATTCGTGCATCACGTGCTGTCACACACTTGGGTGGACCTTCACTCGAATAGTCTGAGACAGCCTGTTCACGCTCTCAACGCGTCTTTCTCAACGCCCACCCAGACCTCTTCGAATCAGCAGGCTGCTCGATGATGCGCTTGCTTCGTGCTCGAACCGACAGATCTTCCAGAGGGAAATGGACTGCCAGACCTCGACGCGTTATCGACACACATTTTGCCACTTTTATGTGTTACTGTAGCTATTTATGGGGGTGCGGGAAAGTGACTGAGCTGCACCGCTTGACCGGTGAGAGTGAAGTTATGGGTCAGGCTCTCAGGCACATCGACACTGAGGCTGTAGCTGCCGGGGTACAACCAGAGATTGCCGCTCTCGTCGGTGCGCGCGAGGCTGCCCAGGGTTACACTGATCGACGCAGCGACCGTCAAGCCAGCCTTGAGCGCAGCCACGCGCGAGTACCCGATCAACGATTTGTTCGGGAACGGCGGCGGCCCTGCCGTCGTTTTCACGAACATCAAGGCGACAAAGTCCGACACGGTGTTCCCGGCGTTGTGCACGTTGATTTTGAACGTGTCAAACGCAGCCAGATCAGGGTGCGCGGCGGATCCGGCCGTCTTCAGCAGAATCGAGATGGAATAACTTGCGACCGGCGTCGTCTGCCAATGGACCGAGAACGTCGTGTAATGCAACCCGAAGCCGAACTCGACGACGGGGGAGCCAGTGTACCATTGGTATGTCCGCCCAGGGTTTCCCGACGTCTTGTTTGGCCGCAGGTTCATGTCGGTGATGGGCACCTGGTTGATGAAGGCTGCGGGGTATTGCGTCACTGGTAGTCGGCCTGCAGGAGCGACCTTGCCGCTGATAATGTCGAAAATAGCCGCTCCACCGCTTTGACCGGGGTATCCCGCCCAAAGAATGGCTCCAACCTATCATGGATACGATTGAGATCACTCGTGAGGGGGGTTATGTCACTTACACCTGGATCGGAAAGAAGCGACGAATCGTCGATCTGCCCCGCACCGCACTGCACCACGACGAGAGGCTTGCCGATAGCCGTCAGATTCTGGATCAGCTCTAGTTGAGCGCCGGTCCATGCGATGGTCTTTCTGTCAAGAGCTTCCCCCTCAACACTAGCGTCTGCAGACAAGGTCAACTCTGAAATGAAACCCTCCAAAACAGAATAGAACCGGCCTACCTATTCCACCAACAAAGACGACGACGTCGGCAGCAGACGCAGCAGCAATCGCGTCGGCAAACCCAGCAGTAGACGTATCGGAAACATTCGCCACGCCGGGAACATAATCGACTTGGTATCCGGCTGCGCTGGCTCCCATGATGGGCGTGATCAAGAATGGCGCGGTGCCGAAGTAGCTGCCCTGCATCTGGGTGGTGGCATTGGCCCACGGGCCAATGACGGCCATCTTCGTCAAGTTTTTCTTCAGCGGAAGCGTTCCGTCGTTTTTGAGCAACACCAGCCCCTCGGTCGCTGAGACGTATGCCAACGTCTGAGCAGATGGGGTGTTCACTGCATCCCATGTGATCTGCCGATACGGTTGCTGGGCGGGCGGATCAAAGTACCCAAGACTGCGGCGATATCAGAATTGCGCGCGCACCCGCGAGGAGTGGATATCACGCACCGCACAAGAGACGAGTACAGCCGCACGACTGCGCCCTCGACATCGGCGCGGTCTGCCAGGCCTTGATCGATGGCCGCCTGGAGATAGAGAGAGAAGGTGGTCCCGCAATTCACATTTGTCCCGGCCTTGATGGCCACTGCAGCTGCAGCGGGGTAGGAGTCGGTGTACGCGTGAGCATCGAAGATGTTGGCGACGGCATCGCAGTCACTGGCAACCCAGCTGTCATTGCTGAAGCCATAAGAACCGACCAGCAAGTCCTGGAGCAGATACGGGTCGGCGCATGTAGGCACGCCATTCACACTGTCATATTGAGTTGTCAGACGCTCTCACATAAATGAAGAGCATGTACTCACGCATTGTAGGAGCACATGACCGCATTGACCCGGGCATCGCGCACACACGTCTGGAAGGGGCGCACGAAGTACTCGCTCAGCTCTTGGGTGTTGATGATAGCGTTGAATGAGGTACGCCCTCTCTCGACGTCATCTGCGCGCGTTAAGGCAGTGCATGAGGAAGCACAGAAAAAGACGCACACCCAGCCCAGTGCTTGCACACTGCCGTGTTCTTGATGTACGGTTTTGGATCGATCCCACCCTGGAAGCCATCGATGTACTGATATACGTACTGTGCCGCACGGAACGCGTCTTCTCCAGGCGTCTCGGGGCCCCGGCCCCATCGTGGGTCACGCCACGGGTTGATGTTCGGTGCAAACCAGTCCAGCCCACTCCGCGCCGCATTCGAAAACGCACGCGCTTCAGTGCTGATGGTTGTCGCGACAGCTTTGATGAGCTGGAACAGACTTAGGCCGCGCGGACGCCGATGTCCGACGAAAACTCACAGCGTCGTCGAATGCAGCACTCATGACGATGGGCTGAGGAAACTGCACGACACGGCGTCAGAAGCCGTGCAGCATAGACAACGCGACAAGCCGTGACTGACCGAAGTCGCGTAGCTGAAATTCCCACTGGCAGAAAACTTGACGCCGTGGACGGTCGAGATACCGTGCAGCGCCTCGCTCCACCATTCGTACCTGGGTATCCCCAGCCGCGCCACGCCAATAGCCGTGTTCACAGTGTTGTTAATGAGCTCCGTCGTGGTCATCACCGCGACGAGCGCCTGGGCTCGGGTGATAGGGTCCTTGGAGGTGTCGCACACAGTGTTATTGGCCAGCGGCCCATTGACGCAGTCAGGGAACTGCCCCCGGACAAGAGCCTGCAGGGCAGCGAGAAATGTGAGGAGCAGAAACATGCGCGCGCACAACAGCCCGAGTGGTTCCAGTGGAGTTTTATAGGTGCATGCTGGGATTTCTTCGGAGCACGAGCGATATGAGCTCCCCAGATTGGGCTTTGCGGAGACGCAGAAACGTCTGAAAGGAAAGGCGGAGGCGGTCGGACCGCCGTAGGAGTCATGCAGAGGGTCAGATGAGACGTACGAACGACGTTCGACGCTCTGTCGATCAGAAACTCTAGGTTCTCCCCCAAGTTCGTCACGAAGATCCACTCACGTTGGCCTGTAGAGCTCGGGATGACGAGCGTGCCGAGACAGCTGCGACGCTTCTGTCCGAAATAGTTAGGGATTTAACACGTTCTTATCACGTTCAAAACCCCAAATGTTGGTATCACTGTGAGCACCAACAGCGCGCACTTCATTACATGTCATCATGTACTTACTGGTCTGTCGTAAGCTTAGATCACACAGTGCGCGTGCACGTGTCGCGGGACCGCTGACTGTCAAACAATTGATGTGTGATAGACAGCTAGTCGAATTCCCACCAAAAACCGATCAGTCTTCCGTCACTCACCTCGTGCACCTAAGCTAGACTATCATGGGCCAGTTGGCTGACGCGATTAGAGTGCCGACAACTCATTGTCTGTACATGATTACACTTGTTCCTACATATAACTATGCTCAACTCAAAGGCTCGCTTTTTGCCACTTGGCTGGTGCGCCATCGGCAATAGCCAGATAGGGCATGAGGTCGCTCGTCAGGAACTCACTCGGCCATTCCCTGCGGATCTGCGCCTTGAGGTATTCGACAGCGACGGCGAGATCCGCCTCCTTCACGCCAGGCGCGAGTTTCTTCACACCCGGCGCGAGGTCGCCGATGAGCGAGTCGACGAGCTCGACGGTGACCGTCTCCCCCGTGTCCAAGCGCGACCCGTATTTGACCCATTGCCACAGCTGCACCCGCGTGATCTCAGCCGTGGCCGCGTCCTCCATGAGGTAGTTGAGCGGGATGCAGCCGTTGCCCCCGATCCAGGCCGCCGTGTAGGCCAACGACGTCGACACGTTCTCCTTCACTCCTGCCTCAGTGATCTGTCCGGGGACGGAGGTGTTCAGCAGATCAGCAGCGGCAACGCGCACTTCCTCCCTGCGCACATGGTACTGGCAAGCCATCAGGAGACCATACGGGAAGACGGCAACAGGAAGACACACCTGGTTGGGACCAAGCATGTGTTGATCGAACACCGGGCGCGCAATCGACTCGATGAGCGGGTGGGCAATCCAGGTCCCGTCGTGACCTGCGAGCACCTCCCGCAGTTTATCCGCACGGACTTTGTCCATCGCCACTTCGTTCGCCTTGGCGTCGTTCTTGATCGGGATTTGCGCTGACATGCCACCCATGGCAGCGACTTTGCGCCTACGTTAAACGTTAAGCCATCAGGAAGCAAGGAAGCAAGGCGGGAGGGAACACACTTGTGACAGGTCTGGATGAGAAGCCGCACATACGCGTCCATGAACCCGACCGTCATCGTCACATCCTTGCGATCCGGGAGCACCGCACTGCGATCGGCACGCCGCTTCTTGATGAAGCTGAAAATGTAGTCCCATCGCCCACAGTTCAGGCCCGACGAGTGATTCCGCAGCTCGAACAGGATTTCCTCCATCTGGAACGCAGCGGGTAACGTCTCGATCAGCACCGTGGCGCGGATGGTGTTGTGCGGGATCGCGAGATAGGACTGCGAGAAGAGGAAGACATCGTTCCATAGCCGGGCCTCGAGGTAATGCTCCATCTTGGGCAGATAGAAGTAGGGGCCCAGACCACGCTTGACGAGCTCCGCCGCATTGTGGAAGAAGTACAGACCAAAGTCAAACAAGGAGCCGGACATGGGAACGTTGTCCACAGTCAACCGGGGCTCGTCGAGATGCCATCCTCGTGGACTGGACCGCAGTTAGTCATCCTGCAACTTTACGACAACGCAAACGCTGTGGCATCCGTACCGTACGATAAGGACCGCGGGCTTCTCGCTGAGCTTGTAAGCCTTCCCGTTCGACTCAAAGTCAATCTCTCGACGAATGGCGTCGTGGAGGTTAACCTGCCCTTCTACCAGATTCGAAAACGTCGGCGCGCTCGAATCTGCAGCGCAATGTCAAGCAGCCGCAGGGCGACGCACACAAACCGACCGCGCGCAACGCACCTTCGAAATCCGCCATGAACGTCTTAGCCCCGCTGTTCAGCGCGTTAATGACCATCTTCCGGTCGGTCGGCCCCGTAATCTCGACGCGCCGGTCCTCGAGCCCCGGCGCTGGCGGCGCGCACTGCCACGACGGCTCCGCGCGGATGTTCGCGGTCTCGGGATGGAAGTCGAGCGGTACGCCCGAGTCGAAGCGGCGCTGTGCGTCGTCGCGCGCGTCGAGGAGCTTCCTGCGCGTGGACTCGAATGTCCGGTGCAGGGCGGCGAGGAACATCAGGGCGTCGTCCGTGAGGATGACCGCCTGCGCCTTGGGAGCGATTTTAGAGTGTACGTGCAAGCCCTGGATCATGATAGTGATAGTTGGATGTGGAAGAGAGGTGTATTAGGTGTGCAAAGCCTTGTGTGCAAAGCTCGCATTTATGGGAGTGCGTCATTAGGGGCTACATTCTTTATCCAATCACATGTCATGGCAATCCACGGAACACGGACACGGCTCAGCGATCCCGCACGGTGGTCCGAAATTCGACACGGCCTGCCTCCTAACCCGTACGACGTCGACGACGGGAACAGTATTGATTCATCATTCCACGGGGGAACGAGATCGCTATACTCTCCGTTGGACGTCTCGGGCATCTACCGGGGACCTCCGTCGCTGACCTTGAGCGAATGCCAAATCAGGCATGGGAAACTACTTGAGCAGCCTGACCTAGACGTCTCCGGGACCGGCGATGTCGATTCCCGTACACTCCCAGCAGATGGTGCAAGCGTAGATTACAATGTACATGTGAAAGTCAACAGGTACGTCAGTCAGCCCACACTAGCTTCCGCCTTCTTCTTCTCGTCTTGAGATGCGGAGACGTTTTTGGCGGCTTCGGCTTCGGCAGCTCGAACTACATGGGCCCGTATATAAATATCAAGCCGTTCGCGCTGCACGAGACTCACCGGCACTCATCTCCTTGGCCACGCGCTCGCCCACCTTCAGCACACGCCGGCACGCCATCTGCCATACACCCACACTCACAGACCCTGGCACACGGGGATCGGAGGGACATTCAGACGGCCAGTCAAAAGACGTACCAGCTGGAGCAAAGGGCAGCGACAGCCACCATGTCAGCGGGCCGAACCACGTCGGCGGGAGGTAGAACACGGCCGCCTTGCGGTACCACCACCCGACCACGAACTGCAGCCCCGTCGTGAGCACCCAGATCGCGGTGTTGAACTTGAGCGAGAAGGCCGTCTTGCGGGACGAGATGTCCCCGTCTAGAGAGTGCGCGCATCCATCAGCAACGCGCGAACGCGATACGGCAGGGCGCGCGTACTGAGTTTCTCGAGATCCGCCAGCCCCTTGTCCACGCTGCGCCGCAGTTTCGCCCACTTGGCGAACTGGTCCTGTGCGCTCGTGCGTAGAAGCTCAGCTTTGAGCGTGAGGATGTCGGCCTTGAGCTTGCGCTGCTTCGTCGCCGTCGCGGTGAAGAAAACACGCAGGTACAGCGCATAGACCTGCAGACCAAGCATTCAGTCCAGCGCACGCACGCGTCGCAAATGCGAGTGATGCGCGTACAAATTCAAGGAGAACCGATTTTCCTATCCATGCTATGAGCTCCGTGACAAAGACCAGTATGAAAATGGTGAAGAGGAGAGTCATCCTCGCAGACTCGCGTGGCCTGGAGGAAAGTGATGCGTGGAGCTTACGTAACCGATTTTGATGGTTTTCGTGATAAGCTTTAGCTGAACTCTCACTTGGTTCAATCACATAAATACATGCGCTGGATACTACCAATCAAGAATTCAAAAATCAGCCCCAGTCTTTTCCTTCGCCTCTGAATGAATGTCGCTGCCGGCGCCGGCATCGGCTCCGGCATCTTCAGGGTCTTCCGATGCGGACACAGAGAAATTGGTCCCGGTAGTCCTGGTCATCTCGGAATTACGGGCGAACCGAATGCTAGTTTCAGGACCGGATCTGAACAGCGTGCTTCGAGTTGGGCCGGTAGTGTGCTCGAAGCGCAACTGCCCTGAGGGCGGTGCCGACTCCTCTTCGAGGAACGTCGTCTCGTTCAGAGATCGATTGCCGTTGACGAGGAGGATGACAACCAGCGGATAAGCGCCCTGTGATAAATGACGTGGTTTTTGGTCTAGCACACTCATAGACAGACGACTCACTGCAATCTGCACATTGATTGGAGTATACAGATCCCCGACAGTGCCTGCTGGCAAACGGATCACAGAGGCGACGATGACAGTCAGCTATACGATCATGAGCACCCATTACATACGAATCAGAGAAAACGCACCCCTGAGACGCAGTACAACAGACCCGACTCGATCAAAAGGACCAGAATCCGCTCGGCTTTCGTGCCTTTTTTATTCTTGGAGAACATAGCAGCCCCACCAAGCACTCGGCGGTGGCGTCTGTGCACGAAACTTGAGCCGATCCCCAGAAGCCAAGTTAGAGACACGTGGCTTACAAAGCAGTGGCACCGACCACGGCGGTTGCGGACAGGTTGGACAAGAGCGAGAACCCAAGATTGCAGATTTGCAGGATATCGATCATCCTGGAGAGTAGTGGTGTGCTGTGGCCGTCGACATAGATGATGATTCGGACAACAATACTGCTGGGGACAGTGACTGCGTAATTCAGCTCAATACGATGCAGCGGAGCGCACACGACTCAATCAACAGAGAACGCACGGGAGGTGAGGATCCAGAAAAAGATCGTGAAAAATAGATATCTTCGGTAGTTGCGTGCCGATATGATCCAAGCTCGCCAAATCACGATCGCGTCCGTAAAAATATACTCCAATATGTTAATACAGACGCGTTGTCAGGACGATGAGCGGTGCTCACATTGACGAGGACCAGATCATTGAAGATCGGGTACCAGGAGATGTCCTTTGGGCTATTCGACAGCGCCGATATAAAGTCGGATGGATTCTGGGCGTTGTGGATAAGATCGCGGGTCTTGTGCGCCACGACCTGTACAGAATAGCCCCAATAGGCAGCAGAGAGGAGATACATGAGCAAGGTCAGGCTGAAGATGGTGTAATTCGTGCGGCTCGTCAACCCGCGAGCTCTGCGACCAGGACCTCGGTTGGCAAACAGAACACCACGGCGGCAGCGGAATCAAACTTACAGCAACGCCCGCGTAGATAGCACAATCAGCAGACTGTAAATGCCTGTAATCTACATTTCAGTGCACCGAGTCGTCTTCGGGGCCAATCCAACACTGACCGAAGAAGAAAGTCTGTACCACAAGTCCGACGGAGTCATATGTCAAGACCCGGCCAGCCTGTTGAATCAAAGAGTCCAGCGAGGTCGACATCTTGCCCCGCACAAGAGGGGAGAACGAGAAAGAGGATGTGAAGTAAGCGCGCTCTCTCGCAGATACATACTTGAGAAGGTGTAGCTCTTACACCACCCGTGCGCTTCCTTGATGGATTAACAATGGATAGATTGCAGTCAAGTTGATGTCGTCCCGGAATACCACGAGACTGCGGAGAGCAGCTTGTTGAGATCTCCGTCGGAGTGATCGTTAGGTTGTCGACAACGCGAAATAGGACAATCCAGTCAATGTCGGAGGCATCAGTGATTCAGAGCACAAACCAACCGAGCTTAATACAGGAGCAAGGAGTCGCGCGTCCAGTAAGAAGCCATCATGATTCCGTCCCGCCGCGCAGCACATGCTGCACCGCGGATCCCAGACACAGGCACCCGGTCAGATGATTCAGTGCACCAAAACCAACGTTGAACAACACAAAGGCCACTACTCAGTGATATCGTACAACGGAACGTGCCCCGGCCGCCCTCCCTCCTGGCGATTACCTACGTGATCGCGGAACGCTCCGCTGGAGGGATCCGGCATCGAAAGCCGCGCGGCGCTCGCTTGCGAATACGCACTGCGGGAGGAGGCAGCCCCGATCGAGGGCACCCGCCCCAAGCTTTCCGTCGTCTTCGCCTCGATGGTCGAGTGGTGCGACGGCGGCGGGCTCCATGCCGATTCCGCCAAGGACACCGACCTGGTTAGGGCTACCCAGTGCTCCGTGCGGTTGTGTGAGCTCGACGTTGTGTCGATCTCGCGGACTAGCAATACCAGGCGACTGCTCAGTTCTTGTCTCTGCTGCGAACCGCCATGAGGAAACCATACCTTGATCCTTGGCATATCCAAGCAACGCACGCCGGTCAATACTTGACGCTGCACCCTTCGCTCCTCTCTTCCCGCGGAGCACTAAGAAGACTCCGAGGGCGAGCAATCCCAAGATGAGGCCTGCGCCTAGGCCGATCATCGCGACCTCGAGGCTCGAAAGCGCGGCGGGCGTCCTATTCTTCTGGGGCACTGCATCTTGAATCCCGAGCGTCGTTGGCGGCACGTCGAGAGCAGCTTACATTTGCGAATCCGAGCTTCAGAAAAGTCACGAAGTGCGCGTCGAATCTCATACATACTTTGAGTCACCACTATTATGGAAGATCCTGAGAGCGCGCACTGAGCATTCCTACTGAGCAGATAGGGAGATATATGGATGGCGTACCCGAGGTAGGCGCAGTGTAGATGACCGGCACCGTAACAACTGTCGCGTCTGGGACCACAACGCTCGTCATCGTTCACGCACGCGTGTATCTGTCTATTCCAAGCGCACGCGAACGGGGAGAACTGAACAAAGAGTGTTATAAATTCGGTAGAGCGAAAGAGAGAGATAGGAAAAAGCGTCAAGGAAACGAGCAGAAAGCGAAACCCTCGCTTACCGAGGCCGCTGAAAAGATCGCTGTGCAGAGAGCGGGGTTGCATGGCCGTATTGAAGGCTGAGGGCCTGGAATGGTGTTCTCACGAATGCAATCCGAGCACCTCAGAACTGAATGGCGTCAATATCCTCGGCATTCACCCGGCGTTGCTGTGACGACTTCAGAGTTGGTCGAAAGGAAAGATGATGACCGCCTTTGTTGTACCTGAATCTTGCCATGATCACATCTAATCAGGAGGCTGTGCCCCGCCAAGCGAAAACTAGCTAACCTGGGCCCCCGATAGCATTTGTGTCTTCGACTTTTATGCATTCATTAATACTTCTACCGCCCCATCCAGCCACCGTCGACCACAAGACTCTCACCGCACACGTAATCGGACGCGCGACTCGCCAAAAACACGACCGCGCCCTCAAAGTCCTCTGGCGCGCCCCACCGCGCAATGGGAATGCGCTCCATGATCTGACGCGACTGCGTCGGGTCAGCAATCAACGCGGTGTTCATCTGGAGAGAAAGGGAAAGTATTGGTCAGAGGGGAGGACTGGCTGAATGATCGGGACACACCTCGGTGGCGATATATCCCGGAGAAATGCTGGAGACAGAACGTTCATTCATTCAGCATTTCCGCGACACGAGACCTGCTCACCCGTTCACGTTGACTCCCTTCGAGCTCCACTCATTCGAGAGCGCCTTGATCAAACCTAACACCCCGTGTTTCGAAGCAGCGTACGCAGGCACAGTCAGACCACCTGGAAGAATCGAAGCGTATCTTGTCATTCATGCTATCCGGTGCGACCTGGATGTGCATGCACAAACCTTGATATGACAGCAAACTGGCCACGTTGATTATCTTGCCACGCCGTCCTGTGAAGCCCACACCGCGTTTCGCCAACATGTGTCTTCCGCAATCTCTCGAAAGAGTCCACACCGCTTGCAAGTTCACTTGCAGTACCTTAGACACACATCGGACAAGAGCTCGACCCGTGGACTGGTGATACGCACCTCGTTCCAGTAATCGTCAGAGAACGTCTCCGCAGGCGCTCTGTGATGTCGATGAGCTGATAAGTAGCAGGGGGGTCATGGAACGGTCTGACCGCCGCTGGATTCCACCGCAGTTGACGAGGATGTCGATGCTCAAACCCATCCCCTCGACCTTCTCCACGAGCCCTCCAACTGCTCCTTCACGGCGAGATCACACTGCACGACGGTGACATTGCGGCCCAGGGCGCGCGCCTGCTCGGCCGTCTGCTGGTTATCGAGCGTGCGCTGCGCGAGCATGCACGCGTCAGTGGGATCGGATGGGCAGATGAACGCAACGGACCTGGACCAGAATCAGATCGGCGCCGGCCTTGGCGAGCGCGAGCGCCATCGTCTGGCCGATCCCGCGCGTGCCTCCCCTGCCCAGTTCCAGATCAGACGCGCACGAAATCCACGGACGACGAGACACGAGACACGTACGTGACCAGGGCGGAGCGCCCTTGGAGCGAGAAAAGAGATGTCAGATATTCGTTGGAGGACATGGTTCTGGAGAGGAAGTGTGGGTGGGGTGTTCCTTGTCCATTTCGTGGAAGTGTAGATTTAAAATAACAGGTCCTGAGTGAGGGGATCCGGGATCCGGTCCGACCTGCCGAAGTGGGCCCATCCGATCAGCAAACTACCAGTCGCATCAATCACGAGGGCGTACGGGCCGCTCCTCGAGCAGAGCGCAAGTGCGCCGCGCTGCTGATGCGTACTGAATTTGACTCCGGTATCCTCCGGAATATGTAGACGCAGTGAATTAGAGTGCAAAAATGGAATATCTAAGTATACACTCGACAGGAGCCTGCTGGAACTCAGTCCCGAGCCATAACTTCTCAAAGCCTGCTAGCAATTCCTCGTGCGAAAGCAGATATAGGAAGCTTCAGATCGAGTCCCGAGTCGTACTTCCGAACGCCTGCCAGCAATTCCTCGTGTGAAAGCAAATCTAGGAATATTCAGATTGATGGATGGGAAGGGATAGTTCGGGATTTAGTTTTGTTCGACTGTCGTTGACCAGCAGCTTGGAAATTTGGTGCGGCCGCGTGCGCCGCCGTGACAATAGTGCGACTTTGGATTGCGGAAGACGCCGGATGCCGACTGAGTTGCATTGAGCGAAGGCAGGCAGTCCCAGACCCGCGAGGTATACCAGATCCATTCGTCAGTACTAGACAGCAGTCGTATGTGGGGTAGGACAGGATTGACATTTACACAGTTGGCGATGTTGGTATGATGGGAGCGAAGAGAGATCAATTTTAATCGAGCCCAGCTCTCCGGTGTTTAGTAGTGGTTGAAGGATTCCAGGTCCGAGCATCTCCGGACTTTCCCTAACCAAAGAGCGGCTCCTGACCACAGAGCCCAATCCTGGTTGCTGTAATTGCCGCAATCGCCATATTCTCCAGTGTGCACAGGCTTGGATAGACTGAAATGTTGAGCAGATTCTTATACTACGCCCGTTGAACGTATTGCGTATCGTGACACCGGAGAGGACTGTCATCTCGAAAGGGCTATTCTGTGTTCGCGGAGAATTGAGGGCACATCGGATCTCTGGCAGTATCTTGGAGATCGGGTCGGGCCCCGCAACCCGAATTCAATGAGAGCTCAGACCGACGTCGGACGACCCGGTCGAGTCGGACCCGCAGTCGCGGCTTGGTTCGGGTTTGGTGGCCAGCGGCCTATCGGGGAGCACGCCGTTGTGGAAAGCGTCCCTGGGCTGTGTTGCTGTGTGGTACGCCCTGTGAATCTCCGGGGACAGTCGAAACGAAAATCCGGGATCGTTCAGGTCGTGCCGGGGCCCACATGATACGGGGCGCGGATCGGTCGATGTGGCCGACCCGACCCTTGGCTCCACAGCAGCCTTTTCCGAGTCGGGCTCGCGTCGGGCCCGATGATTTGCCTCGCGTGTCGCGGGTCCATAGATCCCACAATTCTCTCGCATCACAGACACGACCCTGCGAATAAACCATTTGTCTTGGAGCAAGCCGGGTCAGAACATCCATCCCCTGTTTCCACGAGCGAGGAATCGCAGTCGACGAACACCGCCGTGGACTCGCCGGGGTCCCAGTCCATAGTCATCGAGGAGTGCATGCAGACTGACAGTGATCAGCGAGTGACTGGGACTGCTAGCAGTCCAATGACGACAGTCCTCACCGGACAACGGGCTGCCCGATATCCAACAGAGCCCGTATCACTCAAGAACCGGGCTTCGAGATCCGGCTCCATAGCCCTGAGTCCCGGGATCGGATGAGGACTGCCCTTTAAGTTCGATCAGCAGTCGAGATATCTCCCCCGACAGTATCCGCGAGAAGCAAGGTAGTACAGCAAGCTACCCTCCGCAGGGTCATCTGGGCACGCCACCATATCGGCGTCGGCGGGGCTTGGCTTTGAGTCCACCACACGCAGTGAGAGGGGCCAGGCGTTGCCGGCAGGGTCGCAGTCCAGACACCGTGTGCCATGTCGATGTCGGGTCTTCTCCAGATTCGAGTCGCCGTCGCTTCGGGAAACATCGCCCCCCGAGGGGAGCCAGAGGGACGCGGTGGAGGAGGAATTGAGTCCGACACGCACAGTCGGCACGTCAGGAGGACGCAGGCAGGGACGATAACGATTGCACATGCTGGCAGTTGGATGACAGAAGACTTGGGTCAGGTTCAATGGAGTATGATACTGCCCAGTGAGCATGATGTGGGGCCCAGACCTGGAAAAACTGGCCGTTTCGGTCCAGTCCATTTTGGGGCAAGTCCTTACCCAATTTGGATTTAAGCACAGCCGCAATGACGCGCCGCGCGAATGTTGGTCTGCACTCTAAAGTCTAAAGCAGATGCAGATCACGGAAACCGTAGTCTACGCGTTATGTTACGCTATCTAAAAATCCCCGCGGCTACGAGCTTCAGCGAGACTCAGCTCGATCGCAAGACGCAGATCGTCGTCCATGTCCTCGTCATCATTAGTGCGGCGGGGAGAGGAGCTGAGAGTCATCGAAACTTCTGGACTGACGAGAGGTTTGCTCCAGGCCGATTTGGCGGAGCTTCCGCGGGGACTGACGCTGCCGCGGATTGTGGGGAACGGGCCGCTCGGTCTAGCAGTAGCAGCAGGGATGGACCACGGCGAGGAACGCCCGAGGGAAGCCTCCTCGGCTCAGCACGATGCGGGGGCGAAACTTGTATCTTGCCGGTTGAGGTCGAGGCCGCAGCTCGAGGGATGGGCCGTCCATTCCGCCTGAGACTGGTCGAGGACGAGATACGTGATGGAGAAGACGACACGGATGACGGAGGGGACCCGTTCGACGAGCCAGACTCGGACCGGCGAATACCCGATGCAGTACCGTTGTCGTCGTCAAAGTCGCCTTCAAACACGCCTTCTTCGGCAGCAGCCCGGGCGGCGGCCTCTTCGCGACTGAGCATCAGAACGTACTCGACAGCTTCCACTTCATCCAGGCCGAGTGAGTCCAGATGACTTTGCTGCTCTCGCTCGCGCCCGAATACGCGGCGGACCTGATTGCTCTCTTCCTGCAACAGGAACTGCGACTCGTGCAGTTCTTGCTTCAATTCCAGTTGCTCTGCCTTCGCGTCAGCACAGAGATCACGTATGAAAATCTGCGGGCCGGCTTACGGTGGTACTTGCTGGCTGCATGCTTGTTGACGGCAGTTCGCGCCTTCTGCTTCCCGGACGATTTGGATATTTTCATGCCTCCCCGAGGCACGGGGCCAGCTCGCCACGCCATCACATGATCGGCAATGGCGACAATCAGCACCTCCTTCTCGGCTCCTAGGAGAATCTGCGTGACACCGGGATTCACGGCAGCAGCGGCCTGCATGAAAGGCGCCGGAAATCTTCGCCGGGCACGGGCGACGAGATCGTTCGCAAATGCCCGAGAGTGATAGCATCCCAGACTTTGGTCGTTCCTTGGGCACATCCCGTCACGAGCGTCACCCCATTCCAGGCGAGCGCAGTGACCGCTGCCGCATCCTCGAATGCCTCGAATTGGTATGATGGCAATGTCTTCGAAATGTTGGTCCAATCATAGATGCCGATGCAGCCCAGCGCAGTACCGGCAATGACGAAGCTATGTTCACCGCGCTGACCGGCAAAAGCCGGCCAGATTGAGCATACAGGTCCCAATGCTTCGTCACCGAATTTCCACCTTTCCGCGGTGCCGGCAGCAAGGTTGACATCAACACGATAGAAGAAGACGGAATCCGCTAGTGTCACGAGTAAAACAAGCGAGTCGCCCACGATCTGCATGTACAGAGCCGTAATATCACAGCCGGACCCGTCGTCCTGCAGGAATGCCGGTATCGTGACTGTCGGAATGGTCGGGAGAACATCCGGGACGGTAAACCCGCTCCAGACCAAGATCGTACCACTGCCGAACGCCGCAACGACAATGCCCTGGTTGATACTGGATGCGATCTTAATACCGGGGTCCGTGAACCGAGGTTCAGATGACCAGAGACATGTTGCGTGTTTGGGATCCCACAGTCTGATCCTGCCATCCCCGCCGGCAGACAACGAGTAGTTGCCGTCCCAAATGATATCATTGACCGGTCCCTCGTGCTGATCAACTAGACGGCAACGGGAGAATTTGGCTGCGGAACGGCTGCTCGTATCCATAGCTTTATTGGAGGAAGTGAACGCGACCTGTACGGAGGCAATGAGCGCAGTCCGTCCGATGACAACGACAGATTACCCACCTCTCCATTGCGGAAGCCCCACGCGACCTTGGCAGTCCCACCGTCAGAGGCCAGCGCACACACCGAGACATTCGGAGTGAATTCCGTATTCGGGTTGCCGATTCCCAGACCAGTTCCACTCCCTGCCGCATCAAGATAACCGCGGAGAATCCGCCCATTGAATGGAACACTCCGGGCAACAATGCCGTATTGGAGTGACGAACTGATCAGTCCATGTCCAGGCATCATGTGGATGGCCGACACCGGCGAGTTCAGCGGAATATGTGATGTCGTGCTTGTATTAGATCGTTGCCAGCGCCTGGGGGACGGTGAGTAAGATGAACCTGCGCGTGACGAAAAAACTACCGTCTCAGCGTGTGGTAGAGAATGAACTCTTTCCTCCAAGTCGGCTGCGATCTTCGAAGTAAGAGCGATTGAGAGGAGTCGAGATCAGCCTCGGGGTGTATGCCGAGAAATTGGCACGCAAAGGCACGATGCCAGATGTGATCCTGCCTTACGTGGTCAGACAGGAATACATTGACTTGTCCGAGAGCGAGGAGTGATTCTGGATCGAGGTGCGCAGTGATGTGCGAAAGACTTTCGATAGGAATATGCAGCAGGAGTAGGCCATATTTGGGTGATGTTGCAGATTCAAGAAACTTGTGGGACGTGGAAGGATTCTGAGAGAGTGTTGTTTTTCTAAAGAGCATAAAACGGGGGGAAGCTTGAGATTGGACGACGAGCGCGATAAGGCGCGCTAGGTGGCGGTATGAAGAGAACCGGATTGAGGAGTGTGACCACACCGCTTGTCACAATCGGCCGCTATGGCATCCCAGCCCTTTTTCCTCGTCCCTAATCTTCAGTGTCCTATGCTTGAATTCTCAATAAGTTCTCCGTGACTATCTTTGGCTTTTTCTGTCTTAGCTTACGAGCTGCCACGATTGTCTTGAATCTCTCAAAAACAGCACTCGACGAATCAATCATGTTGTCCTATCATTAAGGTCCACCTGAGCCCTTGCGCATGCTCGCTTGACATTTGGACTGTATTTCCGCAGTCAAGATTGTCTATTTGTGAACTCATATACCCTCTGAAGGCATCATCTGCAGTCTCCCTTCTAGCTCCATGACACTAGAGCCCGCCTCCTGTAAAGCTTTTAAAACTACTCAGCTCGTAAACATGGTATCCCCCCTCCGATTTCTGACGGTTCGATGGCCGCTACAGCAGCGAGAACAGCAAGAGCCGCGAGCACAGTTGTGTTTGTCATACCCACTTCTGAACAGCACACCGAAGTCTCCACTGATTCGGCTTCCTTCCTTTCTGCTTCTCGTGCGTCCATTCATACAACATGCACAGGAGGAGTCTAAGTGGTACAGCCCAAGATTCCTTCACCATTCAGACCGCTATCACCTTGGAGACTGAAGCAGCCCATGCGATTGCTTCGAATTCGTCTGACCGGCGTAAGACGGTTGCTCTCATCTCCGGAACCTGTGCAGGCGCCGCGCTGCTCGGATCTCTGGTTGTCATATTAAGCATCTTCTGGTGCAGACGGCAGAAACTGAAGAGACGACTGGAAGAAGTGCAGTCGGAGAATACATCCGGTGAGCAACCTTGTCTACGCTTGCTGTATTTCATATGTTAACCCTGTGTAATTACTCAGAGAAGTTCACCACGTTGGTAGATCCTGAAGCTGTTTCAGTGCCCCCGCCCCACACCTCTCAATCGCATCGGAAACATAGATGGGTTGTTCGTAACCGGGCTGCATCTGACACAACACTTTCCTCATTCTCCTCTCCAACGGTTGTCGATCCTGTGCTTGAGATAGCAGAGGTGGCTACCAGCTTCAGCGCTTATTCGCAGCCCACTGCTTGCGGCACTGCCTAGGTACTTTTAAGTACTGATTGTATCACATCTGCTGATTTCACATCGGCCGCGGAGCGGACCGAGGCCCAAACGAGACCGACCCATGAGATTTGATAAACTACGTCATTGATCATCGTGACATTCCTGACTTGTGACCGGGAATCGTTTCTCCACCATCAAATCGCGGAACCCAAGTGCGGTTGAGAAGCATCGGAGCCGTTCTCCACAAGATCTCTCTTTAAAAGCTCGCGACCACTGACCGAAGACAAACACACACACACGCTCGACATGCCCAATGAATCCAAAGCTGGTGGGTCTCCCCTCTTTTTCCCCTTGTCCATGAGCGCCGGGGGTGGGGGGCTGTTGCTGTTGTGCTTGGGAGCGCGAAGCCACTTGCCTGTAGGGAAATGCGTTTGGGGCTCGCAGGCCCATTCGCAACTACATATTACCGTCCCCCGCCAGGAAACAACCTGTCCCGGCTCCAAATCCAAGCGTATTTGTATATGCGACGGAATATCATGATGCGCACATGGGTCTGGCTATCTCAACATTTACTCATCCCTTGACCAGGAACATCGTCTAAGCGGCCAGCCCCCCCTCCCCACTCTTTCTCCTTCTCCCGACGACACGCCTCCTTCGACTCTCCCCGAGAGGTGCCCCTGCCCTCGCCCTCCTTGTCGGCGACAGCTGCCATGCTTGGAGAGCCCTTTGCGTCGCCCTTCATAGAAGACGAGTGGGAGCTCGTCAAAGCGGGGCCTACCAAACTTGTCAAGCAGAAGGATCCGCAGGCGACGTCCATCTCGCACTCGAGCCATGGTTCCACACCACCCCCATCATTGTCGTCGAAACTGGCCAAGCTCAAGTCGCTTCACTACCACGGGGAGAAGGACAAGGAAAAAGGAAAGGAAAAGGAAAAGGAAAAGGAAGTGGGACCGGTGCATCCATACGGTTCGAGACCATACTCTCTCCCCGATGCCCATTCATTCCAAGGAAAAAATGGCGCTCCTCCACCCACCCCAGTGGACCGCATGTCCAGCGCCAGCTTGCCCCTCCCCCTGCATGTGCCGGTTTCCGCACTGCCTAAAGCGACGCCGGGTTTTCCATCCCCCGTATATGAACGGGGGGCGTCCGATGCGGCCTTGCGACCCTCGCCAAGCAGCAGCAACATGGTCCCGGGTCGAAAAACTCCGGGACCCGCTTCTCGGAGCTCGACTCCTTCGACTGGATCTTCCTCAGCTTCATCCTCATCTTCATCCTCCCCTGCCCCCCAAATTCCCCCATACCCCACGCTGCGCGGTCCGGTGCCGATGCCGCCCCCTGGGTCCCTCATGCCAACTCAGGGCAGCGGTGCCGCTTACCGACCACCGCGGACAACATACACGCCGGCCCCTTCGCCGGCCAGCGGTGGTGAAGTGACAGCAATCAACCGACGGACGCCTAGTCTGCGGAGCGCGTATCCTCCACTTCAGCCGCCGGTCATCTTAGAGGGGTTGGATGATGACGACGGACGAGCTAAAAGTCCAGCCTCGACTTCTTCGTCCGAGGCTCATTCTTTCGCGTCATCGTTTCCCAGCAGTGGCGTCTCGAACGGGCTCGGCATAGGCACGCGCAATAGCACAGCGTCGTCTGCAACCGATCGCAGCAGCATGAGCTCCCGTTCAAGTGGAGCATCATACGAGCCCTTTTTGAGCCACGCTCCTCCCCCTGTGGACAGTTGGATCGAAGTGGAGACCACTCCAGCAGATTACAAGCTCGTTGTCAAACTGCCTGGTTTCAAGAGGGACGGAATGTACGTCTTCTATGTACGGTGCTCATCGTGTCTGGTGACTGACTCGCTTCTCAGCACCCTCGCGACCAAAAAGCGACGCATCCTACACGTTGTGGCTGACTCATGGGAAGCAGGTGGCGGCCATTTTGAGCGCCGAATCTCTTTCGGTTACGATGCCGATCTGTCGCAGGTTCGCGCAGAGTTTGATGGGGAGTTGTTGCGAGTGATCATCCCGAGGCGCATGCCCCCGGATATGCTTCCAGCGGACCGGGCGAGTTTCCCCCAGGGACCCGCGGCGTCCAGCAAGAATATGGGGGAGCGATCGAGTCTGCCCTCGTTGCCGGCGCAGAGCATTGCCAAACTCGTGGGTGGCTTGCCCCCGCCTCCTGCGTTCCTCGCCGGTGCCCTGCCATCAGGAGCAACTGACGCCGCAGTCGTGCCCCGGAGATGACCCCGAACGGTCAAACCGCTTGTTTCGAAGACTTACATTACACCACTCGCATATTCCCGCATCTTTCGCCACGCATCCGCACGCCTCCCGCACTGTATGACCAAGACCCATGATACCCAAGATACTCATATTCGAAAATCAGACTAGCCCTGTCTAATGCCATCCTCACACGACCCCTCGAGACACCAGTCTCAATGTCCCTGCTTCTCTCCGTCGTATATTCTACCGCTCATGGACTTCTCATGTTTATTTCTTAGCCTACAGCCTACCAGCCATCCCTGCTGCTTGTATTCTTATATCTTTTCCCTGCTTTTGCCTTTTATTTGCTCTCTTTTATAGTTACAATTGTCACAACTAAAGCTATGTACCACGTGTTGTTATGTATATCTTAAGGCTGCAATATCCCTGCGAGCGACGATCGTGGCATTGCCTTGGAAACCGATTGCACGCAAAAACATGACGTATTCGTCCACGTGGAAAGGCAGCATGTCCTTCCTTTTTAGGAGTTCCGGTGTAGTAGCGCGGCCTTGTCTCCCCCGCAACGAGAGGGCCGTTGCAAGATATGTTCAGCAGGCGGGCTTCGAAGCCTCACTGTGGAAACGCATGCATGCTGATTCGCCAGCGATAGTTGGAGCATCGCGGTCGTTGCCGATTGGATGAGGCTAATGTGTGGGCGCTGTGGAGACTTCGATTGCTATGTAAGCGTTTGATGTGTTGTGTGTGTATGCGTGTCGTGTCAGCTGCCACGATTCCTTCCTTGCCCGTCGCCAAGAGCTCCACTCTCGCAACTTGCCTGTTTCCATCTAGGCGCCGGGCGGCATTGCACACTGCGGGGTAGCCGAGATCGCTCCACCCACACGCTGTCAATTGTATTCGATCCTCGTTGTCTAAAATCTGGGAATCTGGAATGAGGTGTACGGTTCTCGAGTGGGCTCAAGGTCTGGCAAGCGTCGCCCGGTCAAAACTTGCTGATGGGGTCCGGTTGTTATGCGTGACGATCACGCTTATGACTTTTTGCTTATTTCCTCCCGCCGACTCGACGCGTGCTTCCTATGATGCGCCCCTCGTTGTCCGCTTTGGCCACCCGACATTGAAGTGAACTTTGCTGTATAGAATAGGATCGGTATGGAACATCTATAAATATTTTTATGACCATCCAACGGCGCAAATAGTGTTGTCCCTGGTCGGGTCAGAGACCGGGTGGGGGCCGGGGGTGGGGGGCGGGCTATCTGCGCGACCTGACGACCCAGGTCCAGGAAGCGCGCTATTCTGGATCGAAGCCTGCAAATGTGACAACGCTGTCAATTTTTTTCGCGCCGCGCAAATAACTTCAATATAACAAGGGTAGCCGGTTGAGGCTTTAGATCGGCTCTAGAGGTTGTGGAAGGGACAGAAACAAAGTTGAGGTCATCTAGGACAGATTCAGTCGTACTTTCACGGTCAACTGCAAGTGCTATCAATGACCACAACCACTATACTATCAAGTGGTCAGTTGTGTACAAGTGTAGAAAGCCAGCCTGCACATTTGATTCTAATTACAAGATCCCAGTTGCTGACAGAAGGAGTGGCAGCGTCAGGACGGCGGGGGCGACGGCGACGGCAACGACCACCACGTCAGCGTCATGAGTAGGGCGGTCACAGATCTACATCACGGAGTGCCAGCCAAGTCAAAGACCCCACTCAGTGATGGCATCGCTGATTTTCCTTATTCAGACCTTGAGCCCACTCGAGAACCGTAGAGGTGACAGAAGATGACAGCCGCCCCCAGCGTCCGCTTGGCAGGCCAGTATTCGGCGACGGTGGCCTCTGAGTGTCACACCTTGAAGTACCCGAGGTGGATTATGTAACGATTCGCTTTGTGTGGGAATTCAACTGGCTGTCTATCAGTGATCAACTGTTTGACAGCGGGTGCACGTGAGTGGGCGGTCCTGCGACACGTGCACGTGCACATTCTAATCTACGACAGCCCAGTACATGACATGTAACGAAGCGCGCGCTGTTGGTGCTCACCGTGATACCAACATTTGGGGTTCTCGAACGTGTTAAGACAGCGTTTTAGAGCTGACCATTCGGGCAGAAGCGGCGTAGCTGTCTCGGCACGTCTCGTCATTCCGACCTCTACAGGCCAACGTGAGTGGATCTTCGCGATGAACCTGGGAGGAGAACCTGAAGGTCCTGATCGATGGGGCGTCGAACGTCGTGCGGACGTCTCATCTGACCTTGTTCATGACTCCTACGTCGGTTCGACTGCCTCCGTCCCTTCTTTCGGACGGTTCTGTGTCCCAGCGAAGCTCAATCTGGGGGGCTCGTAACGCTAACGTTCCGAAGAAACCCGAGCATGCACCTATAAATCCTACTGGCACCACTCGGGCTGTTGTGCGCGCGCATGTTTCTGCTCCTCACATTTCTCGCTGCCCTGCAGGCTCTTGCCCGGGGACAGGGCTTCCCTGACTGCGTCAATGGGCCGCTGGCCAAGAACGCTGTATGCGACACCTCCAAGGATCCTATCACTCGAGCCCGCGCGCTCGTCGCGGTGATGACCACGACGGAGCTCATCAACAACACTGTGCATATGGCTACTGGCGTGCCACGGTTGGGGATACCGAAGTACGACTGGTGGAACGAGGCGCTGCATGGTGTATCGACGGACCACGGCGTCGACTTCGCTGCCAGTGGGAATTTCAGCTACGCGACTTCGGTCAGTCGCGGTTCGTCGCGTTGCTGCGCTACACGACTTCTGATGCCACGAGATGCAGTTTCCTCAACCTATCGTCATGAGTGCTGCATTCGACGATGCTGTGAGCATCCATCGTACACCGACATCAACGCGGCCTCACTCTATTCCAGCTGATCAACACGGTCGCTTCAACGATCAGCACTGAAGCGCGTGCATTTTCAAATGCGGCGCGGACTGGGCTGGATTGGTTCGCGCCGAACATCAACCCGTGGCGTGACCCGCGGTGGGGCCGGGGCCCGGAGACGCCTGGAGAAGACGCGTTCCGTGCGGCGCAGTATGTATATCAGTTTGTCGAAGGCTTCCAGGGCGGAATCGATCCGAAACCGTACATCAAGAACACGGCAGTCTGCAAGCACTGGGCTGGGTGTGAGGCTGCTTCAATCTTTTTTCGTGCGTTGTCTCAACGCGTGTAGATGACGTCGAAAGCAACCGGTTCTCATTTGATGCTATCATCAACACGCAAGAGCTGAGCGAGTACTTCACGCGCCCTTTCCAGACTTGTGTGCGCGATGCCCGGGTCAATGGGGTCATGTGTTCCTACAATGCGTGAGTGCCTACTCTTCCTTCATGTGAGAACATCTGACAACTCGATATGACAGTGTGAATGGAGTGCCCACTTGTGCAAGCCCCTACCTGCTCCAGGATGTGTTGATTGGTTCCTATGGTCTCAGCAATGATAGCTGGATTACCAGTGACTGTGATGCCATCGCCAACATCTTCGACTCTCACAATTATACCGACTCGTATGCCGCTGCAGCTGCAGTGGCCATCAAGGCCGGGACAAATGTGAATTGTGGGACCACCTTCTCCCTCTATCTCCAAGTGGCCATCGATCAAGGCCTGGCAGACCGCGCCGATGTCGAGGGCGCAGTCGTGCGGCTGTACTCGTCTCTTGTGCGGTGCGTGATATACACTCCTCGCGGGTGCGCGCGCAATTCTGATATCGCCGCAGTCTGGGGTACTTTGATCCGCCCGCCCAGCAACCGTATCGACAGATCACATGGGATGCGGTGAACACCCCATCTGCTCAGACATTGGCATACGTCTCAGCGACTGAGGGCCTGGTGCTGCTCAAAAACGACGGAACGCTTCCGCTGAAGAAGAACCTGACGAAGATGGCCGTCATTGGCCCGTGGGCCAATGCCACCGTCCAGATGCAGGGAAACTACTTTGGCACTGCACCATTCTTGATTACGCCCATCATGGGAGCTCGTGCAGCTGGATATCAAGTGGATTATGTTCCCGGCGTGGCGAATGTTCTCGATTCGTCCACTGCTGGGTTTGCCGACGCGATTGCTGCTGCTTCTGCTGCCGACGTCGTCGTCTTTGTCGGTGGAATTGGTAGGCTTGTTCTATTCTATTTCGGAGGATTTCATAGTCAACCTTGTTTACAGACACTACTGTCGAGCGGGAATCTCTCGATAGAACGACCATTGTTTGGACCGGCGCCCAGCTAGAGCTGATCCAGAATCTGACGGCTATCGGCAAGCCTCTCGTCGTGGTGCAGTGCGGTGCGGGTCAAATCGACGATTCGCCGCTGCTTTCAAATCCGGGTGTAAGTGCCATGGCCTCTCTTTCGAGTGATCTCAATCGAATGTGCGACAGGTCGGAGCCATTCTTTGGGCAGGATACCCCGGCCAAAGCGGTGGAGCGGCTATTTTCGACATTATCAGTGGCAAAGTCGCCCCTGCTGGCCGGTTGCCTGTGACGCAATACCCCGCAGCTTTCATCAACCAGGTGCCCATCACCGACATGAACCTGCGGCCAAACAAGACGTCGGGGAACCCTGGGCGGACATATCAATGGTATACTGGCTCTTCTGTCGTCGAGTTCGGCTTCGGGCTGCATTACACGACGTTCTCGATCCATTGGCAGACGACGCCGGTCGCGAGCTACTCGATCTCGAATCTGCTGAAGAAGGCTCAATCCGCTGCGCACCCTGATCTGGGGGTGTTTGACACGTTCAAAGTCAACGTGCACAACGCCGGGAACACCGTGTCGGACTTTGTCGCTCTGATGTTTGTGAAAACGACGGCAGGGCCGCCGCCGTTCCCGAACAAATCGTTGATAGGGTACTCGCGCGTGGCTGCGCTCAAGGCTGGCTGGACGGTCGCTGCGTCGATTAGTGTGACCCTGGGGAGCATCGCGCGCACCGACGAGGGCGGCAATCTCTGGTTGTACCCCGGCAGCTACAGCCTCAGTGTCGATGTCCCTGAGAGCCTGACCCATAAATTCACTCTCACCGGTCAAGCGGTGCAGCTCAGTCACTTTCCCGCACCCCCATGAGTAACTACAATAATACATGTACTTTATGTAGTAACAAAATGTGTGGACATCAGTGGCAGTACATTTCTATCACTTTATGACGTCGACCATCCTCCATGGACAATGCACTCACCTTGAACGACATTCGCGTAAGACACCATCCTGCCCGACGCATTTTCAGACAAATTCAGCCTGCTCCTTCTAGGTGAAAACCTGCTTTATCTGCCTCGATAGCGAAGAGGGCACGGAGAGTCCCGGATCCAACTCCTCATGGGTGCACCCGTGCCCGAACTGCTCGCTGCTGGCCCACCGCAGCTGCCTCTCGCGCTGGATCGACTCCCTGCCGCGCCGAGGACCCGCCCCGACCTCGCGTCGCGCACGCGCCACCATGCACGCCATGCGCCTCTTCGATCTCACGGCGTTCCGGTGTCCGCGGTGTCGCAAGCGGTACGAGTTCAGCAACCCGGGGCGTCCGCGGCTCTACACGCTCGGCGTCGTGGTGAACACGGTGCTGTATATCGGCTCGGAGCTCGTATCGGTTGCGTGCACCCTGGCCGGGATCCAGGTCGTGTATCTCATTCCCGCGGCGGTCGCGGCGGGTCGGCTGGCTGGTGAGCACACACTGCGGTTGCCTATGTCGGATTCCAGCACCCACAAGGGGACTCCACAGGACACTTTCTGTACGAGATCGCGCTGGTGCAGTCGTATATCGGGACGAGGTGGGTCGTACTTCACATCGACGCTCCCCATGGACCGATTGGATCCTTTATCTGAATCACTGCAGCACGATGCAACTCATCCCAACCGTGCAACCTGAAGCCCTCATCCGCTCTGTCTTCGTCATGGGATCCCTTATTCCGTTCCGAATGCTGCTGCCGGGCGCGGTGCCCGAATGGATCGTCCCGTTGTACATCTCCATGCCCTACATCCTCTATCTCTGTCTCCCCACCACAGCCACCGATAGACCACACTTCAGAGCTCCTTCCTCGGCCTCGATATCGCTGTGGCCCCCGTCGCCTGCGCTTATAGGTCTCGTGATCGTACCGCTGCTCCGCCCGGTGTACAGACGGCTCCGCGCTTTCGTCGGTGCGCGACTTCTCGGCTGTCCTCCTCCGCAGAGACAGCGTCGGTATTTTGCTGACGGAATCAAAACCTTCTTTGCCCCCCGGCGCCGGAATGCGACCCAGCCTGGCTCTGGCTCCGGCTCCGGCTCTGAAGGCAACGCTCTCTCGGACCTCGACCCGCCGGCCGTCGAGGTGGCCAGCGCCATGATGGAGAAAGACCAGACGTCGGTCACGCACCAGATCCTGCAAGCTGTTTGCACGATCTACCTTCCGAGCCTCTTCGGGAAGCTGCTGTGTGCTGCTGCTGCTGCTGGTGCTCCGGGGCGATCCGCGGCCCTGCGAGGGTTTCTCGGGATGGACCGGGTGCGGCCGTCTCGTGTGATTACGAGTTCTTCCTCGTATATGGCGTATTGGGCGATGGTGCGATCCGGTGATGGTGTGTTGTGCAAGAGCAGGGCTTTGGCGGGGCTGCTGCTCGGCGGCTCGTGGATGTGGGCCGACATGGACCCTGTTTGGTGCGCGAATTCTTTAGGTGGACGAGCGCAACGGTCGTTGAGCTGATGTCAATATAGGTGGAGAAACTCTCTGGGATATGGGTTGTACACTGTGGTACGATATATCTCGTCTGTGCTCCCGTGTCCCTCATTAACGCTGTGGCAGGCGACAGACTGCCTTGATCTCTTGCGACTTTGGTTGCAGAAGCGGCAGATCGAGAGCCGCACAGTGAGGAGCTACGATTTTGCTGGTGTGGATGCAACCCAGCTGGATCTGCTACAACGATGATTGCCGTAGTACATACCATACACACATTTATCTATCCACCCGCGACCCAAACTCACAAATTACTCCGGATGGCATCCCCCTCGACCAGAATGCACGGCCCGCCATAGATGACGCGCTCCTGCAGCCCGTTCTCTTTGACCCATTCAATCACAGCGTCGTCCGCCGCGCCAGGCTGGATCCAAAACGCCGGCACGCCGAGGGGCGCGGCGTCGCGCAGAATCGCAAGCGTCACTTTCGGCGGGGTGACGATGCTGATCGACGTCTCGGACGGCGCGGGGAGGTCGAGCACGCTGCTCACGGTCGGCACGCCCTCCAGCTCGGCCTCTTTCTGAGTCGGATTGCGCGGTGGGGGTCAGATGGGGGGCCGTGTGGATGAGAGTGCGTGACGCACCGGGTGGACGGGGGAAACGTCCAGGCTGCGCGCCTTGTACCAGTTGAGGATCTGCAAGCGGATGGATTATGATTAAGCGTGGCGATCGAGTGATATCCGAGCCAAAGCCCAACACACCTTGGTGCCGAACTTGGTCTGGTCCTTCGAGGCCCCGACGACCGCGAAGCGGGGTGAGGCGAGGAACGTTTTCTGGATTGCTAGGACGCTGGCCATGGGATGGTTGAACGACGGATGTGCCGGGTTGACGCGCTCAAATACACCGGGCGTCCGGATTGCGGACCCACTCGGAGATGGGTGTGTGTTGCGTGATTATCCGGTGCTGGTGAGCGATCAAGATTCTATCTGACCCAATCCAGCCTTCTGCGCTCGCGCACCACGTTGGGAACCACACTGGTCAGATGCTTGTAATGCGGGCGGAAGCTTTCCTCCACAAGACTCAAATACAGTCACATAAGTATCGATAGAGATTAAGGGAAGAGTCAGGCCGTACAGTGTGCACACGAAAAACAAAGTCAATACTATCCATCATTAGTCCCTGGTATATCCGGGCGGCAGATCCATCTCCTCGACGTCCGAATTAGATCCCAACCGGATACCGCTGTCTTCGTGGCGAGTCGGTCGGGCCACCGTCTGGCCCGCGCGCAGTGGGGCCAGCGGCGCAGTTGGGGGAAGCGCGGCCGACGCAAGCCGCTCGTTGCGCATTTTCCCGGCGATCCCGGGCCCGGCGCCTTGGGACGACGACGAGTCGGAGGCGTGGGAGGGGATCGGGGTGGGGTATGCAACTTCATGTGATGGCACGTCGACTGAGCTGAGATGGCTTGTGCTTGGCTGATGGGCGTGGGAGAGGACCGCGCCCTGCGAGCTGCTGCTGGCGCCCGAGCTCACAGGGTGCGTGTAGGGATATACAGTGAAGGGCTGAGGCTGCTGCTGCTGCGGCGCTGACGTCTGGTGGCCGTCGCTCGGGACAGCAAAATACGAGTACTGGGCGTGCTGAGGCTGTGATGATGCAACACTGATCGCGCCAGTCGCAGCGGGACTTGACACGGAAGTGAATGGGCTGGCAGATGTTCGGTCCAGGTCCTCAGCTTTCCGGTGCCGCCGCTTTCGGCACCACACAAAAAAGAGCGCCGCAACGAGGGCCAGGACTACCAAGGACCCGATGATGCCGCCCGCAATCGGCCCAGCCAGATTCTTTTTCGTGACCACCGGTGTTGTTGACGCTGATGAGCTGGGCACCCCACTCGACGGCGTTGAGGAGGAGGTCACATTCGGAGGCTGGCTGTGCGTCACATAGAACACGCCGACAGCCAGTGGAGATTTCGTCGAGTCGCCGGCGTAGCTGACGACGAGGTTGTGCTCAGCGGGAGCAAGAGCACCTGTCGACATCTCCACCACGTTGTAGACCGTCGGCGAGTTCGCCCCCAGACCATCCAGTTTGAAGTTGACGGGCGTGCCACCGTCGATAGTGTAACTACCCGTCGTTGCATTATGCGGCAGCTCCGTAGGTATGTAGCCCACCAAGCTAGCCTGAGTACCTGCGAAAATGCCGTAAATCCCCAGGCGTTCCGTTGGAATCGCGAAACGAAACGTACCGTAGAAGTTCAAAGCCACTTGTGCGCCCGTATTCTGCGTAACATTCTGTGCCCCCCATATCCTCCAACCACTCCCATAACTGACCGCAGAGTCGGTATTCGTGTACTCCAGCACCGCACCATCATACGCCTGCCCCGCCAGCGGCGTGTAGAAGATATTGTCTAAGTAGAACGGCTGCCCGTTCGTCCGCACCTCGATCCTCAGCACATGCGACCCGGCAGAGAGCGAGGCCTGGTCGCACAGCTGCCAGTTGTTCTCCTGGAAGGGAAACGTCGGGTTTGGATTCGCGATGGCGACGTTGTCGACGAAGCACTTCCACGACGGCGACGTGACGTTCGTCGTCGGGTCCGTCGAAATCGCAATCGTGCCCCCGACGCTCACAGACGTGCCTGGTACACGCGCGCTCAGCACAACCACAACAGATACAACTCCGCACACACGAACGCACCATTGAATGCAAAGCTCAGCGCCGACCCGTCCGTCGTCGTGCTGTGCGACGTCCCATTGTACACCGGCCCAAAATTCCCCCCCGTATTCAGCTTCGCGGCGTCGGCCGCGAACCAGCCCGTCGGCCCATACACGATCCGCGCGTCCGAGTCGTCCACGACGATGCGCCGCAGCGACGTCGCCATCCCAGTCGCAGAAAAGCAAGATTAGAAATGGATTCCCCCCAAACCCGGCAGGTGGGCAGCAGCGCTAGCGCTCTGGTTTTGATTATTGATGTGATATATCGCAGCCGTTCCTGGGCGCTCAAGGGTCCACCGCGCTTAGATGCGATACGATCCGGTGGTGAAATTCGCGCGCCTAGTACGATACAGCGGAGGATCGCTGCAAAAGTTCAAAGTCAAGCCGGGGGCCATCACCTGCTTCAGAGCTGCTGAGGCTCTGCCCTCCCCGATCAGAGAGTAAGAATCGACTTGATCGATTCATCAAAGTTGCAAGTAGCAACCGAATCTGTTGCTCCTTGAGGCTCCCACGATGCGGCCGCCGGTCATGCCTCGCCTTCGGCGCGACACGATCAGGTGATCAGAAGCGCGATCAAATAGACCCGTATACGAGCCCGACTGGAAGTAAACTCCCGGCTACTTCTGGTCTTTTGACTCAGGCCCCACCTCGAGCAACACGAAATCAACATTTCAGAGGCTGGTTTGTATCATTTGCACTGGAATCATCCCAAATATGGGCCGTTTCCCCCGGTTTCCACGCGCCGGTAGCCAAAATCAATACTCGATGCACCTTTCCTCCCAATTGTGCCACGTTCGTCTCTAACCAGCACACAAGTCCAATATAATGCCAGCACACGGTAGCTTATAGACCCGAAACTTGAACAGGACGGGGCTTTCCTGACGCAGTCACAAATTCTTCAAACTAATTGGCATCTATTCCAGCCTTGCATGGTCGTTGGTGGGCGTGGGCCGCGAGAAATATGTTTACAATTCATCAAATTATACCCAGAAAATATCAAACAATATTTCAGATGGTATATCGAAAGAGCGGACTCTCGCTGCCCATATCTCTAAATTCGTCTCTCCTGCTCTCATCAATTCCCTCCCGCTTGCAGTACTCGTCCCGCTTTTTGTTGGTGCGATTGTAGTCCCACATGGCCACACACGAGAGGATGATGGTGAGACTGAGCCAGCCCATCATGGTCCCGTGGCCGATGTGGAAATAGGGTGGTGTGATGTAGATGTAGGATGAGCAGATTCTGCAGCAGATGAGCACCGCCACGAAAAGGCATACAAAGAGCAAACGCACCCTCCTAGATTCCCCAGTCCAATGATCATGGCAATAACCACTCCTCTCCTCACATCGCCGCCGGCCATGCTGCCCGCCCACGCCAGGTCAACAGCAACAGTGGGATAGATGCCAACTGCAGCAAGCACCGCACCGGCATAAGCTGCCCCAGGTGCCCTCTGCGTGTATAACACAATATAGCCGACGAGCGAAACAAACGCGCCGCCAACGACGAATGGTCCACGCAGGTTGTATCTATCTGATAAGATTCCGACGGCGATCGTCGCGAAACAACCGGCGACGAAGACGGGGATGGTGAGCAATTGTGCTTCGGCCGCAGTGAATCCGAGCTCATTAACGATGGTGGGCGTGAAGAGTGCGATGGCATAGACGGGGATGGCGATTCTACACCAGTAAGTCGCCGTGTGAGCGATACGTGGACAAGCGCACTCACCCCCAATAGATACCGAGTTGGCACCAACTCCTCCAGTCTCTCAACGCCTGCCAAACGAATTTGAAGGCAAAATGCGTAGCCATAGCTTGGCTATCTTCTCTCAACATTCGGATGACCACCACTCGTTCTTCATCGGTCAAAAAGGTCGCTGTTTCCGGATACTGGTTTTGATTAGCACAAGAATAGAAAATGCTAATACCGAACATCGCACATCATACATCGTGAAATACGACGTCAGGGCCACTGAACAGAAATCAGACTCGCACACACGACAATGTGGTCAAATTCACCTAGAACAGTCGCCAATCCCTCCAAACAAAACTGGAAAGGACATCTCGAACCCAAGTTTCGATAAAATAGCGTATGACTCACAATCCACTGCCATCCATGGAGCCCTCCAATGCCTTCCATCTTCTCGATCAAATACGCCAGAATACCACCAAAGGCTCCAGCGATGGTGGCGGCAGAGAAGAAGATGGCAATACGGGCAGCGACATCTCGTTTACGATACCATAACGAAAGATAGAATGTGACCTGAAGCGCGAATCAGACCGCTCAGAACTGTGGCATTACGATAGTCGCTTACGCCGGGAAAGAGGCCCGCTTCAGTCAATCCGAGGAAGACCCGGGCCCTGTGTGCGATAATCAGTACCGTGGGAGCACGAGTGAGAGACGGAACGGACGCGATGAGATCCTCATAAGTTTTGCATAAGCACATTAGAGTCATGACCAGTCCTGTCCGATCGTCAGTTTCGCGCGGTTCGCGCGGCTTGGGAGTAGTGGCGAGTGGATTTACCCCAAGCGAGCATTATTGAGGGGACTGGCAATCTGTTAGGCAAACTCTAACACAATGAGGGACATCCTAAACGCACTCCATCGCGAGGGCCTGATGAGCTTCAACAGGATATTCGACGGGATCTCTGCAAACGCGTAGGGGAGCTGGCTCGATAGTTAGGCTCAACTCCCCTTTCAAAGGCCTACGCACGAAGAACACCGCGGCAACCTACGCACAAACAGCGATGTCAGCTCCACTGCAAAAGTGACCAGAGGAATTCACACACCGTGTTATATCGTAAGCCGGTGAGATGGGCGTCAGTCGCCATTCCTGAACGTGACGCGCCAAATGAGGTCCGCAAGATCGCAACATAGGGCACGGGGACTTACCCGCTACTCGAGCATTCCCCTAAAGGCGAGATCGATATCAGCAAGGAGACAACAGCTGACCACTGCCCTTGGCGAGGCGAGGGCACATACGATGTTGGCGCGGTCACTGGGATCCGAATGGTCAATGGAGAGAACAAGGATGGTAGGCATGGCAGGAACATACAGAAACGAGAGCAGGTAAAGAAGACTGACGAAGGGCAATAAATGCCAGTCGAGCTTGCGCAGGACACGCCCAATCTCTGTCGGGGCAAGCTCGGAGGTGGTCGAACCCGCTTCGGCGCTGGTACGATCCTTCTCGTGGAAAGAGCCCTTTTCGGGAGGGGCGGTACTCGAGAAATACATGTACAGAGGGGTTAGGATGTGGGAGGAAGGAAAGAGACAAGCGATAATGACTCCAGTCTTTTAGCCATTTCCAAAGTTGAGAGTCAAGTCGAAGCGAATAGTGGACCGAGGAAAGCCGATCTCGGATATCTGGGCCGGTGCGATGACCGGATCAAGCTATTTAGGCAGTGACAGAGATTTGCATAAGAAAGTTTGCTTGCGATATAGTACAGGGACGATACAAGGAGAGAACAGGTAAGCCTAAAACCCGCTGGTGGTGGTCCTCAACTGCTCCAATTTCTTCAAAATCTCTCCGACGGTGCGGTCGAGCTCGCTGGCAATCGAAGCCTGCTTTGGCATCGGCAACCTGGCAAAGTTCTCCACCAGATCTCCATCGACAACAGATTTGACGGGAACATAATAACCGCGCCAACTCAAGTGGTCACGACCCACGAGAGAGCTCTGTTCGGATCTCATGTGTTGTTCGAGCGTCGTCAGCAGATCGACATCCTCCTTGGACACGAATGGAACGAGAATCCCGATTGTTCCATGCAGGCACGTGTAGAGGACGATCTCCCGTCCTCCGGCGACCATGGACACCTTGTGCAGCGAGGTGATGACGTCCCCCACGTGGAAATGCGCAAGCAGCTTCGTCTTGTGCGGTGCGCCCATCAGCAGCCCTTTGTCAGGTCGAATCCCGGCACCTGTCGGATCACTGTCGACCTCTTCTGACACCTTGCTGTCCAGCCTGTTCACAAACACATTCCCGAATCGATCACCAACGGCGATGGTGTTGTAGTCCATCATCGTCACGGCGGTGACCCACCGTGGTTGTGTGTCATCGGCAAATACAAGGAGCTGATTTTCAGGCGGCTTGTAGACAGCGAACGACACGGACTCTTGCATGTCTCCGACGACGATGCGCGAACCTTGCGTGTGGAGTGTGACAATCGTAGAGCCAAAGCTCTATGAGGAAGGAAGGTGATTAGACCAAAAGAGGAGATTGTTGAGCACGCGCACCTTGTTCTCGACCTTCCTAAGCAGCTTCTTCTTCCCAATCTCATATATCCGAAGAGCTTTGCCAACACCAGCCACCAGCCGACCCTGGAATGCCAACAGAGCCAATGGCACATCGTCGATCTCGGTCTTGTGCATGAACTCCAGCCCAGCACCGTCATTGACGAATTTATACGCCCGCAGGAATCCGCTCGAACACGACCGGGGGGACACATGCGTGTCGGCAGCCGTGCCAACAATCAACACCAGCTCGCCGCCTCTGGCAGAGAACGGTACAATAGCCATTGAGAACGCGGCTTCATTGTTGTCCAGCTGGATGAGAGAGAGGGTCGCAGAGTTGATGGGATCTATCACTCGCACACAAGAGCCCCACGTCCCCGCTAGGGCCTTGGGGTATCCAAAGACTTCTGGCGGCAAATTCACGACATCTTCGTCGATCTTCTTTCCTTGCGCTCGCTGCCAATGATCTCAGCAGAAGAAGACTGATATCCGCAACACGCACCAACTCCATCAAGCCTTTCGCGGTGGCCTCCGTCCCGACTACTCTGTGGTCGCTCTCGATCATGTAGAAATAGTGGTTTTCAGGATGGGTGACGAATTTCCTAGGCGTGTAGGAAAGCTGCATCGAGTCTTGCTTGAGCCGTGTACCCAGTTTAGGCACTTGGAAGATTCTGCGGCATCGTCAGCTGTGCTCACTCTTCGCGACTGGTCCACAACTGACCTCAATGTACTGCCCGTGATTCCAATCAGACCCTCTGGACTGAGCTCGGCTGAAAAGCTCCAGGCGTAGTCCAAGTTCTCGAAAATCAGCGGTGTGAAATGCATCAGATTTTGGTGAGTGTAGTTGAGCCAGGACCTCGAAGATAGAGCCAAAATCGCCGGATTCTTCTGAATCTGCACACGCAACAGGCGAATAGGTCTGGTACCCAAGAAACGGGTTCGAGTGTCCGTAAGCTGACCGTTTGTCGGATCCAAGACTGTGCGCAAGAGAACTCCGTTCTGCAGACCGATATTCACGAACATCGTGGGCTGCGTTTTGTTGATACTGGCGTCCAGCATGTCTGCGATGCAGATCGAAGCAGCAGGTGCCGTCAAGGCCTGCAGACTAATCGCCTCGAGCGTTGATTCGGGGTCCAAAGAGACGATCCGAACAGTCTGATCCTCACATCCTACGGCCTACACAGGGATGAGCGTACAACAGCGAAGGAAAACGAGAACACTGACCAAGAAGGGCGTCCTCTGTCGTCCCTCTGGAACTTCGCCAATGCTCAGTGCCAGAACGGTGCTCCCCATAGCTTTCCTATCCTGATACTCGTTCAACTGACCATCCAAATCCAGCTCAAAATAGACCAGCTCGGCCGAGCTCAGAGCTACCACAACTTGTCGCTTGTTGGTGGTGGCGCAGACGATCGTTTTACCCTCGGGGACCCGCCATTCGTTGACACGCCCATCAGGCAGTACGTGTCGGATGCCGTGGGGATGCACCTGCAAGAGCGCGTCGGAACCAATCTGCTGCACCGCCAATGTTGGCGCAGAGGATAGGAAACCCGTGTCTTGAACTTCCTCGATCGTCTCGCCGATGGATAGCACGAGCGTGCCGTTAACGAAGGACAGGATGATGTAAGAGTCATACTCGTCTAAAAAACTTCGATTAATGAGCGATCGGTTGCAGTTGAATGCTCACGCACCATCTTCCTTCTTTTTCGTTGTCCAGACAGCATTTGGAATGCCCGGTAGCTCAGAGCTCACACTCTCCTCCACATCCAATCCATGCCTGAGCGTTCGCAACGTGCTTCGGGGGCCTCGACCACAGGCAGCAAAGATCTGGGGAGCGTCTGAGTTTGGCAGGATGTTGAGCACCTTGGAGTCAATGATCGGGTCTAGCGATTCCAGCTCGTCGGCGACAGCCAAGTTCTCCAGAGGCCGGGGTCGGAAGAATGCATATGGAAGTGGTGTGTTCGGATTGGCCATGCCGAATGAGGGATATGACGTCGAAGTGTACTCGGGCTCATTGTCGTCGTCACCAAGTTTTTGGAATTGATAGAGGTAACTGCAACCCAGTCAGAGCCTGTAACAGTGCACAAAGTAATGGGACGCACTGATTGCCAAATTCAGCTGCTACAAAAAGGAAGCCAGATTTGAGAATACATAGAGATGATGCAACCGGTACTGTATCGAAATATTTGACTTTCAAAGCCCGCACTTCTTCCTCTTCGTGTTCGATGGTAACCTTATACAGGTCTCCATCTTCGCTTTGGAGTAGGAAGAAGAATGCACCCTGCGACAGTCATGAGAGCTTGGTGAGACAGCCAGCTCTGTCGCACGCACCTTCATCTTGTGCATGACCGCTGTCACAATAATAATCTTCCTTTCGGTGGTCTCCAAGGGATGTTTCCTACGAGGAATCGGCACTCGGTGTTGCCGAGAGTCCATATGCCGGTAGATGATATGATCTTCGCAGCAGATGAGCACACCCGATGGACCGTCGAATCGGTCAGAAGAGGCGACTTGGCCACCGGGGACTTGCACCAGTAAGTTTGCGCGCGGGTCAGTAGGTTCGCTCCACTTGCGAACAACGTGATTCAGGCCAAGATCGAGTTCGTAGTACGTGAGCATCTGTAGATATGATATGTCAGCGCAATCGCGCCAGGTATAGAGATGTGGTAAAGCACACCTTTTGAGTGTTCTTGAAGGCTTCACCGGTATGGTCTTGATCAGACTCGGTGTAATCAACTTCGAGAGCAGCATACATAGGATTCTCAAAGCCCACATCCACACCAACGATGTGATGTATAATCGTATTTGCCTTGTGCGCCTCGAGCGGCGACGAGATCGTCAGATTCGCAGCGGCGTCCCGGTTGAGAATGTATACGAATTTCGACTTTTCGACGGCAGATATCATCACACTGCGTCCCTTAGGGTCGATGGCAAGCATCTGTCCAGGGACGATCCTCCGAGCACCCGTCTTGCCGTATGTTTCTTGGTGCAATTTCACGAAACTCGTCGTTTTGGGGTCATAGTCAAGGATGACGATGCGGCCGGAGTCTGAGCCAACGATAGCGTAGTCTGCGAACCCAAGCAGGGAACCTCAATTTCACTGCTACAAGGACACCAATGTCACTCACCCTTCGTCCCTCCCGTCAAGCGAAACGCTGCCAAGGAGCGAATAGACCCGAACACATCAGACTCGACGACCGTCGCGACCTTCCCAGTCTGCACATCTGGTCGTAACAGCTGTAGTCGCGTCCCATTGGAGATGATGATTTCTTGCTGCCGGGCGCCAGAAAAATTGCCCACTATAGCTTGTACCGCGGCGGTCGGGGCTTGCAGAGTCAGGTTGTACAAGTGCATAGTGAGCCGCGGATCAGTCGCCGGGTGGTATAGGGAAGGTGGTGGTGGTACGCGGAGACCGCGACGTGAGCGATGTTGATTTTCCTGGAAGCAGTGTGACAGGTGTGACACCTCTGCTTGAGCGGTATCGATTATGTAAGTGAACGGGACACTGTATTGATGGAGTCAAAATTTGACACTGTGGAAAAACCTCTCCTCAGAGCAAGAGCCAAGGATTTCTTGGGCCAGTAGAGAATCCATTTGAAAGGGAAGAAGTGAGGGTATATTTATTGTGCAGCTCGATGCATACTTTTCTGCCCTAATGAGGGTGCTTACAGATCAATTTCGTCTAAAATAAACCGAGTTCCTCAGAACACGGCTCGATTTAGCTTAGTGACGCATTTTCGACAGGATCTCCGGCTTCGCATATCTTATCTGTTCGATCACACCCATTCGGGGAACATCTCCGGCAGAAAACTAGACCCTAAGCAGTCCAATGGGCGTATATTTTTGACAATTGTGCCTCCGGCCTTGGCGTGTGTCAATTGATGGTTAGGATATGGTGACTACATAAGCCACGCGCTGTTATATAAATCTGACATTCTTTTTCCACTCGTTCGCTTAGGCTGCCCCCACACTCGTTTACTCTGTCAGGAAGATGAGCCGCAGGAGCACGGGGAACGGCGTTCGGACGCGAGTTTCCGACGCGTCGCTGAACGACCAGAGTTTCTCTTCTCGGTTCGAGCCGAAAGGCCGGAACACCTCCTCTCCAGCCCCTACAATCGTTACTACTCCCGCACCACCACGGGCTCGTCAGATACCATTAGGCAGGGGCGTCCCAGCCTTGCGGAGGAACTCGACTGGGTCAGTGTCCCACCGACCGCAGACAAAGCTTCCAGGGTGCTCGGCATCCAACACAGGTACGTACCTGGTTGCGTGCTACCTTTCCGTAAATCTGACCGGGCGCCAATCATTGTTCCTCCTCCCTTTTCATCCCCCACACTCATTTTCGTACACACTCAGAGCTTCCATGGAGCCTATCCGCGCATCCCCGCGCACTTCACTCGTTTCGACCCGCTCTGCTCGACCGGCTGCGCCTGCACCAACATTCACCGCGACCACCCCACTCACTTCTCTCTACGTCGTTTCTGGCTGCCCAAATCGCCTCATACCTGGACCTTGGCAGACCCCGACTCCGTTCTGGGACTTCACCACTCTGATGGAGCAGTCAACCGATTCTGGCGTCCGGAAGTCCTTGGTTCGACAGTTAGTCCCGGAGGTAAGTTTCGTACGCTAGAGCTGTAGATCTACGTCAAATATGTCCCACTAGCCGGCGGAGGAACCAAGAAGAAGCGACGGGGCAAAGAAGAGGTTGTGAAGGGTGCTGGCGCTCCTTCCAAGCAGGAAGTTGGAAAGATGCTGTCCAAGGCTCTCAAGGTATGTCTTGTCTACATACGACCAATCACGCCGATTGACGTTGTCGATCAGCTCTCGTTCACTCGTGAGGTTGAAGTTATTGCGTCTACCTTGCAGCCTGCGTCGACCATCCATACATTCACGTTCTCTCTGCCTGCACCGTCTACCCCGTTAGCCCCCACTCCCTCAGGCGATCTTCTACGGGCGTCTGTTCTCTCTGACAATCGAAGCTCCGCAGCGCCATCATACGCATATCCTTACTCTGACAACCCCTTCGCTCAACCGTCGTCCGCCTATCTAGGGCCGCTGGGAGCAGGGTCGCAAGGCACCCAGGCCCGCGAACCATCAGACGCGTCAACTAGCGCTATTATCTACCACGGCGTCTGTCTCACGGTCTGGTCACATGCTGATGCCGAGCGTAGCACTGCTATCCGTCGGACGCTCGAGGCTGGACGTTCGCGCAAAGAGTCGGGGCAGTCCGCTGTGGCCTCCCGCCTCAAGAATTTGCGTGCCGATGTTGCTATGGTTGACCCTGCAGACCCCACAGTGATGGCGCGTCGACACGCGAAACGGGGTGCACGGGGTCCCTGGACCGATGTTGACACGGATGCCGAAACAACAGATGGCGGGGAAAGTGAATTTGACGGAGCCAGCACTCACGGCCCTGGTGAGAGCACGCTGTTCTTGCCGGGGGACACTGTATTCTGGCTTCCCTACGCACTGAGTAAGTCATGTCTGCCACTTTGAACCGCTTGTTTGATCATGCAATCTCAGCGCTGGTTTCTCGTCACCCTGTGTACGATCTTATGCGAGATTATCTGACGTTATCCTGGGCCCGCTTCTCGAAGGATGTCCAGTCGCACACCCTGCAGATCTCGAAAATCCTTGCCCATGCTGCTCCGCGTGCCGGTGACCTCATCAAGCTGGACGCCAGTGCACAAGGGGATGGCGGTGACGGCAGTCTAGAAGTCATCGCCCGCTTCCCGGGCGGGCTAGACTTCGGCAAGGGGCTGGTTGACATCAACTTCACAATGTGGCCCTTGTTCAAGTGTTTGAACATCGACAACATCCTGACTATATGCGAGGTCGGTAGCACGTGCCTGACCATCTGTTGCGAGATCTCATCTGCATTATAGATTGCACTTGCCCCTACTGGTCGAGTGATCTTTTTCTCGAGACATCCTGCCATGCTGGGTATCGCCGTTGCCACCATCAAGTACTTGGTTGAGCTGCGGGGCTGGACCGGTATCGCGTTGTCTGCTGTCCACTCTCGAGACGCCAAGATTTACGTGGAGGACCCTGGGCCCTGGATTCTCGGTCTGGCCACCGAAGCCCGGTATAGCATCCGGCCCAGTCCGGAAGTCTGTGTCTGCGACTTGTCAGTTGATCAACTGGTAGCTTGGACTTGTGCTGACTTTCTGCGCAGAGATATCAATTATCTCAGCTGCGCTAGTCCGCCTGTAGGTGCTGTTTCCAGCAAACAGCAACGCGAAAAGTATCGTCAGAAGCTTCTCGCGGCCTTTGATTCTCACTACCATCCGGACCACGGCGTTCCCAGGTGCGCTCTCTGCAATCTTCTCTGATGACCATGTGCTCAAGAGCTCCAAGCGAGCTCAAGGAGGCTTTCCCTGCTGGAAGATTCCGGCCGGTTTGCAAGATCCAAGCGAAGCGAGGGATGTCTTCTGCGGCCGTTGCCGAACAGATCCAGGCTCCAGACTGGTGGCACTCCACCCGGATCATCCAGGCATTCGACGCCGTTCTGCAGGACAAGGCCAAGAAACCGTCCTTGCTGAAGCGGCTGAGCAGTTTCGGAAACAGCAAACGGGCACCCCAATTGACGGCCGCCGAGCAGCAAGTCCAGATCTCCATTCGCAAACGTGCTACTGCGTTTGTCGATGCCCGCGACGAGCTTGAGACCAAGATCGGCCGACTTTCTCGCCGCCTCAACTTCTTGATGACGGAGAGTGACTTGTGGCGCGACAAGTTTGTCACGTTCGAGCAGTACGCAGAGAAGCTCAGTGCGGAGGCGACCCAACTGCGCAACAAGATCAACAAGGAGCAACGCGAGACAAAGCGCTTATCTGGATTGGTCACGCTCACCTCCGCAGAGAAGTCCAAACTGCAGAACCGTGAGTGGCCTGTGGATTTATGCGCGGGTTTCTGAGATGCTAACTCTCTCTGCAGAGCTCAAGGACACGGAGCTGGCACATGCTGATGCCATGACGGAACTCGAGCTTATGCGTGACACCATGGACAAGATGGAGCTCGAGCGGGCTGAAATGGTTGCCGAAGTGTGTATCCCGGTCTGATACTTACTTCACAGACATACTGACGACATCGCCAGGTCGAAGCGCAGATCGAACGGGCGCTGGCCTCGATGGCGGTTGATGTCGAGGAGTCTGATTACGGTAGCTCGCGGCCGAGCTCGAGACAGAGCTCTCGTCCAGGCAGCCGCATGTCCTCTTTGTCACGGTCGCGCCGGACCAGCGACGCGAAGCGGCCATTGCGATCGTTTGGCACCGAATCCACTCTGGCAGAGTCATACGAGGCCGAAGAGCGGGAGCACAATCACAAACAAGAGCGGGAGACTGAGACGATACCTGAAGGCGAAGAGGACGAGGCCCCGGAAACACCGGCTCTCAAGAAACGGTTCTCGGCGACAGAGACCGATCTGCGCCAGGACGGGATGGTCGCAGTCGACGAGGGTATCAGCCAGAAGAGCGACCGGATCGCTCAGAAGGTCCTGGAGATCCAGCAGAAAGTGAGCACAGGCATTCTTGATGGCGGACACAAGTCACTGATGATGGCATCGCATCAGCTGGAGACCGCTTTGGCTACTGAGCGGCGTTCGAACAAAAAGAAGGCGTTCGTTGAGAGCGAAGATGAGAACTGGGGTTCCGAAAGTACCCGTTCTCGATCTGGACGACCGGTCAAATCCTCGTACAGACGTCCCTCGTCGGCATCGAAAGCTCGCAGCCGTAGTGGGACGACCTCTTCAACTCAGACCAATGTCCCGGCAGAGGGCTACCCTCGCACAGTGTTGATCAAAGAGCCTGAGGCTACGCCGAGACATTCTGCCTCGGAAGCCAGGCCCGAGGAGCCTAGCGCACCCGAGCCTGTTCCAACCGAGCCCAGCAAGCCCGCCGCGCCCCAAGCCACTTTCCCTGTCCGCACTTCATCGCGGGCTCGGGTGCGGTCTCCTGTGGGGACGACTGACGAGTCCGATTCGGACTTCCAGAGCGCTTACTCGCAGGACAGCAGTCCTGAGGAGCCCCAACTGCAGAGTCCTCTCCCGTCGGAGGACTTTGGTGTTTTCCCTGAACCCCGCATCGCTGCCACAGCAGAGACGACCCCGACCGGCTCCACTTTTGCCGACGGGACTGTCGTCTCGAAAATTTGAATTTGAATCTCCTTCGTTTCTCATTCGTCCTTTCGTTCATTTGAGCCACATAGATCTACCTAACCCGACATTCGTTTTTCATATCTTAGCTACCCACATTCTACTGACTTATTTTTTAAATAAGTACCCATTCATTCATTGGCTGGATGTACCATATCAGTGCTTTGTGTTATCAAATGGCATTCCATTTCTTGTTCAGACGCTTCGGGCATTTTTCAATTCAAAGGGCTTGAGGGGGAGTATAATGGTCATGCTCATTGAATGTGAATCCTACACGGCTTTTAACAACTCTCTAGCTGCCTCTGTCCCCGCTATCCTCTCCAGCTTGAACCAATCGTACTTGGAATACAACAGTCGACAGGTGACATCCGACGCCTCGACGTCGTCATCCAAAAACGGACAGGAAAGCATCTCCGTATAGAACTGGGGATGCTCAGGTGGGCCGTAGAAGATGAAGTTACGGATTCCCCGTATTTTGTATCTGGACGCAGTCAGTGTATGATCCTATCGGGAACGATGATGTTGTGCACCGTTTGTAGAAGTGGAATCGTTCGCTGATGAGTAAGAACGCCTTCTTTCCACTCTGAAAGGCCTGTCGTGCTCGAGAGACGTCGGCGTTCGTCGAGTATCTAGCAGCAACAAAAAATCAGAGTCCACCCGAATGAAAATAGAACGTGCGCACTCGGAGAGCACGGCGAAAGAGACGCCGGCAGTTTTCTTGAAGTAGTTTTGGATGCGAATGAAGTCGAACGAGGAGGGCACGAAAACAGCCGTATTCGTGCTTTGCACAGCGGACTTGAGCACCAGCGGCAGGACCTGGGGATCGCATCACACCGGAGATGACTGAGAACGGGGAAGAGTCGTCTTACCTGGCTCGTGAAAAATGCAAAACGTTTGTCCGCCTCCTCCTTCGGATTAGGGCAGTCGAAGCCCACGAGATTCTGGGGCGATTACAATGTGCCTGCAATGAACAAGAAGATGTGACCTCACCTGCTCGATTCCCTCTGGAACGCCGACTGGTGTCCATCGCTTCTCAAATCGGAGCTTTCCAGCAACGTTCATGAGCCCATTGTTGAACAGCGCCCTAGTGTCCGGCGTTTCAAGCGTCGAAAGAAGTATTGACTGACGCAGATAGTGGGCCCTGCCCCGACGTCAGAAGACAGAATGATGGCAAGAGATCACTCACTGTCCATCCAGATACCACGGCTTGATGCGAGAGAAGTCGGCGTCATGAGAGTCTTTAGGCAACTTGTTTAAATGTGACAGAACGAACTGTGATACAGCATTGGTCTTTGCTTAGAGGATGCATCTGATTACTTCACCTTCACATGTTCCCAGTTCTGCATGCCCAGGGTCTCCATCTGGTCTACGATGAGAATCTCAATGGAGGACAGGTAGTCTGCACTCCTGGAATACACGTCAACCGATAATCACATGTTGATCAACTCAGACGCACTTTTCTTTCTCTATTGACCGCCTCAATCCCAAAGGGCTGGCCATAATGATATCACAACCATAAAACTCGGAAAACATCTTGACGCTCTTCCGGGTCAACTTGATTCCCACACGGAAGTTGTCGTCCACATTCCCTTTGAAAGTTTCGATGTGGTCTCGGGGTAGGTCCCAGGTTCCGCGGTCGCCAGTTTATCGACCATGCCTGGCGCGAGGCCGTATTCTGACAAGAACCGGGACTGATTTTCGATTTGGAATGCAGGAGATGGCGTGTGGGATGTGAGAGCGGAGAACCAGGAGAGGGCGGACGACCGGAACGGAAGGAGGATGAGAACGGCTGGGCGCGTGAAACCCTGATCCTGAACATCTTCTAGAGGAGCTGCGTTGGGATCCGATTTAAGGTTGTGGGCGACTCGTTCGTTGTTCTTCAGCACACGCCGGCGTTTCCTGCGAGTGGTCAGTTGAGTGCGATGCTGTGTGCGAGAAACAAACCTCGTTACATGATCCAGTGCGTGTAGGGAGATCGCTTCGCGGAAGAACTTTTTGTCATCCCACGATGAGGTGGGCACATAGAGATCTCGATGTGTCGAAAGTGCTGCGAGCAACTCATTCTGCACGTCCGTTTGACCTGCAAAGCTGTTACTCTTGAAAGATACAGGGATGTAGTTGAAGCGTACGTCGCGTGCCCTTGGCTTGTCGACTTTTGAAAGGGTTCATTAGACGTTCGAGTATCTATTTTTCGTGAGACAGCGAGAGTGGATTACAGATAGAACATACCGTGATCGAGCTGGGGCTTGAGGACGTTTGTGGTAAGCCCTGCGGAAGATATTCTACCGCCGAGCCCAGCGCCTTGTGAGTCGAGCGAGAGGTGGACCACGCATGGTTGTCTACCGAAGTTCTTGCCGATTCCGTCAACACTGAGGGAGCGCGGCCGAAGTGATCTTCATATGAATTCGAAGGACCTTCCGACCCAAGTCAATCGTCGCATCGGCAGGAAATGAGACCGACCACACCTTCTTCTTTATCATCCTCCCCATCCTTAGCCTCTTCCCCGTCTTCCGTCTCATCGACTACGATGTCCGCAACAGTAGGCAGCGTGGGTTCCACATCTTCGACGAAACGGGCAGATTTTCGTTTGTTCAATTTCTCAGCAGGTACGTCCACGACCTCCTCCCATTTGCGCTTTCCGGCCTTGATCGCAGAGACGTTGAGTAGAGTAAGCAGCTTCGTCGTCGTAGCATTCGCCGCGTCCATCGAGCCAAAAAAGTGGCCGTAGAAATTTAGCCTAGGTCGATCACGTCGCGATCAACAGGCCCAAACAACGCGTCTCAACCGTGAACGGCGACGTCACCAACCACGGTTTATGCATCCGCCCTCCGCTCTTTCGTCCACTGCTCCCCCGTCCAGCCATTGATGCGCGTGCTCTGTGTCGCGGAAAAGCCCTCGATCTCCAAAGCCATCACTGAAATCCTATCGGGCGGGCAGTTCACTACGGTGCGTCTCTAACTTGTGTGACCCCCCAGCCATGCTAGACCGCTCACGCCTGCTGGGAAGCGCAACACGAGTGTCGGATACATCAAAAACTATGACTTCGACTACCCCCGGACGCGCGCCCGGATCACCTTCACATGCGTCACGGGCCACCTAATGGCACAGGACTTCCCAGCGGCCTACCGCAGCTGGACGTCGTGCGATCCGCTCACGCTGTTCGATGCTCCGGTAGAAACTTCCGTCGCGCATGACAAGAAGGGGATCGAGCAGAACTTGCTACGGGAAGCACGGGGTGCGGACACATTGATGATATGGACGGATTGCGACCGAGAGGGCGAGCATATCGGGTCGGAGATCCGCAGTGTATGCCGCAAGGCGAAACCGAATATCTTGGTCAAGCGCGCCAGGTTCAGCGCTATCATCGGCCAGTGCGTAAATCGTGCTCTCCACACACCGACGCTCATCGGCGCAGACAAATTCACAATGCCGTGCAAAATCCTGTAGAGCTGGATCAAGCCCAGGCGGATGCTGTCCAGGCGCGGATGTTGCTGGACTTGCGGATAGGCGCAGCTTTCAGCCGAATGCAGACACTGAATCTCCAAAATGGAATCCCGCAGATCAAAGAGCAGAAATTACTTGTTTCATACGGTGCATTGTCCAGAAAACTCTATCATCCCGATGGCTCATTTTCGTAGGCCCCTGTCAATTTCCGACACTCGGCTTCGTTGTCCAGAGATACAAGCAGGTCAAGAACTTTGTTCCTGAGCCGTTTTGGTACATCTACCTGTCTCTGTCGCGACCCAGCTCTTCACAAGGCCACATCGAAACAGTGTTCAACTGGCGGAGGAATCATCTGTTTGACCACGATGTGGCTGCGGTCATCTACGAGCACGTGCTCTCCAATCCTACCGCTCGAGTCACGAAGGTCGTCGAGAAGAATACTAAGAAATAGTACAGTTCTGATTTTCGCGCCTGCCTCGCTTCTCGCTGACTGAATAAAGCAAACCACTCCCACTGACCACAGTCGAATTGCAAAAGGCCGGCTCTCGACTCTTGAAGCTCGCGCCAAAGAAAGTGCTCGATGTGCGTCAAGTTTCAGGGCCATGGATTGAGCTGACCGACCCAGATCGCTGAATCCCTGTACCAAAAAGGATTTTTATCTTATCCTCGGACGGAAACTGACCAATTCGATCCCCAATTCGACTTTCATTCACTGATCGAAAGACACGTTGATGATCCTAACTGGGGCACCTTTGCGCGCAAGTGCGTTCCTTGCTTTCTCTGTCGTGAATGTTCGCCGACTCTCACAGTCTCCAGCAGGGTGGTTTCAATACGCCCCGTCGGGGGAAGAACAATGACCAGGCTCATCCACCCATCCACCCTACTGCGAATGTGACCAATCTGGCCAACGATGAAAAGCGGGTATATGAATTCATCACCCGACGGTTCCTCGCTTGCTGCTCAAAAGACGCGGAAGGCTCCCTGACGACGGTGGATGTTGTCTGCGGCGGCGAAGATTTCTATGCGACAGGCCTGGTAGTACACCAGAGGAACTACCTGGAAGTATATGTGTATGACAAGTGGACGGGCAACCGGGTGCCCGACTTTGAAGAGGGAGAGCAATTCAATCCTACGGTTTGTGAGTTGCGGGAAGGGAGCACGACTAGTCCAAAGTATCTGACGGAGGCGGATCTGGTCACACTGATGGACAAAAACGGGATCGGTGCGGACAGTCCACCAATTTGTTGATGCTTTCTGACTTGAACTCTATAAGGCACCGATGCGACTATTGCACAACACATTGACACGATCGTCTCTCGAGAATACGCACTGGAAGAGTTTGAGGGTGGGACGAAATACCTGATTCCGTCGACTTTGGGTCTGGGTCTCGTGGAAGGCTATGATGAGATGGGCTTCGAGAAGAGTCTCAGCAAACCCCATCTGCGACGAGAGGTGAGTTGCTATAACCCCGACTCGTTCGTCATGTCTCTGAAAGGAGAGATAAGACTGAGCGAAACATTGTTGAAATCTGCAACGGAACCAAGACCAAAGGAGACGTGCTCGCCGATAGCGTCGATCAATATCGGGACATATTCATCAGAGCTCGCGGCCAAATCAACAAGGTCACAGCCAGTGTACAGAGATTCCTCGATGGTGCTCGGGTCGGAGATGGAAGCGCACCTGCACGTGGAAGGGGGAGAGGAAGAGGTCGAGTAAGAGGTGCAGGTCCGGGCCGAGGTGATGGCGGCGGGGGCGGTGGGAACGGAGATGGTGGGGCTCCAGGTGGCGGTGGCGCTGCTGGTCGAGGCAATCCAGCGCCAAGACGGGGAGGTGCACCTGGGCGAAATAATCCGCCGGTCACACGGAACAGTCCCCCGCCGTTTGATCCAGATGACGACGATGGTGAGCTTCAATTTCTTGCCGAAGATTCTCATATGCGACCTCGTGTAGATTTCATGGATCCTCCTCCTCCTCCAAGACCTCCGGCCCGACAGCCTGCAGGGCGAACATCCAGAACAAATGAGCCGCCGCCGAGACAAGTTCAACCGCCACCACTACCACGACAAGCTCAACCATTATCAAGACCGACTCAGCCTCCTACCTCATCCAGTCAAGAGGATATTCGATGCGACTGTGGTGAGCCAGCTGGACAGCGCACTGTGACAAAGGAAAGTGCGACGAAAGGCAAAAAGTTCTGGACGTGTGATAGCCAGCAATGTCGTTTCTTCAAATGGGTGGAGGATGTCGGTGGTCCCAGCTCAGTTCCTGCGAAACGAACTTATTCTGGGGTGAGCGTCATGTTCTATGAATCCTTGATGATTCTGATTGTGCATAGCGGGAAGCAGAACCTACTGGTGACAGGAAATGCAAGTGTGGAGAGGAAGCGGTTCAGCGAACAGTGGTCAAAGAGGGCGACAACAAGGGCCGCAAGTTCTGGAACTGCGGCAGTGCCCAAGATTGCGACTTCTTTGAATGGGATGACGCAGTCCGACCTGCTTCGTCGTCGATGGGCGCAGGTCCCAGCCGAGACCAAGATGTTTGCTACAAGGTAAACTGGGTCTTGTTTAAAGATTGATGATCTAAGATTTTCAAGTGCAATCAATCAGGCCACTGGGCTTCATGTATGTCTATTTCGCTATGTCCTTGCCAGTCAATGAATCCGCCCAGCCTGTCCGAATGGCAGTACTTCAGACAACAGCCGTTTCTCTCGATCAAACGAATCACGGCCTGGCTCATCGTCCATGAGTGCAAGTTCCGGCACCGTTTGCTATAAGGTGTGCTGGCTGATTCCCTTCTCAAAAATCTTCCTGACAAGTCGAAGTGCAATGAATCGGGTCACTGGGCATCTGGTTCGGGTCAGTTTTCGCCATTTCCTCTCGACTGAATGTATCCAGCATGTCCCAATGGTGGTGCTCCAGACAAACGGTCCCGGTCTTTCGGCTCGAAGCCCAGCGGCAACAGTGGACCAGTCGGCGCCTGCTTCAAGTGCAATCAGGAAGGTCATTACAGTGCCGGTCAGTCTTGCTTCATCACTCAGACTCTGCGAGTTGAACGCACCGCACAGACTGCCCTACTAGCGGTGGCAGCAGGTCGAAAGGCAGGCAGGACTCATCAGCTGGGGGTCTCAGCTGTTTCAAATGCGGAGAATCCGGCCATTTCTCCAATGGTGATGTACATTCCCCGCCTACAGAGGCTCGTTCTAAACGTTGATTGTAGCGTGTCCCTCGTCTGGAGGTGGCGGATCCAGCTCATACAAACGCACGTCAAGCGATCGCGGGTCTTCAAAACGTGGGCGTTCTGCCCCGAAGGGGACTTCCAGTAAACGAGGTCGAGGGAAACGGACGTTCGGTGCACCGGGGTAGCACACTGTACTTTTAGATTACGTAGCCAAATTCACCTTCGCGTCCACGACGTGTTATTTGTCTCTATTACTCAACCCACCCCTCACCTCACACCATGACCAGCATTACACGCAACTTCCCTGGTTCATCCGCGACCTAGGTGTGTCCATAGTCGGCAAAGTCAGCTCCAACCTTGTCCTTGTTCTTCCGGCAAGCTCAATGCGCACAGGAATGCTACACGTCACTCGTTGAAAATCTTAACATTGGCGACGTACAATGCATCAAGTACTCCATTTCAAAGGGTTTAGGAATCGGAATTGTATTGGGAGGCTCTATAATGAAAGTACCACAACTTCTCATAAGTGCGTACCTCGCCTTTCTCGACCCAGTGTGAGACTTACCACAGCCGCTCAGTTGTACGCTCACAGTCCGCGCGCGGACTGTCACTGCCCTCCTACATCCTGGAGACCCTCTCCTACGCTATCACGCTCGTTTACGCTCAGCGGAACGAATATCCGTTCTCGACATACGGCGAGAACCTCTTCCTGACGATCCAGAACATCGTCATCACACTGCTGATCATCCTATACGCCCCTCGCGCGCGGGACAAGACGACCAACGCGGTGATGGCGTGCCTGGCGCTGCTCGTGTTCTTCCTGTCGGCATCGCTGGTGTCGATGGACGTGCTTGCAATGATGCAGCTTGCGACCCTGCCGCTGTCGCTGTTCTCTAAGCTGCCGCAGATCCGGCAGAACTACACCTCCCAGTCGACGGGCAACCTCTCCGCATTTGCGGTGTTTGCGCAGATCGCGGGCTGTGCCGCGCGGCTGTTTACGACGGCGATGGAGGTCAACGATCCCATCGTTGCGGCGGGCTTCCTGCTTGCTCTCCTGCTGAATATCGTGTTGGGTGTGCAGCTGTCGCTGTACTGGGGACGTGACGATGCAGTGGCTGCGAAAAGCAAGTCCAACGCTGTTGTCGCCGATAAAGTCCGGGCGTCGCCCGTGCCGGCCGCATACGAGTCTGTGCCATTGCAGCAGCGGGCTGCGACGCCGCCGCCCGGGTCACCGTCGATGAGCGGTCGCAAATGGGCTCGCAAGGTGGATTGAAACTTCTGCTGTCTAAATCCGGTGTTCTTATGTACGCGCTCTTAATCCATAAGACGTTGACTGTAGATCACATGGTTTGAACTCCCGCACAGGAGGGTGATGCAATTGCAAGCTCTTACGGTAAGCACCGGCGTTGCCATGCATCATAGCTCTTGATATTCAGCCGCTCGTAGCGATCAGTGAACCGCGTGTTGTTGCAAGGCGGATGGGCCATGGCGCAGCCAGCGGACTAAAGGGGATTTGGCTCCGGTCCACATGCGCAGATGCTCCGGCGGCGAAAGCGTTGGCAGTCCTTCTGGACGAGCATCGGTCCCGCCTGCCGAAGAGGATGAGGCACTCTTCGATATGGGCTCGGCGATAGAAGTAGAACACTACTGGGAGACGAGCTCTGGAAGTCTCGCTAACTGCAGCCTCGATGTAGGAGCCGGGTGCCGGCAGGAGGCGGCACATATATATGCGTCGGAGCAGGATCGGCCCGGCGCTGCGCTCCACAGGTTAAACGATGTTCCCTGAGGCTGCGACGAGGATATCAGGAAACACGTCTTGTTCTTCGTGTCCGGGGTCAATGGTCATCATCCTGGGAGAGTGCCACTCTGAGTGCATGACAGTTGCCCGATTACGAGGAGATGTGATTGATTCGCGCAGTCTGCTTGTTCTCTGCGCGTGCTTGAGTAATTGCCTACCTTTGCGTGCAGGGCGTTGTTAAAGTGTAAGACGTGTGCGGCCGACGAGCGGCGTAGCTCAGCACCTCCCATGAAATGAACAGTTCGAAGCGTTATCTGATCTGCTGGCGGCAAAATTTACTGCGTCAATCAGAACTCTTGGCCTGGTTCGAGCAACGTACAGCGCGCAAAGGTTGTTGTGATTCCGGTCGACATCCTTTGCCATCCCCGCGCGCGGGTGGCTGCGTCCGAGCAAATGCTCTACCTTTCGCTGTGTCGACGCCCCGTTGTCAGGCGCTCGTGCTCAAATTCTAGCATTGAGTCGGGCTGCTTGTTTTTGGGAACAAGGTTCGATCGCAGTGTTGCTTTCCCGTACTTACTAGCGCGATCTCGCGCCTTATTCTCTCAACTGCGCGCCCATGAGTACTGATTTGCTGGTCATTCTTCTTGCTGGATTATCCGGGCCGGGCTGCGCGCCTTAGGCGACGGAGCCACGTGAATTTGCGTATCAACTCTTTGATGGGACGCATGAGTCACTGAGGATGATGAGGGGAAGACGCGGTGGAAGTTGGGAAGGCGGTTGCACAATGACGTACCCGGCGTCGTTTGCCGGCACTGAGAACTCCAGCCCTGGTAGATTGTTGAACGCTGCGAGCAGAGAGATGGGAACTTTGGGAAGCTGGCAGGGCCATCGTGATATTCTACTAGTCCAAGAAGGCTGGTATGAGCATTCGAAGCCAGAATGTGTAAGCATCGATGACGGGATCAGAATACGCATCGTGAATGACTAAACCACCAGTTCACTGTAGGTCCGCGCTTTTCGATCGATCGTCGATATAGAGCGCCTCAAGCCAGCCCCAAGACCATGCCAGCCGGTGCCGGAATCACTTGGGTATTTTCAATATGTGGCCGGATGCCTCACGTGGTCGTGAGGTACGGATCACCGGGGATTGACCCATTGATCTCATCCGCCTGGTCAGGTCAGCGTGCTGGGAAATAACGATAACCACTGCCAATACCTCTCATGTGCCATGATTTCACCGACGTTTATGCAGTCAGCTGGCCGCCTCGAGGTTTCGCGATCTGGTCAACTGATCTGCGGGTGACTGGCCGGCCGCGGAATCAATGAACCACCAGAGCGGTAGCCAACTGGCTTGGCGCAGTGTCGCGTCCACTTCCCTTCCGCTTCGACTGTGGAAATTTCGAGATGCCGGGATGTCGTGTCATGGAAGCTCTTCCACGGGGATGTAAGCTAAGCATTTGGCGGAATTCACGGATGGCATACAAAAGGAACGCCTTGGGCTCACGATTCGTCCGAGCAATCCCCGGATTCAGTCACCCCCGCGAGAACGACGATGCGCTCCTCAACGCGTCTGCTCGCATACACCCTGCTCTCTCTGTGCCTCAGGCTCGCGCCGGCCGTTGCGGACGTCACGACGGGCGTCCCCGACGCCGCGCCAGCCGGGTTCGAGGAGTGGGAGTCGCCCATCACGCTGCCCGCCCCGCCGGTCAAGGGCACCGCCGACTGGGGCGACTCCGTCGCGCGCGCCCGCGCATTCGTCAAGGGCCTAACACTACAAGAGAAGATCAACGTCACGACGGGGATCGACGTCCAGGGCAGGTGTGTGGGGAACACTGGAGTGAGTGGGGTCGCCGGGCATCGCGTCCGCTGCTCGCGGGAACGATGCCGAGATTTCTGATCGCGCTTGCTGACGTTATGTTGCTTCTTTCCTTTTCTCTCCTTTCCACTCGGGCTTTCTCGACAGACTATACCCCGACTGGGGTGGAAAGGCCTGTGTCTCGAGGACTCGCCGCTGGGTGTGCGGTTCGCCGATCTCGTATCGGCGTTTCCGGCTGGAATCACTGTCGCCTCGACGTGGGATGTTGATCTGATCAAGTGGGTCCGATTTCCTTCTATGGGATTCCAGCATTCCCTTCGCGGGCTTCGAATCCGTTCTCCGTGCGCTCGTCGTGCGGGGCGAGCCAGCTTCTGTGCCTGTCCACCGTCCATCGGCTTCTTTGTCATATCGGCCGTGTGGATCCCGCGTCTGGACTACTGCATGCTAGCTTTGTTCCCACAGCTGACATTCTCCACAGAGCACGTGGAAAAGCGATGGCTCAGGAGCACAAGGGGAAGGGCGTGAATGTCGCCCTCGGACCGATGACTAACCTAGGTGCGTACCACCTGGCCGGCTTCCAAAGCCTCCCCTCCCCCTCATTGACATGCTGCAGGCCGTGTCGCTGCGGGTGGCCGAAACTGGGAAGGATTCGGTGCCGATCCCTTCTTCTCCGGTGTGGCATCGGCGGCCTCCATCGAGGGAATCCAGGGCGTCGGGGTCATGGCTACCGTGAAACACTAGTGCGTACCAGCCGTGCTGCTCTGTATGCAGGTCGCGCTGACGACGAGCCCAGCATCGGCAACGAGCAGGAGCACTTTCGTGGTGGCTCTTCAGCGCCTCAGATCTACAGCTCGAACATCGATGACAAGACGATGCACGAAGTCTACGCCTGGCCGTTTGCGGAGGCTGTCAAATCCGGCGTTGTTGCTGTGATGTGCTCGTACAACTATGTGAACCAGACACAGACATGCCAGAACTCCAAGCTGCTCAACGGCATCATGAAGGAGGAATTGGGTTTCCAAGGTTCGGGTCCCTTGTCCAACTTTTCTCCTTCTTGGGATGCTTATGTACTGTGCAGGTTTCATCATGTCGGATTGGGCCGCTCTGATCAACGGTGTTCAGCCTGCACTTGCTGGGTTGGACATGAATATGCCTGGTTTCGTCAAATACGGAAACGACAACCAGCCCAACCCGGTCACGGCGACCAACTCCTACTGGGGAGCTGCGCTGATTCAGAGTGTCAACAACGGCAGCGTGCCCGAAGCTCGTGTCGACGACATGGTCCGTTCCTCTTTTTGCGAGTTTGAGCATGGACTGATGCACGTTCAGGTGACCCGAATCATTGCTGCGTGGTATAAGCTGGGCCAAGATCAGGGCTATCCCGACGTCAGCTTCTCGCAGCTCACGGAGGAGACCTACCTCAACGGGGAGCTAGTCAATGAGCATATCAAGTGCGTTGGCTGGCGTCCGTTGCCCTCCGTGCGAAAGCTGACCGTGCTCGCCGCCCAGTGTGCAGGGAAACCATTACAAGCTCATCCGCCAGATCGCCGCCGCAGGAACCATCCTACTCAAGAACAACAAAGGCGCTTTGCCATTGAACGTGCACAACATCAAGCGCCTCGGCATCTTCGGATCTGACGCAGGTCCGAACCCCGATGGCCCGAATGGATGCAGCGAGTGCGTGCGGGATATGGGTTGTGCAACGTGTCCCATCTGACCTTCTTTGCAGCCGTGGATGTGACCAGGGCACGCTGGCCATGGGCTGGGGCTCGGGAACGGCCAACTTCCCTTACCTGATCGACCCGCTCGCAGCGATCACGACGCACATCCAATCCATCGACTCGACGATCGTCATCGAAGGCGTCCTCGACGACTTCAATACCGCACAGCAAACGCTCGTAGCGTCGCTCGCCGATACGTGCATCGTCTTCGCCAACTCGGACTCGGGCGAAGGGTACATCACCGTCGACGGGAACGCCGGGGACCGCAACAACCTCACGCTCTGGCACGGCGGCGACGCGACCATCACCGCCGTCGCGGACAACTGCGCGAACACGATCGTTGTCATGCACGTCGTCGGCCCCGTCCTGGTCGAGGCGTGGATCGACCACCCGAACGTCACGGCCGTGCTGAACGCCGGGCTGCCGGGCCAGGAGAGCGGCAACGCCATTGTTGATGTGTTGTTTGGCGCGGTGAACCCCAGCGGTCGGCTCACCTACACCGTGGCCAAGCAGAGATCGGATTACCCCGCCGACGTATTGTACAGCAGCGGCGACCCCGTGCCACAGATCACCTACTCGGAGGGCTTGGGCATCGACTACAGGTGCGCTGCGTTGTTGATGTTAGTGGGTTTTAAGTTGGCTGACATCGTATTCTAGATGGTTCGACTCGAAGAACATCCAGCCGCGGTGGGAGTTTGGGTACGGTCTCAGCTACACGACGTTCCAGTACAGCGGTCTCGGCATCTCGCACCACGGAAACAGCCGCAGAGCGACCTTCTCCTCCAGCGCCGCCGTTCTCTCCAGTGCTACTCACTCTAGCGCTGCGCCGGCCAGCACCCACAGTGCATCGGTCAGCGCGAGCAAGACTGTCGCTAGCCTCTCGAGCGCTTCCCTTGCCTCAGCGAAGCCATCCTCCGCTTCGGCCATCTCTACGATTGCCTCCGCGCCATCCTCGAAATCCGCCTCTGCCTCAGGTTCCAAGTCGGGTTCAGCCTCAGCATCGGCCTCGGCCTCGGGATCCAAGTCAGCCTCGCCGACCAGCACAGCCTCCGGCGCCCTGTCCTCGCCCGTCGCCCCGATCGGCGGGCCCGCGCATCTGTACGACACGTTCCTGACCGTGTCGTTCAGCGTCAAGAACGCGGGATCGGCCGCCGGCACCGAGGTGGCGCAGCTGTACCTCACGTTCCCGGCCGGGTCCGGGCAGCCGCCGCGGGTGCTGCGCGGGTTCTCGCGCACGAAGGTGCTGAGCCCGGGCGCAGCACGAGTGTGCAGATCCCGCTGCGGGTGAAGGATGTGAGCGTGTGGGACGTGCCGAGCCAGACCTGGGTCGTGCCCTCGGGTACGTTCGGAGTGAGCGTGGGAGCGAGCTCGAGGAACTTGAAGCTCACGGGCCAGTTCACCGTCTGAGCGGCTGGTTTCTTTTTTTCTCTCGTAAAAATGTATATACTAGTATAGTAGTACCTGAGCCGGGGACAATATAAAAAATCATGGCTTTTCAATCTGTTCCGTTTCCAGACCGGAAATGGATGATAAGATGGGTTAACAATCTGCTTGACAGTGCAGCCGATATTGCAGGATGTTGTATGAGACTAGTCAAGACTATCGTAGAGTTACATAAAGATTATTCGAAGGGATTACTCCCAGGACAGGTATATCACGACAGATGGTCGATCCAGTCTCAAGTAAGGTCGATCACTTCACGCGCCATGGAGCGGGCTCTGTTCTCTCGCTTGACCTTCTTCCTCGGCGGAGCATCGTCGACTGTGAGATCGATCACGTCGCCCGCGCCACGCTTGACTTTCATCTTCTTCTCAGCCTTCACCTCGACAGAGTTCGTCTGCGGGAGGGCTCAGTACACGCACGTGACGAGAGGGGGAACGATCCCTGCTGCATACTGACATCTCGGAGAGGTTTCACCTCGCGCGCCGGAGGGAACGGGGGTCTAGCTGCTGGCGGCGCGATGTCGTTGGCGCGCAAGACGTCTTTGAAGGGTGTCAGCATTGTGCCCAAGTCGTGTATACATACAAGCGCCACTCAGCAGCACACACCGAGGGGCCGGTACCGGAACGAGAAGTTGACCAGATCCGCTCCGAGGCGCTGCACAGCGGCAAATCGGCACGGTGAGGGTAGAGCTGTAGACTGTCCCAGTCTGTATACACGTGCAGAGTTCAGCGACACGCTGCAGCAGCAGAGACAGAGGACAGACGTACGAGACTTGCTGCGTGACTGCCTTTTTCGACCGTTCGTGGATCTTGAGTGTTTCGAGCGAGGGGTACGACTGGGGGGGAGCTGAACGCGAGGCGATGAGGACAGGGACGAGCTGAACGTCGATGCGGCCAAGATCCTGAGACACGGACGACTGCCCCAAGAGACGATCGTCGTCTTGGGTGCCGGCCCATCAGCTTCAATGTGAGACAACAGCAAAGAGTCAAGAAAGACAGACCGGAGAGCTCGAGGGATGAGAACATGAACGGCCTCGTGTCATTTTCTCCCAACGCCCCATCTATGCTCACCGTCGAAGGTGTTTGCAGCCCGCAGTACAGGACCCGCCCGACAACTTCTTTCCCGTCCATCCTGGTGTACACCGCGATGACCCCCGGATGCGCGGTGCTTCTCACGTGGACCGCGAACGTCTCGAAGAAAATCCCGGGTCGCCATCAGATGAGTGGCTCTAGACGCGCGAACGGCGTGCGTATGTACCTTGCCTAATTGCGATGCGATCCAGCAGGTGACCTTCTTCTCGTCGGCGGCGGTCTCGACGCCGTACTCGACCGTCTCCTGCCCATCGATGGTCACCCACGCGTCGAATTTGTCAAAATGGAGCATGCGTCACTATCGGCACTGCGGAGCGCAAACGGCGACGAGAAACAGTTTAGGAGAGAGGGCGAAACGCGAAGTGTCACGGCTGTCACGCTGATCTGAGCCTGAGATGAGTGGCCAGAACAATGCCATTGATGATTGGCATCCGTCATTCATCCTTGCCCCGTGCGCTCATCTCGGATGGATCCATCGGGCCCGCTGGGTTCCGAAGTGTGCTTCTAGCGGAAAGAGGAGAAGTGCCTGTACCAGGATCCAAACGGAGGAGGCTGCAAGGAGCATGCGAGGAGTGTAGGAGACGCAAAGGTGGGACTGGTGTTTAGCGTTCGGGATCTGATTATTGTTTCGGCGCGTCAGTTCGATGTCAGTATAGTCATTGCCATTGAAAGAAGAGGAGGTTTGATGCGGTTGGTTGTGCGCAGGCAACAGAATGACCATGCCCGGCCATGTTTGTTCGAACTGCATCTCATTCAACATCTTGTGCCTCACGTTCCCGGCCGGGTCCGGGCAGCCGCCGCGGGTGCTGCGCGGGTTCTCGCGGACGAAGGTGCTGAGCCCCGGGCGCAGCACGAGTGTGCAGATTCCGCTGCGGGTGAAGGATGTGAGCGTGTGGGATGTGCCGAGCCAGACCTGGGTCGTGCCCTCGGGTACGTTCGGAGTGAGCGTGGGAGCGAGCTCGAGGAACTTGAAGCTCACGGGCCAGTTCACCGTTTGAGGGGCTGGTTTCTTTTCTCTCTCTCGTAAAATGTATGTATATAATCGTACTTAAGCCGGGGACAATATCAAAATCATGGCTTTCGAATTTGCTCCGTTTTCAGACCGGAAATGTTTGATAAGATTGGTTACCAATCTGCTTGACAGTTGCAGCTAATATTGCAATGCATTGTATGAGACAACTATATCGTAGATTTTAAGAATTTAAGGATTATTCGAAGGAATTACTCTCAGGACAGATATATCACGACAGATGGCGCCGTTTCGGTCTCAAGTAAGGTCGATCACTTCACCCACGATGTGGGCTTTGTTCTCTCGTTTGACCTTCTTCTTCGGCGGAGAATCGTCGACGGTGAGATCGATCACGTCGCCTGCGCCACGCTTGACTTCCATCTTCTTCTCGTCCTTCACCTCGACAGAGTTCGTCTGCGAGAAGGCTCAGCGCACGCACATGACATGAGGGGGAACGATCCGTGCTGCACACTTACATCTCGGAGAGGTTTCACCTCGCGCGCCGGAGGCGACGGGGGTCTGACTGCCGGCGGCGCGATGCCGTTGGCGCGCAAGACCTCTTTGCTGGGAGTCAGGCTTTTTCCAAAGTCATGTGCACACAAGCGCCACTGAGCAGCACGCACCGAGGGGTCGATACCTGAACGAGAAATTGACCAGATCCGCTCCGAGACGGTGCGCAGCGACAAATCGAGACGGCACGGGTAGATCCGTAGACTGTCCCAGTCTTCATAGACGTGCAGAGTCTCAGCAGTACGCAGCAGCAGCAAAGACAGAGGACAGACGTACGAGACGTGCTGTGTGACTGCCTTTTTCGACCGTTCGTGGATCTTGAGTGCCTCGAGCGAAACGTAATCGTGACGGGGAACTGGATTCGAGAAGAGGGCAGGAATGAGCTGAACGTCAATGCGGCCCAGGTCTTGATGCACGGACGACTGCCCCAAGAGACGATCGTCGTCTGGGTGCCGGCCCATCAGCTTCAATGTGAGACAACAACAAAGAGTTCGGAACGACAGACCGGAGAGCTCTAGGGATGAGAACATGAACGGTCTCTTATCCTTTTCACCCGATACTCCATCTATGCACACCGTCGAAGGCGTCCGCAGCCCGCCGGGCATGCCCCGCCCGCCAGTATCTCTTCCGTCCATCGTGGTGCACACCGCAATGGTGCCCAGATATCCGTTGCTTCTCACATGGACCGCGAAAGTCTCCAAGAAATTCCGGGTCGCCATCAGATGAGTGGCTTCAGACGCGCGGACGATGTACGTACCTTGCCTAATTGCGACGCGATCCAGCAGGTGACCTTCTTCTCGTCGGCGGCGGTCTCGACGCCGTACTCGACCGCCTCCTGCCCATCGATGGTCAACCACGCGTCAAAAGTATCAAAGTGGAGCATGCGTCACTATCGGCACTGCGGAGCGCAAACGGCGACGAGAAACAGTTTAGGAGAGAGGCGAAACGCCAGGTGTCACGGCTGTCACGCTGATCTGAGCCTGAGATGAGTGGCCAGAACAATGCCATTGATGATTGGCATCCGTCATTCATCCTTGCCCCGTGCGCTCATCTCGGATGGATCCATCGGGCCCTCTGGACTTCGGAAGTGTGCTCCTAGCGGAAAGGGGAGAAGTGCCTGTACCAGGATCCAAGCGCAGGAGGCTCCAAGGCGCATGCGAGGAGTGTAGGAGACGCAAAGGTGGGACTTGTGTTGAGCGTTCAACATCTGTTTGCTGATTCGTCGCGTTAGTTCGATGTTAGCACAACATTTCTGTTGAAGGAGGAGATCTGATACGACTTGTCGAGCTCAGGCAATAGAATGACTATGCCCGGGCATGTTTGTTCGAACTGCATCTCGTTCAACATTTTGTGCGCAGATCCTTCGTCTGATAATGTCCTTTATCAGCATTGTCCCAATGCTTTTCTGCTGAATCTTTTTCCAGTCCTCGAAGAATAAGAACTCTAATCTACCCTCCATGTCACCACAGTCTCCACCAGTAAGTTGTCTTCGCCGGACACCGAGTCCTAACCTTCGACTTGCATCAGAGTTCCACCCCGACCAAAGCCTCTCCTTTCCCCAAGACGGCGGCAGATCACGTCGACGCCATCCTCACCCAATCTACCGCTTACATTCCCACTGACCAACTGCGCGCGATTCTTCTCGACGTGGCACGATACTGTCGTCAAGTGGAGGATAAACTCACCGTGTGCGAGAAAGAACGGAGCGCAGTTCTGACGCAGCCCGCCGATTCCCAGACCGCGTCCAGCCCTGCATCGGACACCAAGCCGAGCCGAGCGCCGTCGCCAGATCGGGTCATGCTTCTGACGGACTCGTTCCTGGGCATGTCGCTATTCAATCCGACGCGGACACGCTACTTCGGGCGGTCGAGTGTCACGTTCCTCGTGTCGAGGGCGGTGCAGATGAGGATGGCGCATGAGAGCGGGGGCTCGAAATCAGAGATGCGTCCGGTGCGGAGGCCGCAGTTCGTGCACAGTCCCGTGCGTGTTTTTTTTCTTGGACATTCGAATAAATCACCAGGTTGATTTTTTATATTCAGTGGGAGAGCACGTACCCAGAACCGCCTCCGGTGTATTCATTTCCTCCTGCCGACCTTCTGCATGACCTCGTCACGATCTTTTTCGAGAAACTCAACATCGTGTTCTTCTTGTTGCACCGAGCGTCTTTCGAGCGCTCAGTCGCATCGGGAATGCACCTTCTCGACCACTCATTCGGAGGGCTGCTTCTAGCTGTCCTTGCCCTGGCTTCCAAGTGAGCTTCTTGCGCCATCGAGAGATCGACAATTCCTCACGAGTGTTCAGATTCTCCGATGACCCGCGTGTCATCTACCCAGGGACGAACACGAGACTGAGCTCCGGGTGGCAGTGGTTCCAGCAGATTCGGTACGGGGACAATAAAGATTTCTACTACGGAATGGGGCTGCACGACGTGCAACGTACTCTGGTGCGCGAAATTAGAACTCGATACCGCACTGACAAGGCATAATTATATTTTCCAGCTTACTATTGCTTACCTCCAAGGCTCCAACTCCCCCTCGCCTTGCTGGATCCTGACCGGTGTCGTCGTCCGGAGCCTGCAAGACATCGGAATCCATATGCTGCGCGTGCCGCTGGCCGAGATGTCAACCGAAGTCGAGCTGTGGAAGCGCGCTTACTGGATGGCCATCGCCAGCGACACCCTCAGCAGTGCCTTCCTAGGTCGTCCCAGAGCGACGAGGGACGAAGAGTGAGTGATAAGCCACACGGCTCTGAATTGTCAACCCCTGGGTTGATATTTTTCCTGGCCAGTTACGAGCTGGACTATCCGGTGGACTGCGACGACGAGTATTGGGAGCATGCGGACCCCACACAGCGGTTCCGCCAACCCGAAGGGAAGCCGCGCCAATGGGCCTTTGCTCTTCTCTATGTCAAATTAATGGAGATCTTGGGCAAAGCCCAGAAAACCATTGTAAGTTGAATTTCGGCTACCCCGCACAGAGTTTCTGATCCCATGATGTGCTCGTCCAGTACAGCACCCAGGGAACACAGAATGGCCAAGAGTGGACACAGGGAATGGTCGTTGAGCTCGAGTAGGCGCGATCACCCTCAATCCTGGGATCGTTAACTGAGGAACGCAGCTCAGCTCTGAACAACTGGATGGACTCTATCCCGGAATATCGTGAGCCTGCTTTCCTCAATACGAGAGCGCTGCTCATTTTTGGATTTTAGTCCGCTGGAACCCTCAGCTGGAACAGGAGCCTTTTGCCAGCCAGTCGGCTTGTCTCATGGCCGGGTACTACCACGGTAATATGTCTGATTTATTTTGATGTTACAATATCAATTGAATTCCTCGCAGTTCAAATCCAAATCCACCGCAGTTTTATCCCGTCGCCGACGCAAGATAACTACCTCTCTACTGCGAGAAAAATTCGAATCAATCATTTCCCTCGAACTAACTTGCACTGCAGTCCTTCCCTTCGCTCGCCATCTGCGCAAACTCCGCTCGCTCATGCAGTCACGTGATAGATGTTCAAACCAAACGAAAGCTGATACACCATCCGCAAGTGATGGTGAGTGGGATTTCAGTCTTCTAAAAAATCATACTAGGAACTTGAAATAGGCTGCGATCGTCGATTCTGCGATTATTCTGCTGATCAATGTATGGGGCTCGCGGCAGTCGGGGGGAAAACATCCTCTGAGTGCAGCACGGGTGGCCAAGGATGTGCAGAAATGCATCAACGCTTTGAGAGTATACGAGGAAAGATGGCAGTATGCCGGACGATACTGGTTCGTCCGTTCGCGGCATCGTTCAAGTAAAATTGACTCGTAACAGTGACTACATATTCACGATCGGGAACCAGTTTCTCAGTGGTCCCTCGAACGAAGATGTTGAAACGAAAGATCTCAAGCGCCCGCGAGAAGACGAAGACGATGGGACGCAGCGGTTTGGGGCTCCTCCTCAGGACACAGCCACAACCGAGTACGAACATGGCACACTTCCCATGTCGACTGAAGAGCTAGGCACGCTGCCCATCTACCAGTCCTTCGATTGGGCGAGTCCGGTCATCCAAGATTCAGGGTTTGAGTTTGCCGGCAAGTGGGTCTCGCCCCAAGAATCGTAAAAATGCTGAGACCGTCACAGGCTCGGAAGCTCCCAGTTTCTTGCCATACCAGGCAGAGAGTGCAGAAGAGTACGTAGCCTCTTTTCTTTCTTTTTTCGTTGTTCGCGCTCTCACTCTGCGTGCGCAGTTGGTCCACGCGCGATTGGTCTCAGTACATAGACATCGAGCTGTGGTTGCAGCAGAGTCTGTCTGATGCGCAGTAGGATCTGCGTCCGGCTCTATGCTTGTTTGCATATGCTGCATGGTCTGTTGTTATTTCTGTTACATTATCAGAATCGTTGTAATCATAAAAACGGAGTTCGAAGCTGAGCCTCTGTCAGACGGCTCAGCTCCATTGCTACGCGTCATACACTCGGTGGGTGGAGGCACCTGGCCGACTTCGGACGCGATCTCTGGTAGACGGAACTGCCACTTAATATCTTCCGCCTGGACTCCATGCGGAGGAAATGTCGAGAGTACAGCATCCGCGATTGAATGTACACAATCGCTAGTCTTGGTGATCATCGTAACGCTACGGGGCAAGAATACCAACACCCAAGCGGATAAGATGAGACTAGATACGATACAAACAACATCTAATCTACCGCCTGCGACTCTTGCTCTTCCTCTCAGAATCATCGTCAGGTCGCACCTTCCGCTTTTTAGTCTGGGAAGCCGACTCCGCCTCGACGAGGGCGCCCAGTTTTGCGATCACTTCCCGCAGTATCTTTTTCTCTCCGACGCGGACCACCAAGGCGTGCTTTTTGTTAACAGCGATGCTTGGGTTCTCAAGCATTGCGATATCAGCCTTCGATGTCATCAGCTTTAAGAAACGCGCGGGCTTTTCGACGCACCTCGAGAGTGGTAGGGTATTGAGATAGCCTGGACTCGAAGACCGTTTTGACGATCGGTAAAACTTCGCCATCGATCTTAGGTTTTGGAACTTTGTCTTTTTCAACGGCCTTCTCCCATTCCGCCGCAGTGAGCCGTAGCAGGCGGATCAGCGCAACGAGAGCCAGAGGGATCTCGAGATCTGATTCCAGGACAAGTACACTGCGGGAGGTGAGTCATGTGTAATCCGAGACACAGTCGAGCGGCAACGCACTCGTCCCCGCCTTGCTCCAGCCACCAGTCTATCCGCTCCTTTGTCGTTCCCGCGTCCAGGCCCAGGACCTCCACAGCAATGTCCGCGGGTATCTCCACGACGTCCCCGGGGTTCCCAACGTCCCCGTTGGGGAGTGGGAGCATATCGACATGGCCGTATCGTCGGAGCAGTTCAGAGTTGGGCAGGTCTCCGTACGTGTTCCACTGCAAATTTTGAGCGTGCACAGATCGACAGCACGAGATGACCTACAATCTGATCACCGGCTTTGATAGGTTTCGTCGAAACCATTCGCAGCTCTTCCTTTTCGTAGAACAACTTGGCCTGAACGCATGCCTGTTTTAGCTGAAGAAGCAGAAAGCCGATGGCTACAAACATTCTCAGAACCGAATTGGGCATTCAGCATGTCCGCCATTGGAACCATCGCGACATTCGCAGGCTCCTCCTCCTCCTCAATGTTCTCCAGGTCGTCTTCAGGTTCGTTTGTGTCTGCAGCAGGTTCTGCTTCCGCAGGACCATCAACATCCATGGCACTCCCAACGCTAGTGTTAGCGACCACGTGTTCCTCTTCTGTGTCGTCTGCATCCCCATCTTCGTCCGGCTCGTCGTTCTCTACATCGAAGCTTCGAGAGAGGATGCGGCTGCCCATGATGTGGTAGATTTCCAAGGTGTAGTACGTGTATATTGTGTCCACCGGGAAGATGTCCAGTCGGCTCTAAGCCTTGGATCAGGATCTTATAGGGCCGGATTCCAGTGGAGATCTCACCTGGACGAGAGGCAGCAACTTCTCGGTGAAGTCGCGCTCTGCGTCATCCCTCCCTAACTTCGCTATGCTGGAAGTGAGTTATAGAAGAGAGATCAAGACATAAGACCTAGACAGACCTACCACAGTGGTCCCTTGTAGTTCCCGCAGATCTTCGTCGTTCCAGAACATCGGTGTGTCGAAGGTCGATGGCAGTGAATCTGGGGTAGGCCCTTTCAAAGCGCTCCGAGTGCGATACCATACCAGATGGACTGACCCAGATACCCCGACCACCGTGAGCTCGAGCCCTGCGCAGTCTCCCACATCATGCAGAGGATCAGTCCCGCCCAGCCGATGTGCATCTTGCGTTCCTTCCAGTACGCCAGTCCGACACGCCCCGGAAGCTCGGAGTTCTCGGGCGAGAGGAGGATGCTCCTGGGTATTCTGAAGAGAACGTGGCCCTCCTGATCGACGGCAGGTGAGCATCGCCGTCTTCGCGTCGGCCCGTCGCACGAGTACGCACAGGAACGTCTTTCAGCGCGACTGCACCGCGCCCGCAGCCAGGGAACACGGTGAAGCCGACAAATTCTTCGTCAAGACTGCCTCCGCTCGTTTTGAACCATTTCACGAGGTCGGCAACGTCGCTCATAGTCGCAGAGTAGCAGCTCACAAAAAAGACGATGGATGGTCAGTGGCTATGTTCTGATTACATCAGACGCGCTCTCTAATCATATCCACTCCTCGCGATGCGTCTCAGTGCAAACGGCTTTCAAGCGTGGGTGTCCATAGCGGGCGAAGAGGCAGAACAATACAATACAGAGGATACCTATCATCCTTCCGGACAGACCTGCTGGATCGCATCTGAGGCAAACAAAGTCCGTCCTTTCCGGTTTCCATCCAGTATAGCGGGGCTGAATGCGACGCTTCCGTCTGGAGGGGTTTTCGATCCATTGGAGGCACAACGGCGCGTCTGGCGGCACGTGCACGCGAGTGTGGGTGGACGGGATAGAGTGTACAGGGGAAATACTGCAAGGTCCAAACTGCACGGGCGGTATCCCAGGCCGACGAACCTCAGGGTCGACAGTCACACCATTTGTGTTCTCGAATCTCAATATCACAGGTGCGGATCGCTCTCGCCTGCAGTGCACAAAAGTCACAGTACTTTGCAGACGATGATGCATTCCTGGACTCGTCTATCGCGCATAGAGACATCGGGCTGATCAAAGTGGAGATGTGGACCGTCAAAATGATGGGGACCAAGCCCTACAGTGACGTCGCCCCAGTGCAGGAATCCAAAGTCCACGAGCGGTCAAAGAAAGGCATCGCGCACCAAACGAAGCAAGTTGGCCGTGAGATGCTTGCCCATTCTGAGAGCTCGCTTCAGGTTCGGGAAAGCGGTCGTGACCACCCCAAGGGCGGCGGCCGTATTCGAGTACCTGGAAGACAGTCCGCGTGCTACCTTCACATTCAAATATCGCTCGCTCGGTGTGTGAAACCGCCGTACTGCTCGGACGCCGCTGAATCCTCGAGGACCCAGACCTTCTCCAAGCGAATGAGATTGCGCAGGCGACTTCGAAGACCGCCTCCGCAAAGCGCAAAGCGCAATCTCCCAGTCTTGCTAAGACCGAAAGAAAGGCAAGTAGACGTCTGAATCAAGGCATCCCAACTAAACGGCCCCGGCAGCCTCCGAAACGCGTCAAGACGGAGCACCCTCGCTTCAAGTCAGGGGAGGTCATAGATCTCACCACCGGGAGCGATACACCGCAGATTATCGATTTGACATGAGGGGCTGAGGAGGGAGGGAGATCTACGATATTCATGTGTAATAAGTAGCAGTATCACGGTCCATGACCAAGAGCCTGCGGTGTTCCGGTCCGACTCGGAGCATAGGCGATTCCAGCTGCTCATCCCGCAAAACCCCGGGCCCAAAGCATAGATCTCTACTGCTTCGTTCCCGAGAGCCACTAGCGAACAAGACTCAACGAAAGGCAGAGATCCAGGGGCTTTAGAGAGACGCGGAGCAAGAGCAACGACGAGGCCGGCACATTGGCGCTCAGATCTGCGTCGCAGGACTTCGGGGAGCGTGTGACCTGAGGAACAGGGCAGCGAGGCAATTTCGCGGCGTTGAGCTTGAGCCGTCCGTTGGCTGAGGGGCATTCGAGGGCGGCTGAGATGGAAGGCAGAGCCTAGAAATGACAGGGCTTCCCGGCAAGGAGGAAGCCGAGAACACGTGGAACAGGCTTCACACGTCTCTTCTACATCTCCCTGCACAGACTTGAAACTCGCGCAGGGTCCCGGCGCGCGCTGTTCCCGTGGCTGGCGGGGGAAGAATGCTTCTGCTGGATGCTAATCGCGCAAAGTTCAAGGAGCTGCACACGGAATACACCGAAAATCTAGAAGATGTGCTTGCGTTACAAGGAACGTTAATTCGCGATATCCTACCGGGAGTGGTGGAGGAAATAAGAGTGGATAATGCACAGCAGTGGGAAGTCTGGGCGAGAGATTGGCTGGAAGACCAATGTGTGTGCCCGGTTGAATTTCATAAATTGATGTTGATCTTCATGGAAGACTCGATGTTTCGAATCCTCCGGGTGCGGTGCTATAGGCTCTCTCTCTCTCCTCTTGTTCCTGCATTGATATCTCATATCTCTAGCGAAATAAATTCACTCGGTCGTTCACGATAGAAGCTGTCCGGAAGATCCTGATCTGGAGATCCGTCCACCTCTGGCCGCCAGCATGCCCGGTGCAGATACCTCTGATACAATGTCTCCCTTCTTCCGCCACAGATCCTTTCGGCCGGCCTATCCTCGTCCTCAAGGTCGTCTCGTTCAATGACAGTTCCGACGACCACAAGCCTCGCCTGCTTCGAGCGCTGGAGTGTCTTCGGCTACATCTGCGGAGCCTGAACGACAGCTCCCCCCAATCTCCGCATCCCATACTACAATATGTGGTCCTTCTAGACCTGAAGAATCTCTCGACGCAAAGCTTGGTACGCGAAACCGGGAAATCGGCTGTCCCATTAAAACCCAAAATTGATCGCCGTCCGCCAGAACATCGATCTGGTCACCTGGGCGCTTCGAGAGGCCAACCCACGCTTTCCGGGTCTGCTCGCGGCGGGTAGTTATGCGCTATTATGTGAGCACGGCGGACGGCGCTGATGTCATCCAGTGTTCATGATCAATTACTCGTGGACCCATGCGGGGATCTGGAGCATCGCCAAGCGCGTGCTGCCGGAACGCGCCTTGTCACGGGTTTTCTTCCCGACGAGCGAAGAGCTGCTCCGTTATTTTTCTCCCTCGATGCTGCCACAAGGTCCTGAGTCTGACTGCTGGGAGCCCGCTACACACACTCGGCATCAAAAGCTAATATGAACCTTGACAGATTATGGCGGAAGTCTTGCTTCTTTGACAGAGTTACCGAATCCTCTGCGGCAGGACCCGCCGGTCCATGGCAGCCGCCACCAGCCGCCGCCCCAGAGTCCGACCCCGTCTCCCTTGCCAGGACCCTCGATCGCAAAGAACGCACCCTCGGTCACGACGAGTATCCATCCGACATCTCTTCTAAATCCGTTTTTCGGATATCCTGTTTCTTCTTCCGGGACGTCGAGGACGCCGTCTCTGAGCTATGGGCGTCAGCGGAAACGAGATCTCATCCGCACCCTCCTGCTTTTGGCTTGGACACGCTGGGGCCGTCATGCGATTGGCTCAGTCTGCGTCGCCGCTTTGGCCTTGATTTTTGCCAGGAGAAGACGGGCGGTGTTTTTTCTTTGGAAACGTGTCCGGGAGCTGTTGAGAACAAGCTGAACCCATTATGTATATTTGTGATGGTAGAGTACAGGTGGAACAAAATACCCGGGCTTTATATATATATCTCAGTCCTGGTGAGTTCCATTTACATTCACAGAAAGTACTCGGGCGGCTGCTGTTATCGTATAAAAGGTGAGCCTGGGATGTAGGTGATTATTTCCCACGTACCTGGCCCTGCGCCGATTGTTGCGCAGGTCCGTCTCTCTCGTTTTCAGGCGCGGCTTCGAAGACGTTGAAGTGCATGCTCAGCCCGGGACCGACTTCGAGAATACTCGCAGAGTTGCCGCAGCGATAAACTGGATTGCCGCGTTCAGCGGAACTTGACAGGGCTGGACTCGACCAACCATAATTAGGCGCACTCCAAACCGTGGAAAGATGGCCGTCAAAAAGTGTCGAATAACCCTCCATGCAGAGCTGATGTGCGCGGAGAATGTGCACCATCCCGTTCATTTCTAGGAATTTATGCACTACTCCCGAGCCAAACGTATATCCCGCGCCTCTAGTGCCCAGAAATGCGTTAGACAGATGCGCGACAGTGCGATAGAAATGACAGTTCCGAACCGAGGTGAAATCGCGAAATCTTCTTTTTCTGCATCGGGATCCGACCTGCGCTTAGATGAGACTCACGATACAGAAATAGATGAGGTGAGAATGACCAAACGAGATCTGCCATCGGGCCGTCATGGGGAACCTCTGGAAGCATGTCATTGTCGGGCATAGATAACATGGGGAGCATCACCCGATACCTCGAAATCTGTCCATGACTTTGATCTGGTCTATCGAATGGATGGAGGGCGATAATCCTGTGCCGATGGATCGATCAGATGAGGGATCTGTAATAGGCAATCTCCGACCGACGAACCTCCGTGCACGCAAAATATTCGGTCGTCTATCACGGCAGACAGGGTCAGGAAGTCGAACATGTCGGTAAAATATGTCCAAACATGGGGCGAGCCATATTTTCTCGTGCATTCTGTGTAGAAGCCTGTACGATTCAGTATCAGCCAAGCAGAAGGAAAAAAACAATTAAGACTGGGTCACAACCATAATTCTGAACACGGTCAGAAGATGTTAAACAATGATATCAATCACTACATACCTGAGTGACCGCTCTGGATTCATGATTCCCACGGAGCAGCTGCACGCGCTCTGGGTATCTGAGTTTCAGACACATCAGCAGCGACATGGTCTCTACACTGAACAAGCCTCTGTCGACATAATCCCCTGTAACAGCGTCACAAATCAATGCATCAGCTCTAAACAAACAAGGCACCAAGAAACAAATAGTTGGTGTGGGGCGCAAAGCCGCCGATGCGGAAAATCTCGACCAAATCGTAAAACTGTCTGCGGTCGTGTGAGCAGCCGATCCTCTTCGGAACAGGGGGGCCAATCCCACCCGTGTATGTCGCCGACGACAGTCACAGGTGATTTGACGTGCACGACGTTGGATTCGCGCATGAGCACCTCCTTCGCCTTGGCGCATATTTCGCGGAGGACGATCTCGTGCAGGAGCTGTTTGCGCAGAAGCTGCTCGATGCAGGCATCAATATCAAATGGAGCCATGCATCCGGGCCCGATCCAGTCCGATTTTGAGCTGGGCGGCGCAGGCTACTCGGGATGCGAGTTTACTCGCTCAGGTTCGGGTAAGGATGAGGAGGGTGTTCAGTTTGTTTGTTCTGTGATGGGCTGATTCGGGATCTGCCGCGGGCGTACTTAACCTTTTGGATGGGCCCCCTCGAGTGACAAACGATTGGCCAGAAGGACCTGGGCCTTCTCCACAGACTCGGACAGACAGACACATGCTGACGGACACTGGACCCGGCGTTGAGCTCAGTAATAGCCTTTACACTAACTCCCTCTTGATCCTCCTTCCCGTCAGCAATGTCGTTGTCTGACATGCCATTATTTTAGCGCGCCCTCTCGCCCGGCAAGCGGTGGATTCTATAAGACTGTTCTAGGACTGGGCGATTAAGCAACAGATGCGAGGCGAGCATTATCACGAGCGGTATTTGCGTCATTGACTGGATGGTGCATAGCCAGCGACAGCTTCGAGCCATGTCCGAAAAAGGCGGCAAGTCCCTTGTTCTGTAGCTACAGCGACGACGGCATCGTCTTTGTTCGGGTTGATTGAATTGTGATATGCTCTTCCAAGCGCGAGACAAGCATATGTCGGAAGACCTCTTTCCCCCTGTTCTCTTCGTTTCCGTTCCTTGGAACACAGACCGATCTTCCTGCTTCATGTCAGATGGGGGCCGAACCATTGGCGAGGATGGGTAAGAATGTGCACCCTCCCCTCAGGAACCCGAATTCGACATCTCGAAGTCGACAACTGTAATGATAATGCCCATGAAAATCGGGCGAACGCACAGCTGCTGGAGAGATGATAAGTTTGATCGCAGGCACGTGTTTGGCACTAATTGCCTGCTTGTGTTCCGTCTCCGCCTTCATGTGCACAGCACCCCTCGTCTGACGTGTGGATACAAGTCTCTGCCTGACATCCCTGGGGCTTCACATGCCTGCGGGCTGCTTCAGGCTTTGCAATCTATCTCATATTTCCTTTCGTGGACACGCGGCTCCGGTTGTTCCTCTCCAGCGCACACACACAGTCCGTAATCAGGTCACAAGGGAGAGAGAGATAGAAGGACGGAGGGGGAAAAAGAAGGAGAAGAAGTGCGCACTGCCTTCAATTGAGGTGACCTCCGGCAAGGGGGACGTTTCTTTTGGCCGAATTCGGAAGCGTGCGGTCGCTAGCTCCGGCAGGCAGATGCAGATGAGGGCTCCCGCATCTGAGATTAGCTTAGCGCTCTCTGTGTGTCGATATGCCCAAGATTTTCCCGGCGAAGCCTGTACCCGGAGCCCTGACGTGACCAGGAGGATGGATACTATGTATAATCGGGGAGTGATTGCAGATTCGCATTGCATTCTTTCTGCTACCTCCTCCCCAGGTTTTCATTTAGCGTGTCTCGGTAGGTTGGGCGCTGTGACAAAAACAGCCGTCTTTTGGCACGAATACCTGCGACTGTACTCCGTGTTTTCGCTCCCATGAATCTCGGGCAAATTATCTCGTAAATCTGCGCTTGTCCAAACACGAACGACATGTACTCACCGCCGTGATTCGGCTTTCAGCCCTATTAAAGCACCGGGACAGGCTATGAGCATTCCATCATACCGCCTGCACAAGTCCTACGCCGCCTACGCCACGGATCCTCGATCTTGCTATTCTTCTTCTTCTGAGATGTCGCATCGCCCGTACTCCGCCTACTCCAACTACGGCGATGCCCCTGGATCGCCCAACGCGTATTCGCCGACGGACGACGGCAGAGGCCACCAATACTCTAACGGTGCGTGGGCAGAAAAAGAAGTGGGTCCTTCTGGTCCGATCTTCTGGCACAGTGCGCGGGCAGCGGTACTACCCGTCCTCTTCGATCACATCCGCTGATCGGTACCCGACGAGTCCTGCCGCCAGCCAATACCAGCAATATCCGTACCCTGCCGGCTACGGGTACCAGCATGCCCCGCAGCCCTCGTCGTCGTCGTCGGCCTCGTCGTCAGCGGCGCCGCCACCGGCCCCGGGCCCGGCGCCGTATTACGCTTCGTCCCAGTTTATTCCGACGCCCTCAGAAACTTATGCTCGGCCGCGCACCGCGGCGGGAATGCACCCGCACTCGCCCATGGACGGATACGGCCACAGCCGGGTGCCGGCGGTGAAGCCGGCGTCGGGATCGTCGCGGCCGAAGAGCTCGATGGGCATCGGCCTGCTTGCGCCTGCCGCGACGGAGCGCTTCGAGTGCACGCTCTGCGGCAAGGACTTTTCGCGCGCGCACGACCGCAAGCGCCACCACGAGACGCAGCACACCAAGACGCCCGTCACGCACCGCTGCAAGTACTGCGAGAAGGACTTTAGCCGGTGCGCGCTGTGTTTTCGTTGTCTCCGGGCACAGCACTGATTATCTCTGCAGCGCTGATTCTCTGAGACGGCACCAGCAGAATGGCTGTGACGAGGCGCCCAGGCCCCAATAAACCGGATTGTAGTAACCCAATGGCTATTCTTGTATTCTGAAAACGGCCGCGGGCCCCGTACTGTAACTGATCCATAATGTCGAATAATCTCTTTGTCTTTGCTCTGAACAATCATATGTACTAGCACCCGAACTCGTGATGGTCGGCTCGATCCAAGGGCACCATCGGGACCCACATCCCCAGCCTCGGTCGCCAGCCCTACAATCCAGCTCCGGACCGGCCAGCGTGCACAGCCCAGAAAATGCAAAAGCCTGAACGCCAGAAGCATGGCTGACTGGCTGACTGGCTGACTGGCTGTCTTCGGTCTGACTGCGCAGGTGCAGGTGCAGAAGCGCATGTGCCCCACAAGAGGCATCATCTCGTCCACACGACAAACTCAAAATGCCAGCTCGGGGACCTGATGGAGCGCTAGGGTATTCGCATGACGAGCAGCCGGGACACGACGCTAGCAGGCATGCTTCAGACCGGGCTGCATTATGCACTCCGATGTGATAGCATGGAGCGATGCGTGTAGTAGTCATCCTCCGTCGAGTTGCTCAGCCCAGTGACGCCACCGTCCTTTGTACGTCCCACCTCGAGAACGTGGCCCTCGGACGAGAGCTGCTGCCGACCTGGCGTGGAGCGAGTTATCAGTGCTGGGCCCGGGTCGATAGCGAGCGTTTCATTTGAGCTGTGTAGACAAGATGCATCTAGCACCAGCAGCAAAATTCATCAGTAACCGCCGGCATTTCGTGTCCGTGCCCAACTTTAATCCAATCTGAGCAATGGCCATGCGGCGTCGCTGAGTTTCAAATGCTCCTTCCAGGGCGCATCAACGCATCATTGACGGTGATTGATGAGATGATCTGCGTGCGGCTGTGCGCCTCTGTCAGTCAGTACTTAGTCCTTATTCCGCGGACCCTCGAAAGCAACAGCTCCCGCACTGATTCGATCTTATGTTGAAATGAATTGCCGGGGATCGATATGTTGTGTCTGAAACCAGGTGAAACCGGCACGCACGATTAGGGTCTCCGGCGCGCTGTCTGAACTCCGAAACTGCGCATAAAGTACAATCAACGTCACCCCCGACTGACAGGGTTGGTTTGAACATCCGTCTGGGATCCGCATCGGGCTGTCGGGCTGACCACGCAGAATGCACATGCAGCCCGAAGGGGTGCGGGTGATATGCAGGTGTAATCGTCCCGTATTGGATGCCAGTCAGCGCGATTCCGTCGGACGGGCGCCCTGCAGCACCGTATCCAGTTCCAGGACAGGAGAAAATCGTCAGCCACAGAAATTCAGATTCACGCTTTGCGGCTTGAAAGATTCTGTCGCTAGCGGCGGCGGCGGCGGGAGTAGCAGTACCACACGTGGTCAAGGGCCGCGGCTGACTCAGCACCTGTCTCTCTGTCAATCAATCAACCCATCATCCCATCAGAGTTACTTTCGACTTTCCCCACCGCCGCCATGTCCGACCGGAACGACCCCAGAGACGCCTCCCTGGAGACAAAGCTGACCCTCCCAGCGCCGTGGTACAAGGAGAGCTTTGGTGCGGTGCGGCCCGTCCTGCCCATGCTCAACGCGCTGACCGCTCTCGACAGAGACTGGACTGCAGACGTCGGGGATGTTCCTCTCGGGTCTGATCATGGTCACGCGAAACCGGTGCGTTCAGAGCTATCCCAAGCCTCCTACTAGATGTTTCTCACGTATGTGCCCCCTCCTCCTTCCCCAGCTTCATCGCCTGGCCAGCACTCGTCTTCGCGATCAATGCGACGATCAACCAGCACCCGCTCCGGGCGAAAGAGGGCAGCGGCGGGCAGACGTCGAACCTATTGTGCGTGCCGCGGCTCTGTGTGTGCGTCCCTCGACTGGCGGCTGACGGACGACTTGGCTTGCGGCAGATTGTGTGTGACGGCGCTCATAGCAGCGTACATACCCATGTTTATGGTCACCAAGGTCGCGCCGCCAGCGACGGGTCTCTGAGTGGCGTAGAAATACAGCATATGCATTTCTCCATACAGGGCTTGCAAGACATTGGAACGCATGCTGTCATCGAGGAACGCGTTGAATTGCAGCGAGTGCTAGACTCGAATCCAGCATCTACACTGACAGGTCAAGATGATGACTGTAATTTCGTCATGTTTGAACTAGTGTGAACAAACCACTACTTGTTCGAGTCTGATCGAGTCTAAAACATGAGGTGCTCACACAAGCGATATTGGATCCCAGGCCAATGATTTCCATTTCCTACCAAGTATGTACTACTATACAACAACATGAAACGAGTCTAGTCAAAAGTCATGCGGTTCTTCATGGCAGGCCTCTTGCCGCCGAACTTGCCGCCGAACTTGCCACCCTTCCTTCCCCCTCGGCCCGTTCCGTTGGCGGCAGCGGGCGCAGCAGTGGGAGCAGCTGCTGCTGCAGCACCGGCGCCGTTGGCTGCAGCCCCGGTAGCCACAGCGCCAGCAGCTCCAGCAGCGGCAGCTCCAGCAGCAGCGGCACCTGCAGCAGCAGCTCCCGCACCTGCACCGTTAACAGCAACAGCCGTGGCAGTCGCCGCGGGCGGGTTCAGGTTACCCGCAGCGGCAATCGTGGCGGTCGACTGGCCCTGGACGCTCGCCACTGCAGATAAGATTAGATGTAGATTCGAGTGTGATAGGAACGGGATGGCTCACGCGGTCCGAGCAGAGAGTCGACGGCGGCGGTCTGGAAGAAACCGACACCGGCGTTGCCGGCGTTGATGGAGGTGAGTTGGCCAGAGGCGAGCTCAGCATCGGCCTCAGCGTTAGCCGCACCGGTCTGAGCGAGGGGGAGACCATTGACGGCAACGACCTTGCCGCCGGAGGACAGGACGTTGAGGGCGGTGGCGATGGCGTCCTGGACAGCCTTTTTGAGATCGACCGCCTGTTGGAGTGTGATGGGTGCGTTGGCAGCGGTGGAGGAGTTGCCGCCGAGATCAGCAGCGTCGTTCTGACCGGCGAGCATGTCAATGGGGATATCGATGGCGGTGCCAGTGGCGGTCTGTTGAGGCGACCAATAAGACTATGAGCATGTCAAATATTGAAGTCAAATACCTTGATCTCGTCGATAAGATCAGTGGTCAATTCTCCGCGCGAGACCAAGAACGCAATGTCGTCGAGGATGCGCGAGCGGCGGAAAGACTCGACAGCAGCAGCGCGCTCCTCGATCGATCCGTAGAAGTGACGGGACATGGCACGGCCGCCCTTGCGACCCTTGCCTTTGCCTTTGCCAGCCTTCTTTCCAGCAGCAGCAGCCGCGGCACCGGCGGCACCAGCAGCGCCTGCAACACTAGCAGCACCAGCGGCACCAGCAACACCAGCAGTTCCGGCAGCACCCGCAGCGGCGGCACCGGCACCAGCGGCGTTACCAGCGGCGGCGGCACCCGCAGCACCTCCTGCAGCAGCAGCACCTCCAGCTACACGGAATCCAATCAACGATTGACCTGGCATTTCCCAAACCACAACTTACCCTGCGTGACAGCCGCGCAACCGCCGAAGGGACCAGCGCCCTGGGCGAGTGACAGGGAGTTGTTTGTTCCTCCGTTGTTGAGTCGGATCAAACATGTCGCACCGTCAGCGCCACCCGTGCACTTGGTGCCAGCAGGGATCTGCGCCGTGAACGGCACATCGGCCGGTCCACCGCTGGATAGGAATCAGCCAGTGATTGAGAGGTTGCAGATTGGACGCACTGGAGGATACCATTGATGCCCGGCGCCTGGACGAGGACGCTTGCCGGGATCCAGGATGCACCAGTAGCATCGGTGTTGACCATGGCAGTGAAAGGGCCTCCACCATCAGCGTTGACCTGGTGCAGGGTGAATTGGATGGAGCCGTCCGCTGCGAACGAAGGCAGCGCTCCGCCACCCTGTGCCAGAGCCGCGGTCATGGCCGCAGGGATGTTGACGCTGCCCGCGAGGAGAGTCGCACCGCAGGGATCGTCCTTGAGGTTCTTGAGCACAGGTGTGTCCAGCTGAAACGGTTGTTCCGTTGTGCCCGTACGCGGAACGGTATTCGCTGCGATCCAAGTCAGCTCCGATTGGCCATCGGAGGGACGTGAATATATGCTACGCACTGACGCCCATGCCGAGGGTTTGCACCCCATTGGCACCCAGTACCGCAGAGATCACGGCGTGACCACGCACACCCGCAGCCAGGCTCGCCAGCGCAATGAAAGAAGTAGCAGACCTCATCGTAGTGGTGTTGCAAAGTTAGGTAGGTGAAGCACGAATGAATGAATGAATGAAAATCGAAAGGCGACCGGGCCTGACTGAACAAGAGAGAAAGTCGATGAAGGTGGCCAACTAGGGCTCTGGGATGGAGGGAGTGAGGGAAAGACCGCTGAAGTCCAGACTCTCCTATGCACTGATTAAATACACAGAAAAGACGGCCCGCCATGGAAACCAGTCCCAACAACCCGCGGCAAAACCAAATCATCTCAGCGCAATCCAGACTCCAAGAAACCAAGGCCCAATGGTAATCACACTTGGCACCACGGTTCTATCTTGACCCGGATTTCTGTTCACGTTCTGTTGCAGTTTTTGCCGACACTGGATTGCATGAAAGAAGATCAGAGAAGGGATCGCTGTCTCGGGGATGACGAATTCCGTGTAACCCTCGAAACGCGTATGTGCAAGAAAGGTCTAGAGGAGGGCCATGATGACATTTGAAGGTCCAGGTCAAGGCTCAAACACTTCAACACCGCCACGCGGGCCGACGGCGCGGTTCACGTGACAACGGATAGAACATCAGTATCAAGATGTTCGCTCGGCCTGCTCGACGCCTGTCTTCTATGGAGATCCAATTAAACAAAGCGCATGAACGGGTCGTACAGGCAAACCACATCAAGTAAAACCGCCTTTAAATCCTCTTCCCCTTGCTCTGCCCGTCGCATTCAGCAGCACCATGTTGTAATAATAGTAATCCACAATCGCATTCACTTGGGGCTGGTCATACACCGGCTTGCTGTGCGTGATGTGCCGCGGCCCGGGCGCATACCGTGTCGTGATCTCTACCTCTCGTCGCGCGAGCGGCGCCTTGTGATCCGTCCGGAAGCCAGCCGCGGTAGGAGGAAAGGCGACAACCGCATACTGACAAGATTAATTATTTTTTGTAATAGATAATTTCGTAAATCGAAGATTCTCACCTCAACTAGAAACTCAAAAACCTTCGATGTTGGCTGCAGGTTCGGCCGCAGGTGGATCTCCCCCATCAGCTGCCGGCGGGTGTCGTTGGCAACATCCCCAGGAATAGGCGGAGCACCTTCCGGCGACACCCAAAACGTCGCGACGCCACAGACTTCTGTCACACTCTTGAACCCGGCCGAGTTCTCTTGCACATGGCGTTCAAGGTAGATCGAAGGGGCTTGAACGGCAGAAAGGACGTCCAGTGCTTGCAAGTCGGTGCATTCGACTGTCAGTGCACACGGAATCGATGCTGATCGCGTGTAGCAAAGCGGTTTGGCCAGCCAGAGCTACCGCCCGTGACTAGAGTGAAAGACAGGCTATCCAGTATCACTCACTTTGTATTCAACCGTGACGTCACGCGTCGAAAATAGACTGCCTGTTGCGGTGAAAGGAACGGACACCCAGCCCTCGGGATCAGCTTCTGGACCCAGCAACGGGCTATTCTCCTGATACGCTAGCTAAAAATATCTGAGTCACTGAGCGGAACTTGCTTTGCAACAATCACCATTCGCAGAGCAGATGGCTCGCCGGGCTGCTGCATCGAAAAGTACCCAAAATTGCAAAGAGTCCTTCCCCCATTTCAGCGGCAATCGCAACCGAGGATGCTGCAATCAACCTACCGATCATTCAATCTCAGCTTTCCTCGCACGACTCGCAACTCGGCGGTATACCGTACACTGAAGAACGCCAGCTTGTCCAGGTAGGTGTGCGGCAACCTGTATTGGCTCCCATCTTTGTACGTAACGGTCGTTGGTATGCGTATTGCAAACGGCCACTCATACGCGCCCTTGAGCTTCACAGATGACGACGGGGCTGATGTTGAAGACCCTGCATTCGGATCGCCCTCGGATGCAGACCAGATACAGTGCTTGATATCGAGGAATGCAATCGGTACCGCTGCAGGCCCTCCATTGATAATCTCCCCCTTGACGTGGACGTAAACTCCGAAGATACTCTCCGCCGCGGCCAACGCCAACTTCACGGCGCCCTCCAGGCACGCCCCCTCAACGATCGTAGGGAAGTTCTTCGTCAATCGCCCGTCGCCTTTTATGACCAGAGTCGCCCATACCGTCCCGTTCTTCTTCAGCACGTGGCTGAATTCCAGAGGTGGAGGAGTTGCTGCGGGGGTTGGGGCGGGTCCGGAGCGCCGAGTATATGCGGGTAAGTCATCCTGTTGATGAGCATCAGATTGGACCAGAGCAGAGACAGTTGGTCCGTCGTAGGAAGGCGGCTCGAGGTAAACGGGTAGGGAAGCCAGCTCAGTCATGGCCGTTGTCCGCCAACACGCAGGGTGAGAGAGCTGACAGAGCTGTGATAAGGCATTGGCGTGTGGACAGAGGTGCGGAATGATTGATAGCGCGGCACTGCCACTGATTACTGCCAGGTCATGATCAGTTTAGATTCTGTCGAAAAGACATGGTCTTCCCAGCACATATGATCTATATTGATTGGCTGTTCATTTGCGAAGTCCACTTGTGAGCGAAAGCACCTATAGATTTCCCGGAGGTATATATCTATTGTACCCTCCGCTGGCCAAGGACCCAATGATGACTGGGATTCAGCACAACGAGCACCTCAACTGAAGCCCTTTTGCGGATCCCTGATAGCATTCAGCGTCTGAGGAGGCAGAAGATCTTCTATCCGTACCTGCGACTGTTTTGGACACGTATAAACAACCAATCCACCGCCGCTTTGACACCGGTGCTTTCGACGAGTTAGCGAGGATTTCATGGAACCGAAAGCAACCCACCCCTCTACGGCGCTGATACCCATGACGTCTAAGCTTGCAATTCGTTCCCGGCGTTCAATGTCTGCATCGCCGGAGCGGGCGTTGCGCCGGGCACTTTCGATCTTGCGTTGGTGCCATTCCTCGTAGTCCTGTCGGATCTCCTCGACTGACAGAGCCTGAGGGGAGTCTTGCTTGTTCGCGATGAGCAGAAGGGGTATATTCAGGATTTGCGGCGCAGAGAGCACCGAGTCTGCGTCCGGTTTTGAGAAAATCCTGAGAGGAATGCCAGACGCTCTTACCAAAGACTTCCCAGCCCTCTCCCAACCGCTCTCGATCCTCCGCATCAATGACATATGCAACTGCATGGCAGTCCTCGTAGTACCGGTGCCAGATGTTTCGTATTCCGCGTTGCCCACCCAAGTCCCAAAATTGGAGAATAGTGGACGGAAGCGTGATAGTGCCCGCTAGAAAGTCTCAAGCGCGTGCAAATAGAGACTGGGTGTCGCGTACTGTTTTGGCCAACCGTCGGCCCTATCTTGTCCGGGGAAAGGCCAGGAGTGTCGTTGTACAGCGTCTTGATCTTTTCCAGAAGAGTCTAATGGTCAACATGAGGCCGCGGCTAACAGCGATTCAGCGCGAACGACGTGCCGTCTTGCCCGCTCCGTCGAGGCCGATGATGATGACCGAGAATTCTTCCTTGCTATATCAAATGAGCCAAAAGGGATGCCACCAAAGGTCTACATACCGCGTCAGATATTCATGAAGGCCTCTGAGTAAGTGGTACATGCGCGCATGAGATGCGAAGTCAAGCTTGATGGCGCCAGTCAACAAGCGTCAATAAGTCTTCTACTCGTCTCTTGATCCTCGTCCCGTTTCTACCATGGGCCTTCTCGCCTCGTACTACAGTTACGGCCTTCCGACTTTTCTCGTAATATGCATCGCTCTCTACCTCCTCTTTACTGGTCCGTCGACGCTCGATTTCGCCGGAAACGTTGCTGACGTCGCCTTGAAGGCTCCGGTGAAGCATTCAATGTTGGCCGCTTCCTCGAAGAGACGAGTCCGTACGCGTGGGCTGGCACGGGTGTCGGACTTTGTATTGGCTTCAGTGTTCTCGGTGCTGGATGGTGCGTTTCACACGCTGCAAGTGTCTCTCAACAAGCAGTGACGCCATGCACGTCCAGGGGCATCTTCGTGACCGGTGCATCCATTCTAGGTGGTGGTGTGCGCGCACCGCGCATTGCGACCAAGAATCTCTTGAGGTGCGCCGTCGTCCGTGCTGCAGTAATCCGGTGACCCTGATTGAGTACGCAGCATCATCTTTTGCGAAGTTGTAGCCATCTACGGAGTCGTATGTCGATCTGCTCGCTGGACTTCGCTAACGCTCATGATGTGTTCAAGGTCATCGGGATTTTCTACTCTGCTAAAATCTTGCCCGTGTCCGAAGATCTCCTATATACTCGAGAGAATTACTTCACCGGTACATCAATCGCTCCAGTCCGGCACGCTGGCTGAACTTCATCACTCTCAGGATATGCTATCTTTTGGGGTGGTCTCACTGTCGGACTCTGCAACCTCCTCTGTGGTGTCTGTGTCGGGATTTCCGGTGCAACTGCCGCCCTTGCCGATGCTGCGGACCCCACACTATTCGTCCGCGTCCTCATCGTCGAAGTCTTCGGTAGCATCCTGGGCCTGTTTGGTCTCATTGGTATGTGCACACTGCTGCGTTGATTGCTCGCTGCCTAAGCCCACCCTTCCGTAGTCGGACTCTTGATGGTCGGCAATGCGACGGATTTCCGCCCAGGTGCAAAGGCTGCTCAACTCGTATTTGGTGCTTCGAATGTCACCGCCTTTGTACAGTAATCGTTGCGAGCACTAATCAGGAATGCATGGACTGGGTCTCTTCACATAGTGGATAATAAGTCGCCCACATAAGTAGTATATAGGACCATCAGCCAGGGCTTCCAATCAGACAGGTGGACGTGAAGAGCTTCTAGCCGAGGACGTATACCCTCTCTTCAACATAGGTACTGAGCCCGGCTCCAAGTTGTAAATACCAATGGGCAAGTCAAGTGCACATCGAATATATGTCACGTGGTCGATTGAAAAACACTCAGATGTAACGGTCACAGTGACGGCACGCGTCTCATTAATCTCAAGACAATACTTACCAACGCCTGCAACATGTCCAATGTACGCGGCCCCATGTCCGCGCTGACGGAATTTCTCCGGGTAAGTTCGTCTGGGCTGCCTCTAATGACTATGCTGACGCTTCTACCCAGGACACTGGTATCACACCCACAACTATCGCTCGTCGAGTTGCGACGAGGACACCGGATACTACCCCTGCGCAGCCAGAGGCAGGACCCAGCAACGTTGGAAGAGCCAGTCGCGGAAGAAATACTACAGCTACCACTCAACAGGTGGATGACGTGCGTTGCGCTCTGTTTTTTGTGTGTCATTGATCGCTCACTGTCAGCAGGAAGAATACAACTCTGATAATCTAGACGAGCCCGAAGCCCCTGCAAAGAAGCCGAAACTGACGAAGGCAGCCGAGGCCAAGGCCAAAGCGAAAGCGAAGGCTAAGTCTAAGGCGAAGAAAAAGAAAGATGAAGACGAGTCGGACGACGACGAAGACGCGTACACGGCCCTGTCGAAGTCGGCTTGGAGCGCCACCGGACCCAAACCTGCACCTGGAAGCTTCGCTAACTGTGCGGTCTGCAAGAAGAAGTTCACAGTTGTGAGTTTCTCGCCGTCTTTCCGCAACTCGCGCACGGCTCATTGTCATTGTCGGCTGCGATCAGACTCAGTACACGATGGCCGCCAATCCGGGCCCTGGTTTTCTCTGCCATCAGTGTGCGAAAGCCTCCGGTGCAGATCCCTTCAAGAAGTCCGCCGCGCCGCGCAAGAGGAAAGCGCCTGCGGAAAAACGGGCTGTCGTGCACATTGAGGAGCTCCGGTTCCCGACTCTGGTCTCGCTGTGTATCGACGTGTGTTGCCTTTTTGTTCCTGTACTCTCTCGATCCGACCCACCGACGAACAGGTCATTGCCAAGCATATTGACGATGTGGAAGCTTTCGGAGACATCGGGGCTCTGAACATGGAGTCTATTTCCAAGGCGCTGTCTAAGAATCGATCCCTGTAAGCTTGTTCTGTCATGGAAAACGTCGCCATTGATTCCTCTCAGCACCGCCGAAAATGTGCATCTGTTCTATGGCGCCGAAAACACGAAACTCATACTATATGACGCGACAAGTGAGTCTACTTATTTATCCAATTTCCCTTGCTGAGTTGTCCCAGATCTTACTTCAGACGCGTTCATCACATTGGGGCACCTGAATCCGAATCTGACCACCCTGCGTCTCGACTTCTGCGGTCCGCTTAACGATGCTGCCATGGCGATTTGGACGACAAGCATGCCTCGTCTTTCCTCACTGGAGCTTCTGGGACCATTCCTCGTGAGGGAGGCCGCTTGGATCGACTTTCTCAATGCGCATCCCGATCTCGAAAATTTCTTGATCACCCAGAGCCCGCGATTCTCTCTGCAATGCCTGGATGCACTGATAGGGACCTCCAAGACGACGCTACGGCAATTGCGCTTGCGCGAAGTCGGCAAGCTCGACGATGATTTCCTGCAGCCCATCGCACAGATCTCTGCGCTTGAGTATCTGGATCTCGCAGAGCCCTCAACATCTTTGTCGGATGAAGCTGTCATCGACTTGCTGGCCACAGTAGGGGCCTCGCTGACGCATCTGGACCTTTCTGGACATCGAGACCTGACGCACAGGTTCTTCGTTGAAGGGATTGTGCCAAACGTCCACAGCCTGAATTCGCTTCTCCTCACAGACATGACGGACCTGCTGGACTCTGACGTGGCTGCCTTCTTTGCGGAATTCGATAACCCTGGGCTTATGCGGGTCGACTTGTCCCGCAATCCGGGTCTGGGCACAGAATCACTTGCTGCGCTCGTCGCCCACTCCGGGACGACATTACAAGAGCTGAACATCAACGGGTGGAAAGACACGGCTGAGACATCGTTGAATCAACTCATTATCGCGAAGGCGTTGCGGATCTTGGATGTGGGTTGGTGCCGATCTGTGGATGACTTTCTCGTCAAAGATCTGGTCAAGTCGTGTCCGGTGTTGACAGAGTTGAGAGTCTGGGGGTGTAATCGAGTCGAGGGGAAGTGGGGCCCAACACGCAGAGGCCTCAGAGTTCACGGAATCGAATCCCAGATTGTCGCATAGCTTTTGTAACATCAGTCATTATGTGCGTGAAGTGGTAACGGAAATTGCACGACTATCAGAAAGCCCTCAAATCTCTTTCACCTAGCGTTTGTGCAACAACGGTCAGCTCGAACTCGTACTAGCTGCGCCCGCTCGGGAAATGACTGGGACGTCATTTGATTGGTTAATGGATGCTGGAGCCATAGAAATACAGCTCTTTGATGCACTCCGGTGTTTTACGTGACTGTCAAATAGACAAAATACACGAGTCGTTCTTGGAATTGGACTACCACGTAGGCGTAGTGCATTTCTTTTTTTTTTTTTTTTTTTTTTGGTGGTACGAGCCGACATGAGACAGAGTAACAATTGGTTATCTTCTCATGCGCTATATGTAAGGTCGGGGGGCTGAGCCTCCCGGGACGGGCGAAAGTCCTGAGATCCACCGCCCAGGGAAATGTACAAATACACGATGTGGTATGCAACAGTGTGGGGATGCGGGCAGAGAGGGCCCGGTCTCATGGGACCGGGGGCGGGGGCAAGGGCATTGCCAAGGACACGCGACCCACCAAAACCCTGGGATTTTCCAGCCATTTGTCATCGAGTGTGTCACCTGAGTTATCTGTGACAACCTTTTTCCAGGTCGCTTCGACCAGGTAAGGTTTTAAGGCCCTGGAGCCAAATTTGTTTTTGTTTGTGAGAGTTCGTTCGAGGGCAAAACGGGCTTCTATGGCATTGTTCCATTTCCCTTCGATCTCTGGCGCGGACGGCTCTTCTCCGTTTCTTGATATCACTCTTTCATTCCGTAGTTTCCATATTACAAACATCGATTCGGATATGATGATGTGGTGGAGTCGGGTGGGCCCTTTAGCTACTCGACCATTTCTGAGTTTTATCTTGGTCAGACCTTCGCCTAAGAGTCGGCCGAAGCTGGGGGTGTCCCAGGACAGCCCCGTGGCTGACCATAGTTTTTCGGCAAGTTTCCATACGTGTTTCTGTCCCGCACACTCGCAGTCGAGCAGGATATGGTGGAGGTCTTCCGTGGTTCCGCAGGGTGTACATATTTCCCTGTCCGAGCACTCTGGTATATGTTTCCAGAAGGTGCCTACTCTGTGCGCTTCGTGCATCGCTTTCCAGAGAAAATTCCGTATTTGGCGTGAGAAGTCGCGTGACCTTATCGAGGCCCAGATCTGTTCTACCGTCGGGCTGGCCTGGGCGTCACGTGTGTGCTCCCTGGCTACTTCCTCTAGGTTCCGTTGTGTCGCTGGCCGTGTTACCATCTCTCTCTGGGCTCGGATGGTTGCATATGCTGTTTTTTGCGTCAGGGAGGCCAGCTTTACTCCCTCCGCCAGGAGGTCCGGCCGAGTCGTTGCTAGGAGGCGAGGTAGGGGCGGGGTAGCTGTCCAGTGGGCCTGCTTGGCAGCGTCGGCCACTTGGGAGAGGAGGGATTCCTCCGGCGAGTATCTTTCAGGTGGGCCGAAGGTGGTTCGGCCTGTTCTGCCCCTGATCTCGGCTGTTAGGGGGCGGAGGACTTTCACATTTGGTGTGCCAAACCAGCCTGCGTCTTCCCATTGGCTTAGCTTTTGGCTGATTTCCTGTAGCGCTGTGTCGTCCTCGATTACTATTCTCACATCTGCTTTCCTCGTGGTTCGTTTTAGCCCTGTGAGTATTGCTATGCATTCTCCCATTGTCCTTGAGGGCTCTAACTCTTCGGGGAGTGGGAAGCTCACGTTCCGTGGGTCTCCAGTCCCAAACCAGACTGCAATTCCTAGTCTCGGCGGTGATGTGCTCTTGTGCGTCGCGATCAGGATGGTCTCTTGGGTACTCGTTGGTTGGTGTTGGATTAGGGCTAGGGAGCTTGGGTGCGGAGTCTCCTTCACGCATATCCTGAAGCTATCTGTTTTGCTAGTCGTGGGTGCGAGGGACAGCTGCCTAGATCCGTGGCCTTCCTCGCGATCTGCCGTATTTCCAGGTGGGTTGACTGTCTCTCTGGGGACCCATCTTGTCCTGAGACCAGCCAGCTTCGAAGGTACAGCTCTGGCACATGCGTCTGGGTTTCGGCAGCAGCGGTTGTTTCGGTCGATCAGGCACTGGGGGCATCTACAGTGGGGGTTCCCCTTGTGGGATTCGTCCTCGAGGTGTGCAGCTACTAGCATTGCCGACTGGATATCTCTGACGCCGTGGTTTCTGCGTAGGCACTTACAGCGGGCTGTGTTATTTCGTTGGGACTGTGTTGGGTCTTCGCCTATGTGGTGGAAGAGAGGCATTTCTGTGAGCAGGGTTTGCGTAGGCTGGACTGGTGCAAAGCTGAGGTTGTATTTTTTAGCAACTCGGAGCATCTCCCGTAACTCCGCCGTTAGGTGTTTTTGATTTGGGGTCCATGTTTGTAGGAATAGGTTGTCAAAGGATTCGTCGTCCATCCTGGAGGTCTTTGTCGCTGCTTGCTCAAGCCTGCTGTCTGCAAAGTATCCCCAGTCTGCTCGGGTCATGGGGTTGAGGTCCAGGAAGGACTGGAGTTTGAGGACGGTGAGGGCGTCGTTTCTTGCTTCGAGGTCCAGTAAGTTCTTGCCTCCTTGCCTGGTTGGTTGGGACAGGACTGTCCTCTGGACTGGGGATGACTTAGCTCCGCCCCAAATGAATTCTCGCTGGGCTCGGAGGAGGTATTTTGTCACCGCTGCGGGCATCCCATTTACCATGGCTAGGTACTGGGTCATTGAGCCAGTTATAATCTGGTCTATGTGCCTCCTCGCTTCTATCGTGGGGAACAGCCTTTCCCATCGTTCACGGGCGGCATCAGTTTTCTCGATCATTGGAGTCCATAAGGCAAAGGGTTCGACCCCATTTCCAATATAGCCTCCTAGGATTCTGACAGCTTCGCCATCTTTGGCTATGTGTGCCTGGTCAATCTTGTCAGTATCGTCGGCCAGGGTCTGTGTTGAGATGAGGTGTTCTCGGTACTCCGGCGTCCCGAGTGGGATGATTTCCGTTTTCTCTGTGTTGAATTTGGCGCTGGAGCCAGCGCACCATTTGTCTAGTATGTGTTTCAAGTCTCTAAACTTGTCTTCAGCTGAGAGGTATACTGTTGTGTCATCAGCAAACATTTTTATTATGATGTTCCTGTCCATCTTTGGCACCTTTATTCCTTTCAGTTCTGAGTGTCGTATCATGTCGGCTAGGGGTTCTATTGCCAGATTAAACAAGAGGCAGGAGAGCGGGTCGCCTTGACGCACACCCCGGGTAATACCATATGGAGAGCTCATTTCTCCGTTGATGACTACTACTGTTTGCGCTCCTGAGTAGAGTGCTCTGACTGTGTCTATAAAATTTGCGGGGAGGCCTTGTTTCTCTAGGGTTCGCCATAGGTAGTGATGGTTTGTCTTGTCGTAGGCCTTTTCTTGGTCCAGCGCAACAATTGCGCCATTTACCATTTGTTCCTCAGAGTATTCAACTATTTGTTGGGCCAGGAAGATTTGGTCTTGGATTTTCCTGCCCTTCATGAAGCCTGCCTGGTCGCGGCTCACCAAATCGGGTGCCGCCAGGGCTAGTTTATTTGATAGGGCCTTTGTAAACAGTTTGTAGTCAGTGTTTAGTACGGTGATGGGTCTGTAGTTTGCTATGTCCTCTTTGTCTTTCTTTTTCCAGATGGGGCACATCCAGCCCATTGAGAAGTTCGAAATAGTGTCGACAGGCGTAGTGCATTTCGCTCTCAACGAATGGGCCATAGACCTGACTGGGTAAGGAGCCTCTTTTGCCGCCATCCTAGTAGACTGACAAGGAGTCAGGGGAGAGGGTTACCGCACGAACTGCGACTGTGCATATTTCGCGATGCTCTTCCTCCGCGGTGGCTTTTGACGGCAAGCCAAAAGTTTCAAACTGTGCTCCATCCCCTTCATTTCGTATTCTCCGATCGACGGATGAAGCTCTCGATACTCAACACCTGTAAAGCTTGGCACCAGGTCGGACTCGAGCTGTTGTACGAGTTTGTTGCAATCCGGCAAATCAAACAGCTCGTTCTAATCGTCGAAGCTCTTACGAATCGGCGGGACCTGCGCTCCCTGGTCAAGACCGTTGATATCGACTGCTTCATTCCTGCAGGATATGCTGCCCTGTACACGACCGAGATCGCTTTCCTCGTGGAGTCTTGCCCGCGACTGCGTTCCCTTGGTTTCAGCGCCCCACCATATCTCCTGCCCTGCGCTCCATGCGTAATTCCGTCCGTCAGCATACTTTCGCGGATCAAGTCTCTGCACCTAGGCCAGAACGTGCCTTTCCGCTTGTTGCTTCCTATACTGCAACAGCTTGCGCCGGAGTTGGAGTCGTTGGGGTCAGTGATGCCTGATTATGATTTGGGTCATGATCACAGTCTCGATTTCCCGAAACTGATCAGTCTCCGCCTGGAATCTGTTATACCAAATGCTGTGTTGCCCAGTTGGCGCATGCCTGCTCTCCGGCGGCTTGTCTTGCGCGGGCCCTACGCGGAATCAGCGCCAGCGATGACCCCCCTACTCGATGCCTTGGTTCGCTTTGGAGGGCAGATCCGATTCTTACGCCTGCCCGACCAATTTGCCGACCGCAATGCACTCGACCAAGCCATCCTCAAAGCCTTCGCTGCGTGTCCTATGCTGCAACATCTCGCCTTCCAAAATTCTGATCCCAGCCGTTGGTACATGGAATTGCCGGGCGCCCATCCCCGACTGCAGGTCGTCGACATGATCTGCAGGATGGATCTGCCAGTCAGACTCGATTCGAACACAAAGCGCATCAGGCACGGCTTTCCCGCTCTGCGAATTTACCGCATCTTCGATACGGTGTTGTGCCAAGTCCGGGATCTACCGCTGTGCTCAGGCTCCGCCGCCGACCATGCTGACTGCAATGCGAGATGGGATACTGGGCTTGGCTCCCCTGACCCCGAGCAGCCTGATCGTCTAACATCCGGCTGGGCGGCATGTCGCACGGTCAGGGAGGAGGTTGAGCCGGGTCTGTGGGTGATTGGAGACCGCCTCTTCAATATCTCATATTCATTCGGAGAGTTTACTCCCGCCCGGACGGTCGATGCGGTCTGCTACCCGACATCTGTTGCTTCGACATTGTCTACCGTCCCCGAAGGAACTGATTCCACCGATTTTTATGAAGGGTACGAGTACGAGCACGATTGGCGCTCGAGGGCCGGCCTGTACGTTTGGCACCCGAGTATCTCCCCAAACGGTTGGTACCCGACTATCGACCCAATTGGTTGGCACCCGAGTGTCGACCTCACGGAGACCACAGGAGATGAAGGAACTGGTTCAGCCGATTTTTCTGAAGAGTACGAGGACGATTGGCACGCGAGTGACGATCTCGTGGAGACCGCAGAAGATGAATGCATCCTGGAACTATCTCACGCCGATGCCCTGCATGAATTGGAACAGATGCGCCAACGTGCTAGGGGGAAGGACATGAATGATACCTCAGATATCGAGGAGATACAAGAGAACGACCAAGACACCTCACCCTTACAGTAAAAATGCTGCAAATCTACTCTTTTTTCTACCTCTGCGGGACAATCAGATATTGTAGAACCAGACTAGTTTGATTGCGATTTGCGAACGAGGAAAAGCCAGGTTACCAACGGGGGAGGTACACACAGCCACATCCTCATTTTGCCTCCTCCAAAAAATTTGACGTGTGCGCGATGGTCGAGTCTTCGCATCACCATCGACCGACGCTCAAGCAGGTGAACATTGCATTCATTTAACTTTCGCCAACCACTCATTCGATCGCACGCAGCAAAACAAACCCTTCAAATCGAAGCACGCATCGAAATCGTCGTTGAGAGATGCGGCCAAGGGTACGTGCACCTCGTGCTCCCGTACCTCAGATCCGTGGCCTCGGAACCCTGTTTCACACTCCGTTTCTGCTATCGCACAGGTCGGATCGCGCGAGACTCCCCGAAATCCAACGGGACCGCCAAAGCCGCGGCCGCGCAGACACGCTTGAATCGTCGGAACAATGCCAAGCAGGCGCAAGCCGCGAAACGGACCGCTCTGGTGACCTCGACGCGCGTGTTCAGTGGGGCGGACGGGGCGCCGAGGATCGTGGCTGTCATTCCGCTGAGTGCGGATGTGGACGCGCGCGCGGTGGTCGCTGGGCTCGCTGAATCGCTGGACGTCTCTGCGGAGGATTGCCCCGAGCACGGTTTGTGGAAGATGCGGTGCGTCTCTGCCTCTCGATATCCCCGCTGACAGCGATTGACCAGCTATGTAGGGCAGAGCGATTCAAAACATCGATTCAGTTCCTCAGCGTGCCGTACAAACAAATCTACGCGGCGATGGACGCGTGCAAAGCCGCCGACTACGTACTGTTCATCCTCTCGTCGACAGTCGAGGTCGATCCGTGGGGCGACACGCTGCTCCGCACATTGCAAGCGCAAGGTCTCCCGCAAGTCGTCACTGTCTGTGCCCCGAACGACACCCTCGACGCTAAATCTCGCACGGGCGTCCTCAAATCCCTGCTCTCGTTCATCCAGTACTTTGTGCCCACGCAATCTCGCGTATTCGACCTGCACGCGCCCTCCGATCGGCTCAACGCTCTGCGTGCCTTGGCAGAAGGCAAGCCCGCCGATGTGCGATGGCGGGAAGGTCGATCGTGGCTGCTCGGCGAACAAGCCGAGTGGGAGGAAGACGGGGGCGTTCTCAAAGTGACCGGTGTGGCCCGCGGCGCCCCGCTCTCCGTGAACCGTCTGGTGCACATCCCCAACCACGGGGATTTCCAGATCTCCAAAGTGCGCTCGGGCCCTATCTGTGCGTCTCCGTCAACCCGCTGACCGCTTCAGCACAGATCGTGACTGCGCCGGTGACGCGGCCGGGCAAGATGGAGGTCGAGCCTGCGCTGCTGTGCGAGGCCGGCGAGGATGCGGATTCGCTGGTGTCAAGCAACGACCCGGATGACATGGCCAATGAGCAGACTTGGCCGACGGAAGAGGAGATGCAGGGAACCGCGGGAGGCTCAGCCGAAGCGCCGATCCCTGACGCGGTGTCGGGGACGACGCCCAAGGCTGTGCGCCGCATCCCCAAGGGGATGAGCGAGTACCAGGCTGCGTGGATCGTTGACGAGAGTGACGGAGAGGACGATGAGAATGACGAGGCTGACGAGCCGGGTGGTGATGACGTCGAGGACGAGGAGATGATCGAGATCCCCATCGAAGAGGAGCCGCTGCAGGAGATGGAGCAGGGTAGTGTGGCGTTTGAAGACCTCGACAACGAAGAGGAAGACCGACAGTGAGGCAGCCGCGGACCAGGGTGACGTCAATTCACTCACTAGTTTGCAGGTTGGAGTCTTGGCATAATCGCAAGCGGGAGGAAGAAGATGACCTCAACTTCCCCGATGAGATGGACACGCCCAAAGATATCGCCGCAAAGACACGGTTCCAGCGATTCCGGGGGATGAGGTCATTCCGCACCAGTCCATGGGATGCGTATGAGAACCTGCCGCGGGACTACGCGCGCATCTTCCAGTTCGAAGACTACAAACGCACCGAACGCAATGTTCGCCGACGGGCCGAGGAGGAGCTGGGTGTCGTTGAAGTCGGTGGCGTCATGTTTCTCTTGCAGGGACGTCTCTGACGTTTTTTCATGAAGCCTGGCACTCGAGTGAGTGTTTACATTCGTGGGGTTCCCCGAGAAGCTACCGAGAGCTCCGGGCCAGTGGTTCTCTTCGCTCTTCTGCAGCATGAACACAAGCTTTCCGTGCTCAATTTCACACTCCAACGGAATACAGAGTACGAGGAGTCTGTCCGTGCGAAGGTGATTTATCGCATGTCAGTGGAGATGATAGACTCGATCGCTCATCTTCGCAGGATCCCTTGATTCTTTGCGTGGGGCCTCGTCGACTCCGGGTGAACCCGATATACAGCCAGCATACGCGAGGAGGGGGCAAAGGGTCGAACAACGTACACAAATTTGAGCGCTATTTGCGACACGGTGTGACGAATGTCGCAACGATCTATGGGCCGGTGGTGTTTGGGACTCAGCCCAGTGTGTGGCTGCGGG